TTGGTTTTGACCCACATCCATATAAGCACCATTGCTTACCTAAAGATTGTCATCATCCAGATTGGGTCAACCATTCTTTTAGTTGGGGATGAACCTAGGGCACAGCTTCTCCTGTTCGCCCATGCAGAGGGGACCGCTTTTTTACGTCGCGGCTTTGGGAAGTGTGCGCCCGTCTTGAACAGATAGCTTCTCTCGGAAGACACATCGCACGCGCAGCCCTAATTCACAGCTTCCAGCATCGCCTCCGTGCACTGTCCAAGGGTCTCAAGATTTTGCATGCATCCGGGCATGCACTGAATCACAGTCCAGGGTTGGCAATACAAAGTGCTTCAGAGTGGGACCTTCCAATCATCTGAAGGTTGGGCGATGCATTGTCCAGAGGATATTGCCGGAATTGCTAATTTAATTTACTTTCCCATTCCTGAGATAGGATGCATACTCACTGGGCTGAGCAGCCATCCAGAAGATGCACAATCGCGTGTTGCCAGGCCGGCGCAAGTAAGTTGTGTGGGAAGACTGGCACGTGTGTTTTTTGGTTTCCATGCAAAGTGCAGGAGTTGTGTGCTAGTCAAGGGATGACGAGAAGAGGATGAGTGCATTGTCTGGAATCTGCATCTGCAAGTTCCAGTGCTAGCAAGTCTTCGCGCCGAATCCCGGTGTGATGGAAACAGCCGTTGCCTGGTTTGCCCGAGGGCGATCCGTCGATGGGGTGCCATGTGGGGATGTTTTTGGTAGGACGGCAGAAAGTTGCTTCGAAGAAAGCCATCCTTAGGTACCAAGGGACTCTTTGAGATGGGAAGCGACCAGAATTTTGGGACTTGTTTTTTTTGTCGAGACGGATTGATGTCCAACAACTCAGATGAAAGCTCTTGCCCGACGGGCAAGCAGAAGAACACCGCACACAGATCAGCAAGCCCAAACAAGCAATCAAGCAAAACAGCAAGCAACCATACAGTTCAAATGATATGCCATCAATGATCTATATCATATAATGTGTTCTGATAGTATAATCATATTCATACAACAATGTGATAACAAAGCATCTCTTTTTCGAAAGATATACCATTCCGAATGTATATTACATGATATGATCTCATAGTATAGCAACAACACACAAACACGCAATCAAGCAATCCGGAAAGCAAGCACACAAACAACAAAGCAAGCGGACATGCTAACACAGACACACAACCACGCGCACAAACAAACAAAGAGCCAAACACACGCAAGCAAGCAAACAACACAACACACGCACAGCCATACAGAAACACAGACACAAGCACAGGCACAATCATACACACCCACACGCTCCCGTCACACACACACACAGACACACACTCACCCGCGCGCAAACAGATAAATGACAAACATAACCACAAACACAAGCACAAGCAAGAAGGCAAGGCAGCAAGAAATCAGGAAGCAAGGAGGCAAGCAAGCAGTCAAGCAAGCAGTCAAGAAGGCAAACCAGCATGTGGTCGAGCAACAGCTCGACTCGGCTTCAAAGCCAAGTCCCAAGGCTTTCCCTCGGCGCTTGGCTCAAGCACCGGCCACGGGCACGAAGCCCTTGGGAATTTCTTCAGATTGAATGAGCGCTGCCCAGAGCCATGTCCAAAATGTTGGGAGAATGGAGTGTGACTCCTGAGGTTTCATTTGACGTGCTTTGACCTTGCACTTTGCATTGATTATTCTTGCTCTTTGCGTTGCAGAAAAGACGCGACACGCATGGCCAGTAGCTTTGAATGAAGGGTCCCTGCGCCGGAGCAACTGGTGTACGGTATTCAAAGCTGCAACGCAGTATGGGCTGCCTAGACACAAAGCACTGGCAGTACATGCTTTGACTTTAGCAGCACATCAACCCTAGCTGCGATTCTGCCGCTGCGACTTGACATTTCCATGCAAGCAAGGCGCGATCTGACGATTTCGCGTGCTTTTTCGGGTGTGCATATTGTAAGCTTCAGCTGTAGTTGTACATGGTGAGTCTGTCGGGAAAAGTCTCAATTTCGGGTTCCCCTGGAGGCAAAGCAATTTATGAGTCCACTAGTCAATGGTCTGTTTGGAGGGCTTCCCTGGGGTTATCCTGTTGGACGACGAACCCATACAGTGACTTGGTTGATCCCCACACCCTTCAACATGGAATTGGGAGAGGGGGGTGACCCCTGGAATTCCATTTAGGGTTCCATTTTTTCCGGGCCGTTAAGGTAGGGGGGATCTTGGTTGCTAAGGTCTTGACCATTGCATGTTGCTGGCTGCCTGGCTGCGTTGAGTGGTTTGCAACGGTTTCAGTACCACAGCAGTGTGGACCTTGTTCGGCTTTGTTCGGCATAGCCTGAGTTTCGACAGGGGAACTGCCAGACCCTTTCCTTTTTTAGGGAAACACATTGGGAACGCTTTATTGTATGGCTTTGCAAGGAAGAGAACCCGATAATCTGTCGGGCCTCTCAAATGACAAGAGACCCATGAATTGATTGCAGCAACTTCATTGAGCAGGAAATTTAAGGGCTGCCCCACCAAATTTCCTCGAATTCCCGTGTTTTCGCGGCACGACAGGCTGAGATGCCAAGACAACCGGAGCAGGCGTGGGATGTGCGCACGTGCGAGCCTGGTACTTGCAATGCTGCAAGGCACGCCCATGCAACGTCTGGTACTGGTAGCCATACAGTTGAGACCCGCTGCTTTTTATGGCTATAGGTTGGATCTTTGGACTTTAAGTTTTGGGGAAACAGCGGCACTTTCCATTGCAACCACAAACAGTTAAACTTTTGCAGAAGGGTCTTGCAGAGGGATCAACAGCAGCCAAGTGCAGCTTTAAATTGACATAAATTGACCATGTCTTGGCGAGGAAGTGCGCTACATTTGCTACCATCTCGCGCCATCATCCCTTGACTGATGCACAGCAGAACCAAATAAAGACGTTCAGGGTAGACCATGGAACAAGCCTTGATGACAATCCCCATCCTTGACTATTTCGGTTGTCTGTGATGCTTCCGCAACTTTCTTTTTGCAGACAAACAAATAGACCTAGTGGAGCTCTCAAAATTCCTGCCAAGGAGCAAAAGAGGAGGGGCATTGCAACAAGATCAGTTTGAAGTGCTCGCCTTTGCGCCAACATGGGAGTGGCGCTGAAGTTACGCAGGTTTTGGTCTTTAGTTCCGTTTGCCAAGGTGCCATTTTGGTACATTTTTTCGACCCACAGCCACATGTTTTGGGAAGACCATTTGAGTGGCAACTGACCAGTGTTTGTTTTTTGTTAATTCACCGAGGAAGTGAGTAGAAGGGTGGGCTCCGCAAGTCACATTTGCCCCTGCGGAGTTGGCCAAGTGAGTTGTTGATGAGGTCATAACCCACCGAGTAGTACCCTTTTACCGTTTAGTAGGGGGGAGGCTTCGGGACCCTACTAAAATAGACTACAGAAGAAAAACAAATCGGGCATTTTTATGCTAACCTCTCAAATCTGGAGGACCTAGATCTGACTTTCTTGGGCTCTAAACTTTGCGGGACCACCATGTTCGTGGCTTTGGCCAAAGTTCTGCGACTTTGGCCAGTCCACTTGACCCTTGGGTGTCCTTAGGCGGGGTTCACCCACTCACCGCTAACTTGGAACATCCAAGTACCTGAAAGGGGAGGGGCCGGATCCATTACTTGGGCGCATTTTGCCAAGGGATGTTAGGACTTTTTTGTTTGCCAGCTCATGGGTTTTCCGTATCAAAGGTTAAACTAAAAGTTAAGTAGCAGGGGGACAGCAAACAAGTTTGGTTGGTTCTAAAAGAAAACCAAAGTTTGGCTGGTACTAAAACTTAAACTTTAAACCATTTTACCATTAAACCACTAATGGGTCCATGAAACCATAAACCACTGAAAGCAACCGAGAAATTCGTCATCCCACAAATGCCGCGCCACACTCCTCAAATCGCTCCGTCAGCTGCTGGCCTCTCCGCCGCTGATCTTCGACCCACCTCCGCGCCGTGCCCCGGGCGGTAGGTTGGATGTTTTCTTTAAAACATCGTAAAGCTCCCATGCTGAGATTATTTGTTTTAGAAAAAAAAAAACTAGGTCCCCCAGTAGTGCCCTTTTACCCTTTAGTAGGGGAGAGGGTTCCCCTACTAAAATAGACTACAGAACAACGGGTGCCCTTATTCTATCCTCTCTACTGGAGGACCTACTGTAGATTATTTTTATTATGTTCCCCTGTCGGTTTTAACGGAAATCGACTTCACTACTGGACATATGTTCTCATGTTCTCCGCAAATGGAGGCAGTGCAGAATGGGAAGGGCGAGTCTTTTTTTTTTTTGCGGGAACCGATCTCTGATTTGGGCGCGGCCCTTGCGAGGTACATATGACTACCTCTCAGATGGGGACGCATATTGTCTGGAGCCGCGCAGGAGCAAAGTGAAGCAAAGTGGACCGATCACAGACACCATTACATGGTTGTTGTTGGGAAACATTTTGCCCATTTTTGCTTATGGTGGTTTAGTGGTTAAAATCCATCCACTGAGCTGCTAAAATTTCAACTTTTGCTCCCCTGCCAACGTCAACCAAGATTATGACAAAGTCCAAAGCTCGGTGCAGAATTTTACCATCGCTTACCATCAGGAAATGGACCCCAGGTTTTAATCTTGGGTTCCATTTGCCAGGGTTCCATTTTGGGCACCCATTTTTGACCCACAGCCATGCACACGGGAATTGCGTTAGGATCAGAACCGCTCCCGAATGATCTAACGGCTGCCCATGTCCCGCAGTCTAGGGAAAGAAGAAGGATTGCTTGGTGGTGCTTCCTCAGTTGTTCAGTGGCTCCCTTTTTCCTTTTTTTTTGGGTGGCTGCCCCACTAAAACGGTCCAAGCCCAAAAAAGTTCCCTTTTTTTTCCAGGGCCACTGAACAACCGAGCTTCAATACCCTTTTCAAACACTTGTCAACGAGCTTGCTTGTCCTCAGACAAACATAGGAATAACATGGACCAACCACGCGAGTCATTCTCTCAAGGATTCCCAAATGCACATGTGGACCGATATGGTTGATTATCCATTTGGGTGTGGGTCAAAATTACACCAAGCGCGGACCGCAGATTTTGGTCCATGTTTCCGCTTACCGGGGTTCCATGTTGGTACCGTTTTTGTTGACCCACATCCATCTGGGCCGAAGCCGTGCAATTTTCTTGCGGCTAAACAACACCCTGGGGTTCAAACCAGCCAAAAATGGTTGGGTTGATATAACCACCACTGTTTACCGTTCAGGATTGTCATCATCCAAATTGGGTCCCCTTGAGCCATTTCTTTTTTAATTGGGGCAAGCTGACCCCTAAGGAAAAGGGATGACATTGGGTCCTTGCCATTATTTTAATCGGGGTTGAACCCTAAGGAAAAGGGATGACACCAAACTGGTTGGAGAACGCTCGGAGGACCCGGGCCTCATTTTTTCATTTTTCTCCGCAGGAGCACGGACACGGATCGGGTGCTCAAGCACCGGAACTCCACGCCCAAGGCCGAAGGCGATCCGGGTAACCTCGAAGAGCCCTTTCCAAGAGTTGAGCCACGTGCTCAAAACCTGGGTAGATGAAGCCTGGAAAAGGACGCTCCCCTTGCCATAGCCGCGGCGATCCGCCTTCATTCCTTACATTGCTTTGGGTAGACCATTTTAGTACCGGGTTTTGATTGTGATTCAGTTGACAAAATGAAGGGGAAATGTGGGTGTGTGATATTCAGGGGACCCAAATTCGTGGTGTTTCTCAAAACGGTGTCCCCTTTAAAACCCGCAAAACAATACCCTCCAAAAAAGACGCACACATGTGTGCTTGCATGTTGGGGTAAATGTTTGAACACGGTGCCCCGTCTGAGGCTGCATTTGATTTTGACGAGAATCCGCAAAGGCACGGACCATTTGTAGAGGGGTCTCATATTTTGAGGACTCGACCGTTGGTGGTCCCTTTAGCCCGTCGTTTTTAAAGGTGAGTTGCTTTGTGTGCGAGACACGAGCCCGCGACTCATTTAAGATACAGGAAACAAAAATCATTCCAACCGCGGAAAGTTCAACGTTCCTATTTCGCGGTTGTGGTGTTGACTTCTTTAGCGCCAGATGGTGCAACTTTTTGGCACATGGCTCTTGTTGTACACCCGCTGTTTCGGGGCTCGGATCATTTTCCCAAAACCCACGCGAACAGTGTAAAGCAAAGCATGATGTTCCACCGTGGTTGGGCCACAGCCAAGACTCCCGAACGTTGGAGCAGCTGGCCCACTTCAAGACTTCACTTCGAAAGCTGCTGCTTCAAGAGGAAGGGCATTCAGCTACCCTCAACTTGAGGATGTTGTTCGCAGATGTGGTCACTTTCTCCCTGAGCGAAGCCTGCAGGCCCTGAAGCCCTCAAGCCTGCGTCTGCCTATGTTGTGAGCTCATGGACGTTCTCGGCCTCTCGGCCCTCCAAAGTAACTGATGGTTCGCAGAGAATGAGTCGGAATGACCCCCTTTTTCCACCATCCATGCATTGCCTATCGCACCCCGATTTGGTTGTCCCTTTCTTCGGGAATCCCCCAAACACTCAGTTCATTCCACCGACACCCTGGCTCAGTCATCCATCCAGTCCCTAGCTGTCGCACCAGCCATCCCCTATGGTTTCCTTTGAGAGAATCCCCCAAACGGTTCCTTCCCGACACCCAGGCTCGTTGTCCTTCCCTTCTCATCGCACCTCACGAAAACGTCTTCGGAAGGTCGCGAACCCGGCCGCGGCGTGAAGCCGCGGCCGATGGTCGCGCGGCCGGCGGCGCGGCGGAGCAGGCGGAAGCACTCCAAGCAGGAGGGTCGGGGGGAGAGGGGCGGGAGGGGGGGGGGGGAGGGAGGGGGGGAGGGAGGGGGAGGGGGGGGGGAGGGTGATGTAGACATTTACCATGCAACAGGCCAGGAGTCATAATGCGTGGCCGTTGCTCTTACCTATGCACCATGGTGGGTCCTGCTTTGGTCTACTCTCGGATTCACCATCCCATTTTGACCCAACCCCGAACAAACAAATATCTTCAGCATGACACGCACGGGCTTATTTCCCAATTGCATCTTGCATGTGTGCTACAGCGCCATTTTATTATTATTATTATTATTATTATTATTATTATTATTATTATTATTATTATTATCGTGAACACCCAAACAGGGCGCCCCCTTCCTCCCTTCCCCCCCTCGTTTCCCTCCCCTGCAGGCCCCATGTCTACAACAGGGCTGGCACCGGTTGAACTTTGGGAACTGCAATCATGTTTTTGAGAGAGGAGCCTCCTTCCTCAAATCCCATGCCAACCCCAACAATTGATGGTGAACAAATCACTCAGTTGGAATGGTGTGGTGCTCCTCTTTAGGTGCCTTTCGCGAGGGTTCCCTTTGTTGGTAGGTTTTAAAGGGGAACCAAAAGGAAAACCAAAAACCATTTTGGGGGTCCCTAAAAATTGGCACACCCATTTAGGTTGGCCAAACTACTGCATACGGGTTTAATGGACACAGAGACACCACGGATTAGTTCTGGGGACACCGCCCGATCAGCCAGCTGAGTGTCCAATGATTGCCATGTGGTTGTGGCTCAAAAAACCGGAATTCCCACATTGGCTTGCCCTGGCAAGTGGAAACATGGGTACCAAAACCTGCGGTTTGCCCCTCCGATCGTTTAATTTTGAGCTTCCATTTGTTTAACGTGTTGTTGTTTCCCCCTGTTGGTTTAAAATGAATCTATCACTACTAGCATATTGTTAGTGCCCTCCAACGAAGGGCACTTGACGTGTTTTTGAATCGAGGGCACTTAAGGCCGTGTCGGTGGCCTAAGTGACCTTTTGATGCGTTTGCTAAGTGCCCTTTTGGGCTTGTTAGGGGTTGGGATTCTGTTGAAATCGAACAGCTACCCGTGTCGAAGTGTGACAACTGCCACATTTGGGTGCGAATCGAGGTCACTTACCCCTTGAAAAGGTCACGTATGCTAGTGTCGGTGTTTTTGTGCGTGAATATAATTCGCGTGTCGCTGCGGCTCGATTTGCCCAGCGTCGGTCCCCCCCCACGTGTGAGGGTCATTCGCATTCTCGAGTTGCCCGGACTGAGGAGGGATCTGCTCGGGAGGGCAACCTTGAGGGTCTAAGTGCCCTTTAAGTGGCTTAAGTTGATTTAGGACTAAGTGCCCTTATTTTCCAGGTGAATCATAGCACCCAAGACATGAGTCGAGGGCACTGAAAAGAAGCTGGTGGAAATAAATTCGTCACGTCCAGGGGATGAAAATGACTCGGCGGCCGATTTTTTGTGGCTTCAGGACTTGGAGACCCAGAGGAACACGGAGGCAAGCTGGCGCTGTCCGTTTTTTGTCGCCCTGGAATTGAGGTTGAGGACATGATTTTGACTGGTTCTGGGGGTTATCATAGTCAGAACATGTGGTGTTTTCCCTTCAACCCACCACTCAGGGGGTGACTTTGATCAAGTTAAAATCATGAGGCCAGTGAAGTGGACGCCGAAGAGAAAATCCCCCCAAATGGAGGTTCGTTCCGCTCACCAGGTTGAGGCTGATTTGGGTTACACATTTGGAGGCGCGCGCGGACGCAATGCATTTGGGACGTTGCAACCGGGCCAGGTTGGACACTCGGCCTTGTGATGAATCAATGATTTGAGACGCTTTAGCTGCGGTCGTTTGACTTGCTTGCACCTGTTGCGCTGAAGGGATTAGCAAGTTGTCAAGCCAAAAACGGAAATACACTCCCACCAATCAATACGGAACCTGACAGGGGGTCCCTTTGAAAGGAAAATGGTCTTCCAGGACCCCCTTGTCAGGTTCCATGTTAATTGCTGGGAGGATGAATGGCCATGTGGGACGGAGTATTGCGCAACGATGCGATTGCCAGACGCTGTGTCACTTGCGAGTAGTTTGGCTGCAGGACGCTTCAGCCACCTACTGGCAAGATGACCGGCAAAATGAGGCGCGTCGTGCACCCGTGTGTGTGTGTGTGGTTCTCTGGTGGCATTGGCAAGCGACCTACATGTGTTTGGTGCGCTGGTTTAACCTGCAATTGCACATTTGCTCGTCAACGTGACAGTCTGAGTGTGTCTCAGACTTTGCAACCCTTTCAAGTGGTTGGTTTCTTTACTATTTGCCTGTAAAACTATCCCAAAAGCGGTCCCCGGTTTTAAGAGACACGCATCTACATGTAGCATGTTGTTTGCTTTGCTGCAATGCGACCGTGCGTTGGCTGCAATGAGGCTATGCTGGAGACCAATCCCGGAATGAGTTCTGTATTGTTGTCATTTATATATTTTCAGTAAGGCAAGTGGTTGCCGATTTTGAAGCGTTTGCATCGAGCGGATGGCGTTGCAACGAACATGTCGCCTCGAAAGCTGAGAAGTACCGCACGCCCAAAATCACCAGTTCCCAGAAGTCGAGCAGCCAGAAACGGTGTGAAGTAAGGCTGGGTTGAGTTTGTTGATAAATCAGGATTTGCTCCAAGCTGTTGACTGCAAGCTGGTCCATGTTGCTTTGCGCTCCCCAGATCAGCATTCCAAGGCATCATGTTTGATCTGGAATTCTGGAATGTGTCTTTGAGCGAGCTGACAGGAGACCGTGAGTGATTCTGCTTTGAGTTTGAGTCTTGATTTTGTCTCGGGATCGAGGCCCAAGCAGAGTTTCCCTAAGCCTCCATTTGCTTAAGAACATATTTCCCCTGTTGGTTTTAAAAGGAAACTATCACTTGCCGTGCCTCGCTTCGCTCAGGCTGAAGGTCCGGGTCTGGCTGAAAGTCACGCCCATATTGTCGTGGACTCGGACGTCTCAGAGGACACGGAGGACAGAAACCCAAAGGTCAAAGGGCTTGTGAGATTCATCGGCCCGGTGCTTTCCGGTGAATTGAAGCGCATGTGAGCCACAATCAAAACCCGGGTAGATGAAGGTTAGTAAGTTAGGGACGATCCCAACCATAAATAGCTGCGGCCGCCTTCTTAGTTCTTTACATGGTTTTGGGTGCACCATTCCCCCGCCATGAGAGAGGGCCTGGGGACAATTCACTGGATTTTGAAGTGAGGAGTCTTGATCCGGAAGTCAAAGCTTGCTTAAGATGTCCTAGAGCTGAATGACTAGCCATTCTCGACACAAACTCGCCAAGCACTCCTTCCATTTGGTTCTCTTCCTTTTTGGAGCTGGGTAAAGGAGAACTGTTCAACGCCGTTTTGGCACCCCAGTCCTATACAAAAAGACACACCCTTCCATTTGCTTAAGAATACGTCTTTTATGTTCCCCTGATGGCTTTAAAGGGAATCTATCACTGGACATAGTTTCTCATTTTGTCCAGGGGCTTAAATCGAAGACTTTAGAACAGAGCTCGCTGTGTTACAAGGCTGCAGCTTTGAGGAAGTGTTGAGCAGTCAAAGGCCAGAGTCGCATTTCTCAAAAGCCTATGCAGGAACCATCATGAAAGTTAATGTTGCGACCCCAAGTTAACCAACCCCAGTTTTTCAATAGGCGGTGGTTACCCCCCGGGTTTAGTGGGGAATGGGACCACTTTTGGAGGCACCCCAACCCCCCTATGAGTAGACTGGGGTTGGTTAATATGGGGTCAACATTTCCTACTGCAAAGATCGCAACACTGCAGGGCACATCCTGGGCGTACTTGCCACATAATTCGGGCTATTTGGCTCATAAACAATTGTGTCACTGAGTCATGGAACGCGTACAGCAGCAAATGTATGGAACACTTTGGACGCCATACCTTTGAAGTGGCACTTTGTCATTTATGCTCTTCAAGAAACAGACCATCTGGGCAAACATTCCCGCAAAGCCGCAGCTTTTCCAAGCAAAATGGGAAACCTGCATGGTAGGATTTGCTTGACCATAAATGCTGGATGATATTTGGGTGTGGCTCAAAATTTAAGAGCCAGCGGACGTCGCATTTTGGTTTGTTTTTCCATCTGCCAGGGACCCTTTTGGGCCTGTATTCTTGAGCCACACCCATCTCACTGCTTTTCTGCAGTGTCTTTTTCACCATTGCTGCTTGTTCATCAGGGTCCTGATTTGCAGGAGAGACCCAGTTCCGAGTATGAGCTGGAACTCAACGAGGAGGATGCTGACAAGGCTTTTTTCTTCCTCTCGCACCGGGCATCGCGTACGTGGATATCGATGGCGCAAAACAGTCTGAAACAAGATGCTGCCGTGTTTGTTTCTTAGGTTTTCCGTGAAGCACTACAATTCGGGAATCCCGTCCAGGGGGGGTGGTCCAAGGGGGGCTCCCTAAGGCTCCCTAAGGTAGCCTTACGTAGGTGTCCTGTTTAGATTAGTTTGGTTGAGCATAGGTTCCGCTGGTTTCGATTGGTTTTTATGCCCCCTTTACTAGGGAAACCTATCTATTTTTCCAAGAGGACAAAAAATGGCCCAAATGGTTCCGCCGGCTATTTGGAGGGCTCCAACTTGGTTCCTTTACCAGAAGACCCGGCTGCGAGCTTGACCATTGCGTGTGAAGATTGGTTGATAGTCACTTCTCCCAAGAATAAAGGTCCCCTAGTTTAACATAAAGAAGCAAAGCCCGGGGGGGGGGGCAATACTAAGGACCAGCCCAATGTGAAACCAATATGACACCAGCGATGTCTGCCACCGACCTGTCTAGTCTTATTTGGGCACCCAACCTGAAACACAAAACTGGAAACCATAAGCTTGCAACTGGGGACCCATAAGAACTATCACAGTGCCAGGAAAATTTGCGTTATTGGAAAGGGGGGCATCGGGTTTTTCTTCTTCCAGGGGGTCCGGAGTTTGCTTAAACAGCTTGGTCTCCTCCGTGCTTTATGTGCAAAGCTCAAAGGACTGGCTCGACATTTGTTTTGGGTGGGCAGGTGATGTCCAACGTCGGCTGCGTGATATCTATGGCTTGAGTCAACTTAGTTTGGCCCTTGCAACACACCTAGTAGCAATGTAACACGCACAGGCTCCCTTTTCTAGCTGATCAACTCAGGCATCAGGGCATGTAGCATGTTTGATCTTTGGTGCATTTTGCCTGGATGTTAGGACTTTAACTTTTTGCCAACTAAGGGATTTTCCGTATTAAACCCACCAAAAGTTGTTCACTTTTAGCAGGGCTTTGCAGATTTCGCCTCCGAGTGATGTTTCTTGGGACCGTACCTCTCATCTCGCCGCTGCAACTTCATTGATCCTGTTGGAGCATTGGGACAGGAACAGTAGTGGGCTCGCATGTTATGGCTTGACTGCTATTTGCTTGGATCTTTAGACTTTATAACTTGTTGGTTGAAAAAACGGTGTTTTCCGCCGACTAACCCCTGCAAAAAAACTCGGGTTCACTTTTTGCAGGGGGGTCAAGAGCAACCAAGATGGGGAAGGATACATTTTGGGATGACCATACTTGCACGAGCATTTGGAGGCAAAGAGCGTTTTTTTCCCTGCTGCAAGGAGCTTCGCACAGGAGAACAATGTCTGTCGCGAGGGAAGAAATCACCATTCCCACATGGCTGTGGTTGTCAAAACCAATGGGATTTTGCAACCTACTTAGTGGGGATTGAATCAGATGTTCACTGGGGGTACGATTTGGATTTGGACCCATGGCCACATCGGTGCTGCTAGGTTCTGGTTTCTTTGGTGCATTTTGCTTAGATGTTAGGACTCTAACTTCTTGCCAACTAGTGGGTTTTCCGCATTAAACCCACCAACAGTTATTCACTTTTAGCAGGGGTTTGCAGAAAGCAACCGAGTTTTGAAAGGCTCCAATCTTCCACTCATGGGGGCTGGGGGGGAGGGGAGGGGGGGGGGGGCCCCAAAGGGCTTAATAAGGGTGTTTTGGGGCTCCCCCCCCCTCCCCTCCCCCCAGCCGAGCCCCCATGATCTCGGTTTTTGCCGTGGCCGGCGCTTGGCGTCAGCCTGGCGACCCGGGAAGCGCCAGGCTGGGCTCTCTGCGCTGCTGCAGGATGTGAAGGAGCAAGGCCGGAGCAAAACGCGGCGCCGAGTCGAAAGGGAAGCGGCGTTTGGAGGAAGACGTGGTCTGGACGAAACGTGGGAAACCGCTGAAGAGATGGCTGTGGCTGTAAAAACCGTTTTGGTATCATTTTGGGGTAGGTGAATTCACCACCCATGTTGGAGCCTATTTTAGTGGGGATTGAATCGGATTTTCACTGGGGGTACGGGATTTTGACCCATGGCCAGATTCCCTGCACCCTCAAGACATTCCCTTTAGAATTGTGTGTGTGAGTTCTCTTACGGATAGTTTGAGCCGTCCAGTGTTCTGTTTGAGCCGGCCATTTTTGTTGTAAAATGATAAAGTTTGATTTTGAGCATGGCGAGAGTGTCGGAACGGGGGGTGAGTGCGCGTGGCAATCCAATCAATGACAGATGTATCTTCACAGTTCTTGGCATGTTGTCTTGTTTTTTAGTTGTTTGGGTTCTGTTTTGCTACCATACCCAGGCTAGGTGCCCTTCTCTCTCCCCTTTTTGTTGGTTGGGAGGGTTCTGTATCTCTACTGAACATGTTGTTATTTTTCCCGCAGGCTAAATTAAGCAAATGGAAGCTGATTCTAACCTCTCAAATTTGGAGGACCTAGGTGTGTGTGTGTGTGTGTGTGTGTGTGTGTGTGTGTGTGTGTGTGTGTGTGTGTGTGTGTGTGTGTGTGTGTGTGTGTGTGTGTGTGTGTGTGTGTGTGTGTGTGTGTGTGTGTGTGTGTGTGTGTGTGTGTGTGTGTGTGTGTGTGTGTGTGTGTGTGTGTGTGTGTGTGTGTGTGTGTGTGTGTGTGTGTGTGTGTGTGTGTGTGTGTGTGTGTGTGTGTGTGTGTGTGTGTGTGTGTGCTTGTTTATGTCTTTGTGTCTTTGCGTTTGTGTGGTGGGTGCGTATGTTTGCGTGTGTTAAAAATAGAGACGGTGAAGCCAGAAAAGCCGCTGGTTCCGCGCAGGCCCCAGTTCTGTCAGCGCCTTCCGGGCAGCGCTCGCCGAGGAGAAAAAACCGCCTCGAGACGCGCGGCGACGGGTTTGACCGCCGCAAGGTTTTTGTTTTTTTGGTGACGGGTTTGGAGGTGATGGTATTTCAATCCCATGGAGGTCCAGGCATGGATTGAAACATATAGATGCTTAGATGAGTTCCCGCCCGGGAGTCATTCAAGGTTCTGTGGTTGATAGTTGTTGTTGCGGTTGCATTGAGACATGGTCTTTTGACCCCATAGATTGATACAAGACATGTCGAGCACGACATTGCGCCTTTTCGCAGCATCGATGTGGCTGGCGTGACTTGCTGTTTTCCTGGTGGCTCGCTGCTCGACGAGGGCCCTGCATTGGCTGGTTGGCTGGTTTGCTTGGTTGGTGGGTGGGTGGGTGTATGGTGTTGCGGAAGCTAGAAGCGCCGCCTGCCACAAGTGCCATGTTCCCTGGAGGAACTGTAGTTGTTGCAGACTCGTGTTTTAACGTGAATTGTAATTTCACGGTTCAAAGGCAGATATCAAACAGAAGAACATAATTGAACTGTGCCTTGCAATATCAACGATGATGGGTTTGAAAAAAGGCCGACGCACAGAGCAGCAAACCCACAGGACCCTATTGACGTAAAATTGTTGAATTGTTGTCAAAGATGACAAACCAAATTAAATCCACCTGTTGGAGGGCTCCCTTTTGAACCATCCTCCACGGAATGATGGAATATTGAATATGGGTGTGGTGTCTCAACGTTAGTTTCCGACACTGGTTTCCTTTCGGTTTCTCTTAAACACCCAGCAAGACTCACTTCCTGAGTTCATGGACTTTACACTTTTTTCGGAAGACACTTTTAGTGACAAATGACAATGTTCCTGGACCTTTGTTGGCCAATCCACTCAAACAAGTGAGAAAAGGGCATTCCGGGATTCCACAGAAAAGAGCACCTCAGTTGCCCAAAGCGAATCGAAGCTTGGACCTTTTGGTTTTTCAATTTTGTCCAGTTTTTGTCCAGGTCCCAAAAGTCTTAGGTGGCAGTTGGTTTCTGATTTCTATTTTGGCCCAACCTCCACTTGCCATGGTAAAACAATGAGGCCAGTTTTTTTTCAAGGTCCCAAAACGCGATCTAGTCAAGGTCTCCCAGGCCTTCCTTTTGGTGTGACGTTCAAAACAGAAATATGGCTGTGGCTCAAAATTAAACAGGAGGGGCAAACTGCAGGTTTTGGTCCATGTTTCCACTTACCAGGGTTCCATGTTGGTACCGGTTTTTTGAGCCACAGCCATGTAGAGAGCCCGGTTTTCTGTTTCCAGGCCCAAACCCGGGCCAGTGACTCAGCCCCCCGACACGCGCCCGAACGCGCCGCCCTCGCCAGAGCCGAGCCTCGTAGCCTCGCCTTCCAGGGCCGGCAGCCCTTGCGCTCGGTGAAGCTCTGCTTCGTGGGCCACGCGCGCGCGGGGAAGACCTCCACGCTGCGGGCGCTGGCGGACAGGCGCCGCGAGCCGAGCCGACGCGCGCGGGAGGGCGGGAAACGCGGGGCGCCTCGGTACCGCCGCAGTTTTGTACTTTGAAAAAACCCTCAGGGTTTGCGGATTGAATTGTTTCCTGTTGAAGAGAATCAGCTGGGTGTGGCTCAAAATCAAAGAACTGGGGGTACGCAAGTTTTAGTCTTTGCTTCCATTTGCCAAGGTGCCATTTTGGTACATGTTTTTGACCCACAGCCAAATGAGAGGGGTTGTCTCAAAGCGATCAAAGGTGGTACCACCAGATTTCTGGAACACAACATACCCCTTAAGGAAAACACAAAAGGGTAAATAAGGGCAATAAGCTCTAAATAAGGCTATTTGGTTGGATCTTTGGAATTCAAACTTTGCGTGGAAGCAGGTCGGATTCTCCGTTGGAGCCACAAAAAGCGAAACTTTTTGCGGAGGGGTCCTCCCCAGGATCAGGACATGTTTTTTCTCAAAATTCGGGGTGGCTTCCTTGCTGTGTTCCCTTGAAACCACGCAACAGGGACATTCCCCCAAAAAAAGTGTCTGTGTCTGGGAAGAGAGTGAGGTGTGACTGACAACGCGTGCCACGCAATGTTGCAGACACTTGGATTGCTTTGCAAGTTTGCTTCGGAACGCCGTGCTGGAGTCTTTCAGAGGTTGGCTGACAAAGGCCAGAGAGTTCGTGCAGGTTGGTCCCAGGGCGGTATCGCGAAGAAGGTAGTCGAGCCGCAAGTCCCCGCGCTCTTATCATGCTTTGACGCCAAAGCCGCTAAGTTTTACTTTGTTGAAAGGCAACCTGACAGCCCTGGTAGTCCCGACGTTGCATGTTGGAGCCTTCTTTTAAGCCATGTTTGCTAGATGATCACCCGCGACATACAAGGCTACTCATGCAGATTTGACTATGACACATTTGTTTGTCACAGCCCAAATGCGTAAGCCTCTACACCAACTCAACGCAATATGTGTTTCTTGAAACAGCGCGACAAGACGCACAAAAGCGAGCAACAGGAAGCCACCCATGTTGGAAGCCCCCGAATTTTGAGACAAGCCCATTGTGGGTATGGGTCAAAATTAAACCACCAGGGGACTGCAGGTTTTGGTCCGTGTTTCCACTCACTAGGGGTTCCATTTGGGGTACCTATTTTTGTTGCGCCAAGCGCTTGCCAAAAAAAACGGGGTCCCCGCTAAGCGCTTTGCGCTATGCGAGGAGCTTTGATCCAGAGCAGCCGAGCACTCACGGTCCGGTGCTCAAGCGATTGAAAGATCGGGTCTAGCTGCTGCGGGTCCATGGTATCCTTTGGTATCTGAGGCTGGCCTCTGAGGGGTAAAGAGTCCGAGGAGGAGACTAGGTCACCCAGCTAGGTGCCCTTCTCACCAACTTGTTTGGTGGGGAGGGTTCCCCTAGTAAAATAGACTACAGGAAAAAGTTGGTACCCTTATTCTAACCTCTCTACTGGAGGACCTAGGAGAATCTACGGGGGCTCCTTGCTGAAATTTGTTCGGGGGGGGGGGGGAATGGGGGGAACCCCATGTGCGAAAGCCCCTCTAGCTTGGGGGCTGCGTCATATCGCTGATGCGCTTGAACTTCCACCTCTAGCCCACTGGTTAAGAACGCTGTTCATGGTGCGAGGGGCATGAGCAACGGTCATTTTAGTGTAAAAGGTCGGTCACACTCACCAAACTAGCAATACTGGAAATGGCCGTGGGTCAAAACCAATGGTACCATGTTGGTTGGTAGGTGAATTCACCACCCATTTTAGTCCATTTTAGTGGGGATTGAATCGGATGTTCTTTCTGCGGGTACGGGCTTTGGATTTTGACCCATGGCCAAATGAAGAGAGTACTCGCCATCGACGCAAGCCGGAAACACCTGGCTGTGGCTCAACAAAGTGGTTTACCAAAGTGGCCCCTTGGTAAATGGAGCCAAAGACGAAGACCCGCGGTACGAGCCCCCCCAGCTCGAACACATTTTGCGCCACAGCCATGGCTCGCATCTTTGAAGCCGGGGAGCTGAAGGCTCTCAGAATTCTTCAGCCCTCAAGTTCGCGAGGCTCTGGGTTCCAGCCTGGGCTTTAGGCAGGCCACCCGTTCAAAAAAAAAAATCCAAGGGTGGGGTTCAGATGGCCATGGAATGGGGGCTACGGCGCGTTCGGGGGTGACTCACTTGCCCGGGTTGGACCTGGAAACATAAAACCGGGCTCTCTATATGGCCATGGGTCAACCAAAAATTCCGGAAGTCCTTAAAATGGCGCAAGCCCGAGCGGTAATTAAGTGGAAACATGGGTACCAAAACCTGCGGTTTGCCCCTCCGATCGTTTAATTTTGAGCCACCCCCATATAACCATTGTTTACCTAAGGATGGTCATCATCCAACTTGGGTCCCAAGGCTGAACCCTAGGGTTTTACCTCATGCTTATCCAACTTGGGCCGTTGGCCTTCTTTTAATGGGGGCTGAACTCTTGCGCTCCAGTTCTGTTAGCTTTAGCCTTGGTTCAGGTAAGGGTTCCCAGACATTTCGCGCTGTTGCGCCCCAACTGCCGACTGGCAAGTGCCTTTCCTAGGTCCCCCAGCTAGGTGCCCTTTCTCATCCTGTCTTTTTGGTTGGGAGGGTTCCCCTACTAAAATAGACTACAGAGAAAAGGGTGCCCTTACAGAGAAAAGGGTGCCCGTAGCCATTTTGGCTCAAGCTCACAAAAAGAACCGGATGCTCACCAACTAGATCTCTCGATCTCTCGACCGCTCAGATTCTCTGCCATGACCTCTCGAGACAAGGTCTTCAACGACTTTGAAGGAAGCAAACAGCATGGAAACATAACCTCGCTGAACAGCCACCTCGAGAAGTCGACAGAAAAGAAACGGCTTCTCGCGAACGTCTGTCGTGTCCCGGAGGCGAGTCCTGGATTCAGAGATGTTTGCAGCGATCCGATTGCCAACTCGGCTGTGTTTTCATACCCTGGTGGGCAAAATTTCGCAGTGGGATTCACCTCTGTTTCAAACCAAGTGAGCGCTTCGGATCTCGAGGAGACCAGTTTCGAAATCAGAGAGATCATCTCTCAGATCGCGGTTCTAACTCCGCTGTTAGTCAGGCTCTCCAAGGCAACAGGAATCCAAGCCATAGAAGGATGGTCATTTTTCGAGGAGTCTACTTTGCCCCCTCTCAATTTGGGAGTCGCTAAGGTTCTCGGTGTGACTCCACCGGGTTCTTCGGGTGATGTTTCCAAGCTCTTCTTGGCTCCGGCTCGTCTCATTGAATGTTTAGGTTCGGTGTCCGACGCAACGGCGCCTCTGTTTGACGAGGTCACAGAAGCCACTGACGCTGATGAATACCAAGAGATGGTCGGAAAGAGACTCGCGACGCTGAGTCTACTTTTGTTCTTTTGGGACTCTCGAGTTCTTCTCGCAACCGCCGAGTCGTTAGCTGCGATGATCACGAGCTTTAATCGCAGCACGATTCAGCGAGGAAATACTCGTGTGACTCCCACTTTTCCTTACGGCGCGGCAAGAATTCTCACGGCCTCTCTCTTCGGTTCATATATGGATCCGGCGGCATTCTTCTTCGGAGGTTTCCTTCTTTATCTCGAGCAAGCATGGGCATTGGTGGTGACACACAACTCGAAGATCTTCTCTTCGCATTACGATCAAATAGATGGCGCAGTCTTGTCGATTCGAGCGCTCCAATCTCACAGCACTGCGGCGATCATTCCGAGCGTGTTTGCGCAAATCGAGAAACTCGGGCTGGAAGACCCTGACGGGTTGGAGTTTGACACTCTTCGGCAGAGACCTATTACGAAAAACCTGCCTTTGTGGCACCAGAACTCGCCTTTTCAGGGAAAGCCGAATTCTGTGGTAGTCAAAGTTCGGACGTGTTTTAAGCTGCTCAATGCTCTTCTTGGGACTCAAGGAAACATGAGTCAAGCGCTTCACGGGAGACAAAAGCACATCGCCGGCCTCTTCGGAAGTGACAGCGACTTTGCGAAGTACGTGATCAATACGCACACTCATGCGGTGGCTGAGTCAATTTGGCCGAATCTCTCGGAAGGTCAGGAGAAAAAGGAAGGAGTGAGCTCGTTGGAGGCAGTGTTCACGTAAACAAGATCTGGGTCTCTCTTTGTATTTGGGCACTTTGTTCGAGAGGAAGAGTTAGTGATTTCGATGTTTCTCATCGATTGAGAACTCTTCGGTTTTTCGAGCTGGGAGTCTCAGATGCTGAAGAGAGAGAAAGATGATTTCTCAGTTTTTCATCTTTGAATGTGTGTGAGTTTCATGTATTTTTTGGGCGCCCCTCTCGGCTCGGGAGCTGAGCCCCCTGGGCCTCGCTGCCTCTCCATGGAGGGTGAGGCGTCCAACAAGGCAGCCTCCCCTGGCGGCCGCTCTGTTCCTCTGGTTGTCGTCAAGCTCTTCATCGAGCTTGTCTGGTGTATGTCGTGTATTTCTGCTGGCTCCTCAAGATGTTCATACACCTGTCGACTCCTTTGCTTTTGTTCGGCCAGCTCTTGGCTCCTTTACTTCGTGGGACTTGTCTCTACTTCACCCTGGCTTCGAGGTGTGGATCAGTTTGGAGGGGGCATCATTGCATGTGCCCATCCTTGTATGCAGGGATGGGCCCTGTTCTTTGGTCTTTTCTCGGCACTTCCTGGTGGCTACCAGGCGGTCTACATTGTCTCGGCCCTATTCTGCAGATCGATGGCGCTGCCCTGACACTTCGTGGTACCCGTGTAGGATTCCCTGGCCTTGCATGCTCCAATCTCTGCGATGGGGATTGGCTCTGTTCGTGGCTTGCTTCTTTCCTCTGAACGCCTTCTTGGTGAAGGTACTCCGAGCTGTTTTTCCCGTTCGGGCTTGGACTTTGTTCTGGTGGTGGTCCACGGTGCTTCTTCTCTACCTCTTCGGAGCTGTGGTGGAGTTCTTGCTGGTTTTGTTGAGCTGGCAAATAGCGAGTCTCTGGCCTGGCGCTTTGTGGTGGCCAGTGCAGTGTGGCGTCCAAGCCCTGCCATGGCCTGGCACCTCACTGATTTTATGAGCTCTCTGGGCCACCTCTGTTGGCACCCTTGTCTCACACAGCACCCCGCTGCCCACTTCGCCATGTGTGGGGTGTGGCGTAGCCCCCTGCACATCGGCTTTGCGGGGCACCAGTTGCCCGTTGTTACTCGGTTCAGGTGGCGGCATGCCCCTGTGACCTGCGCTTTCTCACCGACATGGAAGCGCCACGTGACAAAAGGGTGCCCTTATTCTAACCTCTCTACTGGAGGACCTGGTTTCTGCTTGGTGGAAAAAGTGTCCTTGCGCAGGGGATTCAGAATCCCCTGCGCAAGGACTCCTTGCGCAGGGGATTCTGCGTTTGCGATTGAAAGGAGTAATCCAACACATCTCTCATAGACCATGTTCGACCATGCACTTGTGAGGTGTCGAGACCTGCACACTGGCCAAGGCTGGGCTACGCGTTGTTGGGCAAGTGGGGGGAGTCACACAAGGATTTGGGCTGTTCTGTTCTGACCTTGTCAGCTGAACGGAAACCATCTTCGGAGCGGTTGGTAGTCAAGTAGGAAGGTGTCGACGTCCGAGATCGGTTCTCTAAGCTGGCTTATTTTACCACGTCTCCTTTTAACAGACATAAGCATACCCTAGCAACCCCCCAACATGCGTTCCAACATGGGTTCTCAGAGAGAGGGAAACACATTAGTCACATTGAAGACTGCCACTTTGGCCTTGCGGATTTCACTGGTGCGACTTCTCCTCAAGCTCACATGGTAGTGCACAGCTTCGCAAGCTCAACTTTGCAAGTGGACACCATTGGAATCCATAGAGTTGCTTGCAGAGAACGCCAGGGAGTGTCCAGTCCGTTTCTCGTACAGTCGGGTGCTAGGCGAAGTGTGTGTGAAACCAAAACATGCACATCTTACTTCCCGAGTTCCCGCACTTTAAGCTTTTTCGCCAGACCATTTGAGTGGCAAATAAAAGGTTCGGATTTTTTTTTGGGGGCAATCCACTCAGGAAGCGAGGGATGGGGGCTCTAGCTGTACCCTCTCTCCATTCTCTTCAAATATCATTATCTTCGAAGAATGGGCCAAAACCCTGGAAAATGGGTGGTTTCCAACGAGAACGATGGGTGAAGAGAATGGAATCAAACCTTCGAGGCGTCCAGGTTTTTTAGGCCAGATTGGCGACCGCTGGCTCTTCCCAGGAGCTTTGGACTTGCCCAGAGGATGCCACTCGACTCACGTTATGATCCAAACCTGAAGGTCAAATCGCTAGGTCCCCCAGCAATTGGTGCCCTTTCTCACCCGTTTCTTTTTTGGTTGGGAGGTACAGAAAGGAAAAGGTACTAACTTATGCTATTCCCCATTTTTTTCATGCATCGTTCTCTTCAATACCCGGCTGTTTCCCCTTGGATTTTGGTATCCTGAAAAGAAGGATCCTCGGAAAGAAGGGGAAGGTACCCCTACAAATATTGGTTTCCCAGTTGCCCAGTGGATTCCGCCCCTTTTTTTCTCATTCCTTTCGTAAAGGGGAAGGGTCGTGCTGTAAACTCAACCAACAAAGGATACATCTTGTTTTTCGCTGATGGAAATCCACTGGCATCCCCACCCTGAAAATGGAGTTGGGGGAGGGGGGATTTCGAGCCCTGGAGATCTCCACGTATGGTTCCATTTTCCCTTTTTATGGTTGGAAGACTAGAAAAATGGAATTGGGGGGGCTTCTCCTCCCTCTTGTAGGGGGAATGCTCGAATATTTGTTTCATTTCCTGTAGATTCCTTCGATTTCCTCTGTTGTTTTCCAGGGCCTTTCTTTGGAGCGGCCTGCCGAGGCCGATTTTTTTTGTGCCCCGAATTTCCTTGCATTCCTCCTCACTTCCTGAGTTCATGAACTTTAAGCTTTTTGGGAGGACCATTTTAGTGGTACAGAAAAAGTTTGGACTTTTTTGGGGCCATCCACTCAGCCAGTGAGCCTCTGGGGAGAGCTGTTTGTTCAAACGACCTGCAGGGCTTCGTCGTTTGTTCGTTGGCCCCTGTGATGTCGTGTCATGTCGCTGCATGGAAGTCGTTTCTGCTGCGATTCCTTTGGGAATTACCAATGGAGGCCACCGATGATGATGGGTATGGGTCACAATTAAACCAGGGGACCCGCAGGTGTTTACTAATGTTCACAGAGACAGGAGCATCAGAGTGTTGTTGCCTCATGTGTTCGATCGTGCGTGAACTGAAGAGAATTACTCTCTGCTGTTGCGGACATTGTCATGGCGCAGGCTTGCCAGGGGAGGTGCTCTGCCTGCGCTGCATCGAGGGTGAATGGGGACAAATGGTCTTCAAGACAGCAGAAGATGCCATTCACCCGGGATGGCACTCATGGCGCATTAACAGCCGCCGATCCACCAACCCGACTGCACAGCAGGCTGAATGGGAGGGCGAGTTGCATTGTGAAACCCGTGTGGGCGCCCCCTGATTTCAGCCTTTTTTTGCACACGCAGACCCAGTAATGTCTGGATTAATAAACCCGTCCCACTATTAGGGGGGTGTTCCCTCCAAAAGTGATGACTCCCCACTAAAAGGGGACACTTATTAATCAATCAGGTGGTTTATTCATCCGGCGTTCACATTATTTGTTTCCATCTACCGACCCATATTGTGGATACACGACATACATTTCTCACCATGTAAGAAACCCTGGTTTCTCATGATTCGCCTGCAATGCCAACAAAGAATAACTCAAAGGGTTGGGTTCCATACAATTATACGGGACATTTAGTTAACTTAGGGTGTCTTGGGGCCATTTCTGTAGATTTTTTTCCGCTTGAGGGGAATGCTAGTTTGGTTGGAAATAGATGGGTTCCACTGGCTAGATGGGTTTGTATGCGCCCCGTTTGCCAGGGAAACCCCGTTGGGAGGAAGGGTAAACCCTACCTCTACTGCTATTTGGGTTGGATCTTTATTTTGTATTTTTTTGGAAAATTAAGAGGTTTTCCATTAAACCCACAAAAAGTTCAGCTTCTTGCAGAGGGGTCAACAGCAACCAAGCCCCCACCGCCCTTTTTTCGCCATGTCGGTCGGCGCTTTTGTTTTTTCGCCAAAAGATGTCCGAGGCGGAGGTCGCACCTTGCTGGAAGACGTTGGACGGCCTGGACGTGGCGAGACTCTTCGAGGCGGCTCGTTGGGTGGTTGCTAGGTCCCCCAGCAATTGGTGCCCTTTCTCACCCGTTTCTTTTTTGGTTGGGAGGGGTTCCCTTACTAAATTAGACTACAGAAGAAAGTTGGCACCCTTATTCTAACCTCTCTACTGGAGGACCTAGGTCGGGAACGACGGGAGGGCGGTGCTTGAGAACGGCGGTGGGATGAAACCTGCGGTTCAGGCAGGCCTCCATTCAAACATAGGATTCAATGTGGGTCGACCTTTCTTTTAATAGAGGTTGAACCCTAGGGTTTACCCTTCCTCCGTTGGGTTTCCCTGGTAAACGGGGCATAGAACCCGTTGATTTGCAACCAGTTTCCTCTTGGAGGGACCGGGCCCCTGTCAGATGCCATGTTAGTGGGACACAGGGTAGTTAGCGACCCGGGCTCGCAAATTACATTGTGTTGTTTTGGTTTTAAGGATGTTTACGGTGTTCTTCTTATAGTTGTGGTGACTATACCCAGGTGGGGGATTGCAATTTTAGGATTTCTGCTAGTGCTTGAAGGAGAATTCCTAGCTGGGCTCATGCACCTTTCTTTTTTCAGGGTGGTAATGCAAGTAGGGCCAAAGTGAGGATTTGGCACGAAGGGCTCTCTTGCGTTTTTTTTGTTAGACTTTGTTCAGTGGTCTATGATAGGACACCTACTCGTTCTAAGGTTTGAGTCACCCTTGAAATAGGTTTGTCTTAGACCCCCCAAATGGCTTCCGTTTTTCTTTGATTCCCCTTTACAACCAATCAACAGGGATTGCCCTACAAAAAAACACCCAAATCCTGCCCGACTTCTGCCATTGCTCATGATCCGTTTGATCTGATAAGTGCATGCCAAAGGGGCTTTGTGTCTGACTGAGGTAACCCCAAAACGCTGGGTTTTCTGTTTGTTTCCATTCGATTAAAACGGCCCGAAAGTTCGCCCATAGCCACGTGTCGGGCTGGAGGGCGGCTTGACTAGGTCCCCCAATAGTGCCCTTTTACCCTTTGTTTGGGGAGGGTTCCCCTACTAAAAATAGACTACAGAAAAAAAAAAAAAAAAACGGTACCAACTTATTCTAACCTCTAAAATCTGGAGGACCTAGTTGACCATCTTTTGTGAGAGCTGGCCAGCCCAGATCGCTTCAGGAGAAGGTGGCAATGACTGTGGCGGACAACATGAAGGCGCCAGTAGAGCTTCGACGAATCCGAAAGCGTTGTGGCATTCCTTGCCCCGGCATCTTTCGAAGTACACATTGGGTCCGTCTTTGTTTTGGGGGACCTCCCAAAATGGCTGGTTTCCTTTTAAGGTGTCCCTTTCAATCCACCAAAAAAAGGGGTACCCTGAAAAAGACAGACCCACTTCAACCTTTGTCAGTCTGTAATTGTGCATTTTGCTTGGATGTTGGGACTTCAACTTTTTGCCAACTAATGGGCTTTCCGTATTGAACCCACTAAAAGTCAAAAACTTTTAGCAGGGGAGCAGAAAGCAACCGAGTTTTTGTTGCTTTCCAGAAAGGTGCTTTGAACCTACCCGCTGCGGGACTGACTCGCCTTGTTTGAGTTGCCAATGGAATTTGATCATCGGTCCAAGCCTCGCACAATTTGATTAGTGGGCGTTGATTTGCAGTGCGTGCTCGTACCTACTCACCCGCAGTCACCCAGCAAGGAACCCCTGGAGCTGATTAGGGAAAGGCTAAAAAACATGTACCGCACCTTGGCATATGGAACCGATGACTAAAACCGGCGTAACCCTAGTTCTTTCATTTTGAGCCACACCATTCGTGAAGTCTTTTGCCTTTCATGGCTGTACCATCGCTGAACACCAAGCTCCTTATTCCCAGCTCTTTAGTCAGAAGATCACCAGAACTTAACAACACGGTGGAACCATGCCAAAGGTGGTGGGGCCCGGTTGCATCCTTAAGTGGCGCAATCCCCGACGTTTTTTAAAACGACGTCGCGGGCCGCGGGCCTACGGGCGCGACAGTGCCCTTGGCAGAAATCAGAAGCTTCTGCTTTATGCAGCAACATGGTTTTATCGCGAGGGCGTCCGCGAACGCATGTCTTCATTTTTTGTATTCGGGTAACTTGTTAGTTGTGCGCAATTGCTAAAACCTGCTTCGCGAAAGGCCGGCGATTGGGCTGCGATTGGGGTAACATCTACATGTTCGCTGGTAAGATACGAATAAGTTGCCAAGTTCAGTCTGCTTTTGAGGATACCCCCCCTCTCTTGGCGCGCCACCAATTGTTCATGTCCCGTTACAAAAAGAAACACACCCATATGGCATGTGGCGGTTATCCAATATTACTTTTGCTGAACACCCTCCAATCGCCGGCCTTTCGAGCTCCAATCTCGATCACAGCGGGGCCACCCATATTCTTGGTGGCTTTCCTTTTGGCTGTTTTTTCAAAGCTATGAAGAAAGGGGGTATCCTCAAAAGCGGACTACACCCATATTCTTGGTGGTTTTCTTTTTCGTTTCTTTCAAGCCCACGAAAAAAAGGGGGTATCCAGAAACGAGGATATATCCCCATATTCAGCGAGCCAGCTTTTGAATTTTGAGTTGTGAGCCTCGAGCAAATCGCAAGAAACCCGAGGCGCAGGCTTCCCGCTCTTCCTCCACGAGCTTAATGCAGGACTGGGACGCGGCCGGTGTTCATCTTGCTGGTGCGAAATCGGTAGCTAGGTGGGTTTCCCTACTAAAATAGACTACAGAAGAAAAACAGTTGGTACCCTTCTTCTAACCTCTCTACTGGAGGACCTTGGTAGGGAATGAGTCGGAATGGGCTGTTCCCCTCATTCCCTGCTGAGCACCAGCAAATTTCATTTGCTGATGAGTTAGGATGTTTTGAGGGGAACCACCCTGGAAAATTCTTGGTAGAAATAGCTACTCTAGGCATGAGGATGCCCACTACGCCGCCAATGATCGCATGTGTTTCTCTTTAATCAGTTGATACACAGGGTACCCACCCAGGCGTGGTTCGTCTCCAGGGGATTGATGCCTGGTACTCGTAATGTTGATTTTTGCAGCGTCTTCAGCAACAGGTCGGCATTCGGTTGGCTTGGGGAGCAGGATCGTTTATTAAACCGGGTGACGCCAGAGCGGCACAGCTTTGTCGAGGTTCGCTTGTTTGACGCACTCAGATTTGCCCTCTGGACGAGGGCAACCCCCTGGAATGTCCTGTTTGTTTACATTAAAGCACGAGTTATTTGAAAGGCCTGCAAGTGGCAGGCGGGAAGCAGGGGTCGCTTGCATCACTTTCTGTGGTGTGCTGCCATCGGACACCTTTTGCCACCTGCGTTGTTGCCGTTGTACGGGGGCTACACTCAAGCTGTTATCGAACCCCTTAGCTCCGGAGAGTCCGCATCATGGCATTCCTTCTCAGAGTTGCCACGGCCTGGTGGCTCTTGGCTATTCCGTCAAAGGCGGGCAGAAGTGAAGGGATGATGCTTCTGCAAAGTCGGGCTCCCCTCTCACGTGTGAACGCCTCGGCTTACGGGACAGAGAACTGTTGCGCTGATGCTGGTTACCCCAGCGCCTGCAATGCCTTGCACGACGTTCCCTTTGAATATGAGAATGTCGGCGGGATTACGCGCATGAAGTGCCCGAATCGTGGAAGCGATTGTGCCTTCGACCATTGTGTGGGTGGCACTGGGGTGGACTGCTCCGGTGTGCCTTACGATCTTGACTTTGGGGTCATGGGAACCATATCAATCAATCTAGTGGCACCGCAAGACAACGGTGATGGGACTGTCACCCTGAAGACTAGTGTGGGTTCGATCCTGCACGACCTCTGCTGCATGGAGCACCAATCTGGCGCCTTCTGCCACAGCAGCAACTATCCCATCGGGGCGACCATCAACGCCTTGGGCAATGCGAACAACGACTGCGCCTGTCTCATGGAATGGCGAAAGGCGGCTTGGAACCTGTTACGAGGTCGTTACTGGTTGGCCACTTTTACCAAGGCGGCCCAAAGTCAGAACCTGGCGCTGGTCCCATCTTTGCAGCGCAAGTCTTACCTACCCAAGGGATCCGGCACCAATTACGAGACCTACAAAAGCACCTGGGGCCTGACTGAAAGGTATGCCACCTCAGTCCTTTGCGCCCCAGAGGGCACAAAGCTGGATTGTCCTTCGGAGGACAACAACTGCAAGGTGCCTTGTGTTGGGACGTATTGCAAGGCTTGTGCCACTGGATGCGCGTCTCGCCATCGAAAGCGGTGGAACAAGGATGGCCGCGATCATGCTCATGCCGGCGATTCGGACTACTGCTGCAGCAAAGTATTCAAGGAGATGTACTGGTCGCTCGCCAACACCCGCTATGGCACCTGCGGTTGAGACCATCCTCCTCGGCTTACCGCGACTTTGCCTGAACAGGGTGCACGGTGTAGATCTCTAGAGCGGTCTGTCACAAGTACATGACTTTGCTTTCCACCCAGTCACTTGCAAACAGTGGAGTGGTGTGCTTACCTCTTAAAAACACCACTTTTCAACTTTTTGGGGGTAACATGGGCTATATGTCTGTAAAAGATTAACTTCCCCAGGGCTTGGAGTTTTAAGGGGTAAGTTTGTGTGTGTGTGTGTGTGTCTTCCTTTGGGGTTGGGTCAGAATCTGGAATCTTACGATCAAATGCTTCAGTTTGTCGGATCAACGGTGAGTAAATGTATTGGGGAGATCTTGTCGCAATGGCAGGTAGAACGGAGATTCGATACGTGGTGCAGGGAACCCTTTGGGTCAGCGTTGGTTGGATGTTGTAAGAAGGGCGGGAAGTACAACTGAGGTTTCAAAAGACGATCCATATATGCAAGCTTCAAAATTCTGACTTTCCGGCCCCCAGCGACCGGTTTTGGTGGGATTCCGAGCCACGGTGAGCATCCCTCGGCAGCGCTGTAATGAACCGGTTGTCTCCGTGGGACCTCAGTGTGGACGCGCTTTTGATTTCTACTGAAGTAGTTGTGCAACTAGAGGGCGACAAGATGTGTATAGAAAGCGCCTGGAAAGTCGCAACTTCAACTCCAATCTTCCCAGAATTAGCTCCCCTTTTTATGTGTTTTTTCTCGCTTTTTTGGGGTCCCTTTGTTTTCCACTCACCAGGCAAACAAGATCATATTTTTCGCCGGGGTCCGATTTTTCCAGCCTCGCAATGAAAGACCACCTTCTTTGCTGGCAGGAGGATGCGCAGGAGGACCGACATTCAGTCTCCGATCATGCCGAAGCTTGCAGCCCAGGCGCGGATGCCTGCATGTGTTGTGTGTGCGCGCAGGAACATGTTGGTATGGGTCAAAATTAACCCACCAGGAATTGGACTGCAGGTTTTGGTCTTTGTTTCCGTTTGCCAGGGCAAACCATTTTGGGTACTTGTTCTTGACCCACACCCATGCTACAAGCATTGGTGGATAGCAAAGTAGCACGCTGTTGACGCTTTGACCCACTGTTCCACGAGGCAAAGGGAAGCAAGCATCCGGCTTTTTCCGTCGAATGGCTCGCTACCCCAACCGCAGATGGGGTCCTCAAGAATGTCCCTTCTTGGGCGTCCTTAACATCGCCTTTTGGGCCATTTGAATTTGAGGCTTCCCTTTGGTGGGTAGTTGAGTCGAGGAAAAGGTTCCTGTGGAATGGGCATGCCCTCAACGAAGCAGATAAAGCTTGCCCTTTCGACATGGACAAATGGCACTTTGCGCATCCCGAGACTCGTGCCGTGCGAGGTCGGAAACCAGCTGCTGCTTTCTTTTTGGGCAAGGTTTACTTTTTTTGCCCCCGGTGCTTTGGGGAAAAATCCAAAGGGCCGTGTCTTTAGCAAGGTGTCTGCTTTCTTTTTCGACGTCCATCCCTCCCCTTCGTCAGGCCCAAAGCCCAAAGCGATGCCAAGCTTGGACGTTGCGGGAAACAATGTTTCAGGATGTCCTCGGGCCAGCAGGATATTTTTACAGGGCTCCTTAAAAGATACACTTTGCCCATTTGAAACATGCCTTTTTCCGCCAAAATAAAGGGACACCACCATGTACAAGGCAATGTTCTGGTGTATAATGTAAGGATCCCTGTTTTATATTAGGGATGGGGCTATGGGGTCGGGCCACAAGAAGGCATATGGGTATCCATGGGTCACAACCTATGGCGATCCCATTTTTGGGCGGAGCACCCACTTACCACCAATCTTGATGTTCACCAGAAATTTTCCAGGAGTTTTAACGACCACAGCCTAGCCGCAGAACTTTTTCGGGTGAGAGGAGGCGCTTCCTCGCCATCGAAGCTCCCTCAGCCGGAGGCTCCCAGAAGGCCACCGTAAATGGAGTACCAAGTCCTAACTAGCGCCATTCTCTCGACGGTTTCTGGGGGTTTTGTCAAAGTCAGAGACTGGATTCGGTGATGTTTCCCTTCCACCTACCACTGAACAGGGGCCGACTTTGACCATGATAAAAATGAATGGGGCCAGCAAAAAACCGCCATGCTTCTCAGGTTCACAGCGGCTTTCGCCATTTTTCGAAGGGGCCTGACACCCCACACCCCACACCCCACACTTTACATTCTACACTTTATGCCCTATATCTTACACCTTACAGCGCGAAACAACGCCGAGGCGGCGCAGGCCCCATGAAGATGCCCCTAGACCTCATCGCCCGCGCCATCTCCACCGGAGCTGAGAGCACCTGCTCCGCCGTGGACAAGGTCCGAGTCGCGGGGACGGTCCGGGTGAGGCGTTGTCAGTGGGATGTGGCCGTGGTTCAAAACCAATGGTCTCCCATTTCTCAGTTGTTCAATGGCCCCAATTCGTTTTCCTTTTTTTTGGTGGCTGCCCCACTAAAATGGTCCAAGCCCAAAAAAGGGTTCCCTTTTTTTTCCAGGGTCACTGAACAACTGAGATTTTGGTTGGTAGGCGAATGCACCACCCATTTTAGAACCTATTCTAGTGGGGATTGGGATGTTCACTGGAGGTATGGGGTTTGACCCATGGCCATGTGTCAAAAAAGATGCACAAGGCCCCCAAAAGTGGCGAACATGGCAATCAGTTCCTGTCACTTTGTCCAAGAAAGAAGGTGAAAAGGGATCCGTCAACCCCAACCGCAGTGTGCGGTTGATTCTTCAGACACATGATCGGCAGAAACAGCACAAGTTTATTGCAAGCCGCGCTCGAAATACGCGATGGCAACACCGATGGTACTTGTAGGGAATTGAACATACACAACACGCAGGTGACAAAGTTGCCAAGCAGCCTGGCTTTGAGAGATCAGGCAATGCCGGCGCCCTTGAAGGAACAGTTCAGAACAGACGTTGGGCACCGTTGCAAGATACGAACAGAGTTCTGCCTTTCCAAAATATATCGACTTGCCTGGGTCGCCTATGAATATGAACCAGGATCTGAACAATATTCTCTGTGTACCCCCCATGTGGGCCAGGTGTGTGTGTGTGTGTGTTTTGCATCCAATAAGCCAGTTAATATGAAAAGTCAATACAGGGGCGCAGTAGCTGTTCCAGAAAAGATGTGGCTGTGGGACAAAACCAATGGTACCATTTGGGGGTAGGTGAATTCACCACCCATTTTAGAACCTATTTTAGTGGGGATTGGGATGTTCACTGGGGGTACGGGCTTTTAACCCATGGCATGTGGTGATTTAATGGGATTCTTGGTCTGGGAATAATATTTTGGGCATTTGCTCGCGGCATGCCTCAAAGCGCTTCGGAGTCTATCGAGCACTGGATGTTCCCCTCTGGTTTTGTCCTGTTTGGAGAATCGACAACGTATGTCCGAGTTCCCACCCAGCAAAACCACGGAGGCAGCGCTGGTGCGTACACTGGTTCAGCTTAGGTCACGCTGGGCTCATGGTGACCGGGTTTGTTCACCTCGTTTGGGTTGCGTGGGTCGTGATTGGGTCAGTTCCTTTTGCGTCCCCTTCAAAACTTGCAAGAAAGGGGCGACACACCAAAAAAACACAACTTTGCTTTCCCTCCCAACACCCCCCAAAAATTGACATCCATGTCTGCTCTGAACCCCCCCCCCCCAGAAAAGACCCCCCAATTCATTCAAAGAAAAGCCACCAATGGCTCTCATTCAACGATTGGAGGTCGTCATGCAGACCTGGGACTTTGCGGGGCAGCAGATGTACTACAACATGGCGCACGTGTGCAGAGCTCAGAGATGGAGTTGCCGGCTACCACCGTAGGTGTCCTTTTTGGTGAGGTCGAACAGAGATGGCTCTGGTAATGTTAACCCCGGATGAGTAAACCCCTGGTTGATTTTGATTGGGGGGTGTCCCCTTTTAGTGGGGATTCAGACCACTTTTGGAGGGAACACCCGCCTAATCATGGGACGGGTTTATTGATCCTGCCGTCAAGGTACTTCCCCCTTTTAATAAACGGACCCCAATATAAAATACGATTTTTCCAGACTCACTAAAAAAGCGGGCTGGAAAAGCCGTGTCCCCAATACTACTTTTAGAATGGCCCAATTCAAAGCCCATACCAAACTGTCCAATGTCTCCACCCAGACCAGACCCAGTTCCCTGTCCTGCCTGCCTTCCTCAGACCAAATTTATGAATGAATTGGACTGGCCTTTTTACTGGCCTCATTATGAATATGTGAAAGCCGCGCTGAACATGAGAAACACGGTGGTTTTGCTTGCCCCATTATTTTACCATGATCAAAGTCACCCCCTAAGTGGCGGATTAAAGGGAAACAACCCCATTTTCTGACTTGAATAACCCCCAGAAACCGTCAAAATAATGACACCAGTCCAGTCGGATGGTGGTTGAACCAAAAGGTACACTGCCTACTCCCTGCCTGGCCTGCCTCCCTCAAAGCATTGCCCTGCACCCCGCTCTAAGCTGTGCGTACCAAAAACAATGAAATACGAACAGCTTTTTCCCTTGCAAAGTGTGTCCTCCGAACCATCTGAAAAGCTCGAACTTCTTGCTCGCTTCAAGGGATGTGTAAAGGGGAGCCCATCTGACCCCAAGGGGCCTTTTTTTTTTTAAACATGTTTTGCCCCCGAGAGTATTTATTATTCGGGGGTCCGCGTTTACTATTAGCGGCAAGGGATTATGTTCCACCTAACCCACGAAACAAGACACTCATGGTTGGCTTCACAGTTTTGCTCCGGCTCCTGCTCAGCTCCTGTTGTTCATTTCACAATTGGTCTTAGGCTTACCTGGGGTGGACTTAGGATACATTTTGCATTTTACCAGTGACTCAAAGTGAAGCAAACAATAAAATATACATTCTGTAACTGGTTGTCTAACTCGGTCTGAGGCTTAGGTTCAGTCGTGCCCATCCTGTACATAATGTCTTCCCACAAAACATCCCATTTGGTGATCGTTTCGATCCCTTTCTGGGCGGTGTTCCTGTTGGTTTGTTTGAAGCCCTGAAGGCACCCCCAAGAAAAACAAGTCATCAAAAACAAAACCTTCCTTTGGGTTCCCTTGAAGCCCTGAAATAAGAGGGTACCCCCTCAGCATTCAATGATCCTTTGTATTTGCGCAGCGGTGTCCTGTGCCTGCACAAGTGCAAGAAATGTTTGTGCCATCCCGCACGCGACACATGAATTTCATGTACCCATCCTCCCACAAACAGAAGGCATTTGTGAGGGCACCTGGAAACCTGGAAGATCAATTTCCTCTTCAATGGGCCCCCTGTCAGGTGCCATGTTATTGGGAGGAAGGCTACTTCCTTGTTGTCCCCCGGTGAAACTACGCAAGCCCAAAAAGTGTGTCTCCCAGCAAAAGTCATGGAGCAAACTGAGGTTTATGACTGCGATTGGTATCTACGTGTTAGTTCTCGACCTATCTGCATGGAGCCGGGGCGATGCGACGCCCATGGACGCTTGGCAGCACTGGGGTCATTGTTTTGACGGTTTCCGGGGGTTATCAATGACAGAAAATGGGGTTGTTTCCCTTTAACCCACCACTTAGGGGGCTGACTTTGATCATGTAACATACTGAGGCTGCAGCACGTTCCCAGCTGAGCTGCTCCTAGCAGGTAGTGATGGTCATCAGCCTCTGTGGAAGGATTTCTTTAAGGCAGCCATGACCGGGACCCACATTCTGGGAGTTTTGACCATGGCACAAAAATAAAGTCGGTGCCACAGATCAGGTTACAAGCCCGTTGCTCATGGTTTGGATTCGTGTTTTTGGGATCACCCCTACTTCAAAGTTGCTCAGAACCCCGTTAACAAGACTCTAAGTGGGGGGGGCTTGAACGCCACCTCCAAACCACGGGTTCAGCTGACAGATCCATGCAACCGTGAGCCCTGTTGCCCAGTGGTGCCCTGTTTTTCTGCGGTTTTGTTGGGAAGGATTCCCTTTAACCTCAACCCACCAGAAAAAAATATGCCCTTTTTCCCTTCTGGAAATCCACTGGGCATCTGAGGATCTCACGGAGTCCATGGACTTTTGGCTGGCTGCTCTCTTGGTGCACGCGGCGGATGCGCGGCTGGTGCTGGTCGGCAGCAGGGGGCCCGGCCGGAAGCGGAAGGAATGCGCGGCTGGGTGTCCTTTTTCTCTACTGCTGTTGGGTAACGGATCTTTAGACTTTAACTTTTTGATTGAAATCAAGTTGGGTTTTCCGTATTAAGCCCGCAAAAAGTTATTTTTTTGCAGAGGGGTCAACAGCAACCAAGTTGTTTGGCACCTCCAAAAATGGCAGTTTTGAAGGGAACGACCAGTAAATTGCCAACTTTTGAAGGGGAGTGAGACACAGTGAATGGGTGTCCTTTTTAGCTTGGTTTGGTTTAAAATACAATTGCCCTGGTTTTAATCCACCAGGGCCATCGAACTTACCCACAAGGTCACCTATGCGAATGCGGAGGGATTTTTTGGCCACTTGGGGCCAAGGCTTTGGGGGTTGGGGGTTGGGCTGTCCAAGGGCCAACTTCTGTTTAACCGGGGTTTTTGAATCCTTGGCTAGGTCCCCCAGCTAGGTGCCCTTTCTCACCCCTTTTTTGGTTGCGAGGGTTCCCCTACTAAAATAGACTGCAGAAAAAAAGTTGGTACCCTTGTTCTAACCTCTCTACTGGAGGACCTAGTTGGGCTCCCCTTAGACTCACTGGCCCAAAGCGAATCAAGCAACTGACCTTTCGGCTTGTCGTCGTAGGTCAGGAGGTCAGTCTTTCATTTCCAGGTCCTCGGGACACATGACCCTTAAAAACACAACTTTTCAGCTTTTTGGGTAACACATTAACTTCCCCAGGGCTTGGAGTTTTAAGGGGTAAGGACAAGCTCAGACAGAGGGTGCCCTTGTGCCTTTTTTGTCCGGACGGGAAGCCGCTTCCCACTTCATGCCCTCCAGTGGAAGCGCGGCGCCAAAACACCACACACTTCTAGGGGTTGATTCCCCATTCTTTTCAGCCATCGTTCTTTTCAATCACCAGCCATTTCCCCAGGGTGTTTGGCGGTTTTCTAGAAAGAAGGATCCCTGGAAAGAATGGGGAAGTTACCCCTAGAACACCGGCGAGGCGCCATTGGCCGAGCTTGGCGTTGTTCCCGGAAAGTTGCGAAGACTCAGCGGTTAGACTGAGAGTGGCTCAACCAGCCATCCTGTTCAACTTAGTTTCTTGGTTGTTTTTAGTTGGTTTAGTGGTTGGGTTTCCATTCGACCCACAGGTTAAACCATGCGCATTGTAAGCAGCTTCACTCCGGGAAGACCAGGCTTCCAGACCAAGTTGTTAACCCTTTTTTGTGAGTCGGTTGGAAGCACCTGTCAACGAATCATGGTTTTAGTGGATTCGCTGTGGTATGAACCACCCAAATGTTGTTTCTCGCGGATTGGTTTGATAGACAAGCAGGCTCGTAGGAGCTTCAGTGCAAATTTTCACGTGCTGGTTGTAACCTCGAGGTTTTTTTTGCGGGCTGCGCATCATGCCATGTAGGGAAAGTTCGCGCTGCCCGTTGCCCCCCCTACGCACTTGAGGTCATGCAGATCTACTGGATGACTCCAATCGCAAAGAGGTCTACAAAAAAATCGACGACTACTTGGCCAAGAACCTACAGCACAATAGGATACTTGGGCAGCTTGCCTACATCGGCAGCTTTGCAGCGTCCACCTTTTGTTCAGTTCTCGTGTCACGCCGCAATAGGAATGCTGCACACACACACACACACACACACACACACACACACACACACACGCACGCACGCACGCACGCACGCACGCACGCACGCACGCACGCACGCACGCACGCACGCACGCACGCACGCACGCACGCACGCACGCACGCACGCACGCACGCACGCACGCACGCACGCACGCACGCACGCACGCACGCACGCACGCACGCACGCACGCACGCACGCACGCACGCACGCACGCACGCACGCACGCACGCACACACGCACGCACGCACGCACGCACACACGCACACACGCACACACGCACACACGCACACACGCACACACGCACACACGCACACACGCGCACACGCGCACACACACGCGCACACGCGCACACGCGCACACGCGCACACGCGCACACGCGCACACGCGCACACGCGCACACGCGCACACGCGCACACGCGCACACGCGCACACGCGCACACGCGCGCAGCGCGCGCACGCGCGCACGCGCGCACGCGCGCACGCGCGCACACGCGCACACGCGCACACGCGCACACACGCGCACACGCGCACACGCACACACGCACACACGCACACACGCACAGACGCACACACGCACACGCACACGCACACGCACACGCACACATACATACATGCATGTGGTTTTGTGCCTGTGTGTATGAGCGAGGAATGAACAGGACGACTTGCTTTTCTTCCCAGTGGACAATCGTCGCTGCACGGATTCTGGCCTTCGCAGCATCCAGCACCTGCGGAACGATACTTGGATGACAACATCAACCACGTTTCTTTGTTTGTCATTGGGGGCGGGGGGGAGGGAGGGGAGGGGGAGGGAGCCCAAATAAGCCCTTGTTAAGCCTTAATTCATAAGGCCTTATTTAGGGCCTTGTTCGGTTCCCCCCCCCACCCCTCCCTCCCCCCCAGCCCCCATGAGTTTGGGTTGTTCAAGTTCAAATCCAATCCTCAATCTTTATTAATGTGCCAGATGGTTGTGGCTCCCTCGACCCTTATTGTGGACACTACGGATTCCGGATGGGGATTAAGGACCCCCATTTAAACAACCCACGTGTTGCACAGTTTCCATGCTTCACAGAGGGACAACGCAAGGAGGACAGTTGTGATAGCTTGGTGCGTTGGTCCTTGAGACCCCCAGACCCAGAACTTCCTCGGCCATTAAATACATGTCCTTGGGACAACGGACATTTTTTGCTCGAGAAGGGACATTTTTTGCATCCACTATGGGGGCCCAATTTCTTCGTGCTCTGATCAGGGCAAATTGACACAATAGACAAACCATAGACAAACCATAGACACACCATAGACACACCATAGACATACCACAGGCAAACCAGTCGGAAAACCATAGGCAGGCAAAAGCAAAAAACTGCTACGAAAAGTAAGGTGCAAGTTTGGGGTACTTCACTCCGCAGAAGGGGAACCACATTGCAAAATCAGGATATTCACATCAGGTCGAATCGTAAAACCGAAATTTGTTGAGCTCGTTGCTTGCGACCGAGAGGGACCGTAGACAAACCGTAGACAACCCGTAGAAAGTACATTTTCTGCCGTAGAACGGCCATTTATTGCCGTAGAAAAGACATTTTCTGCACACACCGTTTTTGCACCATTTTGGTGTCAATTCGCGGCAGGTGTCTTCTCAGGACTTTGTTGCTCTTTTCTGGCTTGGCAATGGGGCAATGAAAGGCTTGTGCACTATATGCATGGCATATGCATGCGTGGATTGATAGAACAAAGACTTCCCGAGAACTGCCCCGTGGCTGACGTTGGCAAGTTTCGGCAGAAGGCAGCCCTGCGAAGCGCACGAAGCACTCTCAAGCTCGGCAAAATGGGACTGTGCAGCCCCTTCCAGCTACTTTTAAGTAGGATTTTCGTGAAAAGCATGATCCGACCTAATTTAAGCAAAAAATGGCCTTTTCCCAGAAAATGTACTTTACCACCTCGGCCATTTATTTAATGTCCTTTGGAAGTCTAGGGCAGAGGTAGCTGTTTCTTGTCGTGAGAGTACTGGAAGATGATGTCTTTGCGTGTGTGTGCGCGTGTGCGCATTGAGACCTTCATTTGTGCTTGGACTGGACAAATCGTGAATTGTGTAAAAACATGTCAGCGCAATCAGCATTATGATTGCCAATGATCACCACGACTTGTCGATATCGATGGAGGAACGCAAATGTCAAACAGTTTTGGCCTGTGAGATTTGCAGCCTGGGGGCTGGCTTAAGTTGGGTGTGTGCTGTTTCAGTATTTGATTCGTGCGAACAGACGCTCTCACCTATTGCGTTACGATGGCAATATAGGTTATACGCAATGGCAACACGCAACGCTTGATTGGTAAGTCCTTTCGCCTCCCCTAGAGAGGTAGGTATTGACCCTGCTTCAGGAACGCAAACAACGCAGAGTTTGGGTGGTCCCCTCTTACTTTGCCCAAAGGGTGTTAACCATGTGGAACTGCCTGCGCAGTCCTTTAGAACCCAGTTTCTGCCTCTCAAACATGCAGCAACAAGTGTCTCGCTTTTTGGGGCCGGCCACTGGTTTGGTAGGGCAAATCTTGCTTCAGCAGGGAATGAGTTGGAAGGACCGCGAGAAACCATCCATCCTTTCTAGCTTCCGAATGATGACCGAATATGGATGACCGAATATCCTTAGGTAAACGATGGTTATATGAATCCCCATGGTTTGCATGTTGGTTTGAACCCCAGACCTGTGGTTTCCTTCAAGGAAATCCCCTCCGGTTCATTCCCACCCGGATGGGAGTCATTCCCTATCGGCGTTTCCGATGGCCAAAACTCAGACTTCCGGAGCTGGACTTGAGTCTCGTTTTGGGTTTGGGCCATTTTAGTGGTAGAATTCTAGGTCCCCCAGCGATTGGTGCCCTTTCTTACCCCATTTTTTTGGTGGGCAGGGTTCAGGACCCTATTAAAATAAACTACAGAAAAGAGTTGGTACCCTTACTCTAACCTCTCTACTGGAGGACCTAGAATTGAAAAAGCAGCATCCTGGCTACTTTCTTGGCATTTTCTTTGGAATCAAGACTCCCAAACATGGGGTATAGACGGAACCTCAGCAGGGGATCTCATTTTAGTGGCAAACTGTTCAACAAACTTCTTGGCGACTTTCTTGGGGCCGCTCGTCCACTCGATCGTTGGGGCAAAAATGGGGCGGGGTCACGGGCGAAGCGCGAGGAGCTCAGCAAGTTGGCCCTGGAAGTGGCGGAGGAGATGGGCACCATCCCCACGCGCTGGGCGCACCTCTTCCACGTGCTCGAAGGCGGGGAAGGACTGGACGCAGGGAAGGACTTGGGGACTCGGACGCAAGGGAACTCGTAGATAGAACTGTAGAACCTTAACTTCACTGTTCTTGGCATGTGTTTTAGTTTTTTGGTTCTGTTCATTTTTACTGGGGGTCTGCAAAAAACAAAGTTTTTCGCAAGCCCATACCAAGAGTAGAGATGTTAATCAAAAGGGTGGCTGGTCAAATTTGGACCCTTGAAGTGGTTGTTCTCCTTTTGGCTTCCCAAGGCAACAAAAAAGGGACACTCGGACACTCAGCCGCGGAAAGGATGGAAGACATGAGAACACCCCCCCCAAACCCGGTAGGCAGGAAGAAAAAACATGTCTTTTTGATTTCCATATATTGCCATAGCACAACGTAAGGAACTCGTAGGTAGAACCCATCAATCAATTGGGCGGCCGGTCTTGTTTTTGGATCTGGACCCTTGATTCTCCTTTTGACTTCCTTTCAACAAACAAAAAGGGGTACCCTCAAAAAGAAACACCCCCAGATGAGTACATCCGGAAAATAAATCCCACTGTGGATGGACCAAATCCATTTCGAACCACCCAAGAAGCCATGCGAAAAGCATTCTTGGTTGGTAGTTGCAAAACAAAAAAACAAATCCAGGGTTGCTTGGGCGGTGCAGGTTTTCGTCCATCCACAGTATCTCTTGCATCTTTCTGTGTGTGTCGGCCTGTGTCAGATCATGAGCCGGATCCCAACGCTCGTTGCGCGTGGCTGAACAGTTCCATTGTTCATCTCATCGGAATTATTCCCCATAAATGGTTCCTTTTTTTTTAATGTTTTTTGTTTTTTTGGGGTTCCTTTTGTTTTCCACTAACCAGGCAAAACATGTATTTTTGGCTGGGGTCCTAATTGTAAACGCTTCGCGTTGCCCGCCTCGGCCCAGCCTAGATTGAGGGAAGGGTCAGGAACACCGAAATCCAGTGTTGGGAAGGTCCGAATACCTGAAGCTGGCTCCAGACAAGTCAGACAAGCCGGCCTCGCCTGGTTGGGCTGGGCCACAGGCTAGTCTCAGACACATCAGATAAGCCTGCGCTGGGCCTGAAGCTAGTCTCGGGCAGCTTGGCTGGACCTTGCTTGCGTGGGTTGTTGGTTGAGCTGGGCCTGAAGCTAGTTTACGGCGGGCTGGGCAGCCGCACTGAGGGGGCTGGGCTATGGCTGGGCTGGGCCTGAGGCCAGTTTCAGACACGTCAGACAGGCCTGGCCAGCAGGCGGACTGGGCTGGGCTAGACGCTAGTTGAGCCCAGGCTGGTGAGGCCCAGTCTCGGCGCTAGATCTGAGGCCTGCAAGTCTCAAACAAGGTGGGCTTGGGTGGGGTTGGCTTAGGCGGGTTGCTGGTTGGGCTGGGCCTGAAGCTAGTCTCAGCCACGAGGCTGCGAAGCCATGGGTGGGTAGTTGGCTGCTGGGCAGCCGGACTACGCTGTTGGTTGCGCCTGGAACTTCGGCTGGGCGGGCTGGGCTGAGCTGTGCTTGGGCGGTCGCTGGATGGGCTGAGGCTGGGTAGCGAGTTGCTGGCTGGGCTGGGGCTGAGGCCAGTCGCAGACATGTAAGACACGCCAGCAGGTGGGCTGAGGGACTGGGCCTGAGGCTAGTCTCAGGCTGGCATACCTTAGACTGCGCCAAAGGGGCCTGGTCAGCCTGGGCTGCTTAGTGGCATAGCTTGAGACCAGTCTCAGACACGTGAGACTGGTCGTTGGCTTGAGGCCAGTCTCAGACACGTTAGACAAACCTGATCTTGGCACGCTGGGCTGAGCCTGCTGGTGGGCTGGGAGCTGGGGGGCCGGTAGTGGCTGGCATGCCCTGAGATGCGCCGGGGCCTGGGCTGGGCAGGCTTTGGGCTGGGCCTGACGAAGCCATGGGTGGGTTGCTGGCTGCCGGGCAGCCGGACTACGCTCCTGGTTGCGCCTGGGCAAGGCCTGTTTCATACACACTTGGGCCTGACTGAGGCTGGGTGGCAAGTTGCTGGCTGGGCTGGGCCTGAGGCCAGTCGCAGACACGTAAGACACGCCAGCAGGCGGGCTGAGGGACTGGGCCTGAGGCTAGTCTCAGGCTGGCATACTTTCAGACTGCGCCGAAGGGGCTGGGCCTTGCTGGATGACTTGGGGCCAGACGCGAGCAGGAGGTCAAGGCCTGGGCTGAGTTGCTTGGGCAGCCGGACTGAGGGGCTAGACAGGCTTAGTAGCTGGCATAGCTTGAGACCAGTTCAGACACGTGAGACTGGTCGTTGGCTTGAGGCCAGTCTCAGACACGTTAGACAAACCTGACCTTGGCACGCTGGGCTGAGCCTGCTGGTGGGCTGGGAGCTGGGGGCCTGCCCTGGGGGTTGCTGGTTGGGCTGGGCCTGAGCCTAGTCTCAGACACGTCAGACAGGCCTGGCCACCAGGAGGTCATGCTTTTCAGGACAAAAAAGCATTTTCGACAAAAATGGACCCATGGAGCTGGACGCCGACGAACCCCGAAAATTTCAAGGCCCGCCGGACAGGATTTTGGGCCAGCCGACATGGGTGGGGGGGGGGGGGGGTTGGGGGAGGGGAAAAGCGAAGATTCTCTTTGGAGAAGAGATCTGAGCGCCCTTGGCCCCTTTGGGGCCGAGGCGAATTTCAGCCAAGAATTGTGTTTCTGTTTTTTTTGTTTGGTTGACCACCCTTGTTTTGCAAAGTGATTTAACTGCTGCGGCAAGGGTTCTTATGTTCAGAGAACCCTGACTTATCCATGTCTTATGCTGAATTGCAAACATATAATCTCATTTAGGTGTGATCTTTAATTGGGGACCCACCTGAGATGTGTACCACTACACTGCTTTGGCTTCTAAAACTGGAAACACGGCTGTTCCCAGCGAGTACTCGGCAAATCGACATGCCCTTTAAATGATGGGTTCACCATGTTGAGATACTCTCAAGCCTTGGCGGTGCCCAGCCATCCGGTTCCTTTCAGTTGTTTTCAAGTTGGTTTAGTGGTGGGTTTTTATCCAAGTTTAGCCCGTAGTAAAAGTTAGCTCAACTTTTCGCCAGCCCAGATCTGAGGTCAACGCTTTTCCTTCTGTTTTGTTTTTTCAAGAACCCCCTCCCAAACCCGGGGCAACCGGTAAACCCAGCGGATCTGCAAACCGGGCCGCCGAGCTCCGACGACGATGGTTCGAGGACGGGCCCAGATCTGAGGTCAACGCTTAAACGGAAGCCCAGCGGAAATCCGAACACGCGCAGCAGCTGCGCCGATTTTTGTTCCCGTCCGAGCCGACATGACGCTAGGGCCAACTCCCCCAGACCTGAAGTTCTGAAGTTCTGAAGGGCAAGGGATGGCAAGGGATGGCAAGGGCAAGTTCCCGACCCCGAGTTGTTTTCCCTCGAGGCATGGAAGCCGACTGCATCTCCCTGGAGAGCTGCCGAGCCATGGGCGCGGAGCTGGGCATCGGCAGAGGCGAGCTCGAGGAGTGCCTAGGACGGGAGGTCGTGGGCCGTTGAGCTAGGTTCCCCAGCTCGGTGCCCTTCTCACCCGTTTCTTTTTTTGGTTGGGAGGGTTCCCCTACTAAAATAGACTACAGAAAGAGGGTACCCTTATTGCAACCTCTCCACTGGAGGATCTAGCAGTTGAAACCAGCGGATTCCGCCGTCTTTTCCCATGGTTGGGGGAAGGGTTCCGAGCGGAACCTTCGCAACAGTGCTTGAGCTCGAACTTAGGCCGAAGGCGAACTCGAACAAAATCACGAGTCCAATTTCACCTCGAACATGGCGGCGGATTCACCTCGAATCGCCAAACTCGGCCTCGCACTGTTTGGGCACCTGGGTAAGCGCTTTCAACTGTTCTATGATTGCAGATGCTGCGTGCCGTTTGTGATCCCATGGCTTATGCCAGGATGGACCATTGTTGGACCCAACTCAGGCTACGGTAAGTCATGCGAAAATGCAGCCCTTCCTCTATTTGTGCAGGCCTTTTGGTTCAAAGAAACACTCAAAAATGAGTGGTTTTCCTTGCGCTTCCCGTCCAAGGGAGCACCCGTCGCGTGTTTTTCTTGGCACCCACACACGCTTGCCAGGACGTTTCCACCGCTTGGGCCAGCTGTTGTACTTCCAGGCGCAACGTGAGCCCCTGCAGATTCGCACACTTCTTGTTTTGAAGATGATCATGGATGTCCCAACAAGGTTCCCCAGTAGTGCCCTTTTACTCTTCTTTTTTTTGTGGGGGGGGGTTCCCGTACTAAAATAGACTAATAGACTACAGAAGAAAGGGTACCCTTATTCTAACCTCTCTACTGGAGGACCTAGCCAAGAATAGTTTGAAGCCTTCATTTCGTTTCGTATGGAGTTTAAGGACACCGGGTGTCCCAAGAACAGTTTGAAGCCTTCATTTCGTTTCGGAGTTTGAGGACACAGGCACAGGCTTCTTTTGCTGCACAGTTGAGTAGAGAACGATGGCACAATTCTCCCACAGGACAGGCAATCCACTGTAGGAACAAGTTGAGGGCAATGCAAGCTATTGCCTCATGTTGCTGTGCATAGGCATGGGCTCGGTTTTTTTTTTTTTTTTTTTTTTTTTTTGTTTTTTTTTTTCGGGGGGGGTTTGGCCTGTCCGGATGAGCCATGTCATTAACGGCTTGTTGAACGCGCAGCGCAGCTTAACCTTGCGGGAAGCATGTGTGTTTCGTGTGTTGGTCAAACACCTCATCAATGCTTCCACAGCGATTAATTCCCTTCGCCCTATGTGCCCCCCCCCCCCCCCCCCCCGACCGATTCAGAACAGTGTACAAATCACTGAAGGGGTAGAGAATCCTTGCCGGTCGGACAGGGGAAATACTGAAAGTATCTCATAAGGGTGCTCAGGAGTTTAGCATTGGTTGAGTATTGGGACAATTACAAGTAATGGGGCGGGTTTGCCTTTTGGATTGATATTATTTGACAATAGGGTGAGCAGATTAAACACTCACTCCTAGCAAACATGTTCGACAGTGCAGTGAGTATTGGAAAGCCACTGCTGTTTCCGTTTGCTCCAACGATTGAAGCAGCGCCGAGCCTTACCATGCTCTTAACAGCGGAATCAGGTTTGTCCGGATCCCTTGCGTTTACAAGCTGTGGTTCGGCTTTTGAAGCTTTGGGTCACTTCATAACAATAAAACAGCGCTCCTGTTCGCGGGTTTTTAGAAAATTGCAACGCCCAGTTCAGCAGAAAAAAAAACAATAAGACGATCCTCACCCATGTGGCAACTGGATCTCTGCTGTTGGAGTTTTTTTTTTTTTTTTCCAACTTGCTGGTATCGAAAAGGTATGTGGTAATGTCAATCAGACTGATATAGAAAAAAATGGGGCAATTGAATTTGGAGGGTCCAATTGGTGCCTGTTTTTCTTTTCATTTTTTTGGGAGGGTTTCTTTCCCTTTAAAGTCAACCAACCAAAAAAGGGTTAGCCCTTCCCCTTAGCCCTTCCCCTTAGACAGCCTGATTTTGGCTTCGGCCAGGATGTGGGCTCCACTCACTCCAATTGAAGGGTGGGGTCTGGAGCGTGGCGGAACCAACCAACAAAGGGTGCCCGTTTTTTTTCCCCATGGCCACTGAGCTTTTGAGACTAGATCCAACTGGTCAAAGCCTCTTCCCCTTCAGGGCTCACCCTCCGTGGTGCTGAAGCCGCAGTGGCTGCTGGATGCCATGGCACAGGCTTGCGGAGGGCGCGAGAGCGAGCGAGCCGTTCCTGAAACGAAACGGATTGGGGTAGAAAACGGCAGTTGCTTTGGTGCATTTTGCCAAGGGATGTTAGGACGTAACTTTTTGCCAACTAATGGGTGTCCATTAAATCACTAACAGCTTTTTTAGCAGGGGAGCCAGGGGAGCAGAAAGCAACCGAGAGTAGTTGGGTGTGTCTTTGTTTTGGTGTGGGCTCCCATTTTGGTTTTCCTCTTGCTTTCCCTTTAAAACAGCAGAAAAAAGAGATATCCCTCAAGAACAGGCAGACCCGATTTGCTTTGCATCGGTTTGCTTCGGTTTCCTTCCCGTTTCCTTTCCTCGACCAATGTGCAGCACCTTTTTCAGTGTTTGCTTCTTTTGTTGAGGTGGCTCGTTTCTATTTACGCAAATTCAAACAACAAAGCTGGGGAGACCACGTTTTTTAGGGCATGTTTGTTGCTTTCTCGACCTTTCTTTGGTTGTTTGTCCTCTGTTGGGGGTGAGTTGACCTTCCAAAGCAAAGAAAGGCCATCGTCGCCGTCGTCGTGTCCCGGGGCGTTGGGCAACTGTTCAGATCCTTCAAAGCTGCGATGAGAAGGTACAACTAGACATTGACAGGCAGGTGACGGGGCTTAAAACGCATTGTGTTTCCCACTGTGGTGTTTGACTACTGCAGTGTGTTGTGTTTGTTTGTTTTGTCATACAAGGGCCCAACAAAGCGAGTGGAATCGACCCCCCTCAGTTTTGGAAGGGCGTTCCTTTCCAAAACAAGGAAGTGGGAATGATAACGCGTCCGGGTTTGGAGGAATGAACTGGTTTCGTGGATTCCCGGACAAAGGAGACCAAATCGGATGGATGGTTTTGCTCGGGGGGGTCATTCCATTTCTCATGCCCTGCATCTCTCGAAGCACCAAGATAACCCTAATCCTAGAAGGGAACCCTCTCGGGTCTACCCCTAATGTTCCCCAGAAAATTGGGGGGGCCCCCGCCACCCGAAAAACATCCGCCAGCTCCCCTCGCGCAAATTTTGCGCGCGCGCATCTCGCGCAAGCGTTTTCGCCAGCGAGCGAGCGATGGATCGCCAGGTGGTGGGGTGCCCGGTGGCGTTGCGGCAGGACCCCCTGCGTGCGCGGAAGTTGAAGCAGGGGGGCCTCACGGAGGAGCTGCTGCAGGCGATATCGGAGAGCTGAAGCCAAAATTTGGCTGGGGAATGAGACGAAGCTCCCCCAGCAATTGGTGCCCTTTCTCACCCGTTTCTTTGTTTGGGGAGGGTTGTGGGTTCCCCTACTAAAATAGAAAAACAAAACAAAACAGTGGGTACCAACTTGTTCTAACCTCTCAAATCTGGACCTAGGAGACATGGAATGGAGAAAGTTGGTACCAACTTATTCTAACCTCTCCAATCTGGACCTAGACATGGATTGGCTTTTGGGCTTGCTCAACCTATCAGAGTGTGCCACCCAATTCTGCAGGCAAGGGACCGGAGATAGGTTTGTGTCTCAGGGTATCCCCACCCCCACAAAAATGGAATTGGGGGAGGGGGGGTGACCCCTGGAGATCTCCATTTATGGTTCCAGTTTCCCTTTTATGGGGAAGACTAGATAAATGGAATTGGGGACCCCCCACCCCTCTTCCCCTTAAGGTAGGGGGGATCTCAGGGTTCTCTCTGTTCGGACCGAGGAAAGGTGTAGGCTGCATGATTTCGCTACCAGGCCGTCATGAGTTTCACTTTCCGATGAAAATAGCCCAACCTGGACGCAACCTCCCTAGGAAAAGTTGTCATGCACGCTGTCAGGTCGAACTTTCTACCTAATTAATGAATGGGGAGTTGGGGGTGGGGGGAGGGGTTGTAATTGGATCCCGGTTTCCCGTAGTCTTCCATTTGCTTAATAATATTTTGTTTTTTCCACTGGTTGTAAAGGGAATCTATCACTAGATATGTTTATTTTTCCAGGGGTCTTAAGCAAATGGAGGTAGTGGGTAAATCGAAAGCAATGCATAGTGGATCTCAGTTGCCCAAAGCGAATCGACCTTTTGACCTTTTGTTTTTTCCCTTTTTGGTCTAGTTTTAGTCATGGCCCCAAAAGGTGATCACCTTTTATTTCTGGGTCCAAACTGGGCAAGCGAGATAGTGGATGAGGATTTTCGGTGTCCCACCGAACCGCCGCCAGGTTCTTTGGCAGGACGAGAAGTTCAGGGGTCATCAGCCTGTCTTGCCGCTGGCTGCACTGATCGTCGGATGGCTGTGGCTCAAAAAACCGGAATACCAGAATGGGTTACCCTGGTAAATGGAAACATGGGTACCAAAACCTGCGTTTTGCGCTCCGATCGTTTAATTGAGCCACAGCCATGTGAGTGCTGGTTGATAAATGAGAGACCCCCTTCAGGTGGTTGGTGTCCTTTCTAGGTCCCCCAGCAGTGCCCTTTAGTAGGGGGAGGGTTCCCCGACTAAAATAGACTACAGGAAAAAGGTGGTACCCTTATTCTAACCTCTCAAATCTGGAGGACCTAGTGGTTGGTTTCCTCAAAATTAGAGACCCCCTCAGGTGGTGGTGTCCTGTCGGTTTCCTCGTGAAAGTATCCAAACAGGGGACCCCAATTTGAGAAGGACCCATATGTCGTTTCTTCCATGCTGTAATTGGATCCAGCTACCACTAGGGCAGGCGGCCAGGGATGAATTGTCGTCTTTGAATGTGTTTGGCACCTTGTGTTTGGCACCTTTGGTTCCATGGAATGGCAGAACATATAGTCAATTTGCAAGTTGTTGTTATGCTTGTTTATGCGCTGCTTTGTTGGGCTGACTTGTTCGATCATGGTTTGTTGACTTTGTTTGGTAGGACGCTATGTATTAATATACACAACATACACTGGTACTGCACAGCCAACTGTCACTTTCGTTTAGACTGGAACGAAGGTTGCGCCCCCGGCAGGGAAAGGGGACTGGGTAAGAGCATTCAATCACCACCAGTGACCAGTGATTGTCTAGAGGTCTGAATGAATCGGTGAACACTGACTGGTGAAAGTGAATTACTTTGCGACATCTCTGCAATTGACAACTTTACTAAGTGTTGGCAAATATTTAAGTACACAGCATAAAGCGTTCCCAGGCCCAAATTCCCAAGTGTCCCAAATGTTTGGGAGTTGGGGGGGGTGGGCGGGGGCCTGACAATGACCCTGCACCGTGTCAATAACCCTGATTCTGACTCTGAGCTGAGCGGAATCTCAGATGAGGATGATGAGGAGGAGCCGGATGACAAAATGTCACAGAAGGACGAGGCCTCCTCCTCCGTGCACCAGGACCAAGATGAGTGGCGGTGGATGCCGCTTGAGTCAGGTCGATGGCAAGGAGCACAATTGCTGCGATTGGAGAGGCAGTGGCAGGACGCCGGGTTCCCCAAGCTCGGCACTGAGGCAGGCGATTGGTTCCACACACAAATTACAGCAGCGGAGACGGCCTATGTCACTGCGACAGGCATCTATGACAACATGCCTGACCCGGATGGTGGAATTGCGGGTGAATTCTGGTATCCATGTTCTTTTTCAGTGAACGAAGCAAAAGCTCCCCCTCAACATTCCCTTAAGAAGTTGGTTTGTTGCCCCAAAATTAGGTAGTTTGAGGGTCCAGCTCATTGTGTCGGATATATCTTCTACTGCACCACAACCCAAAATTGGTAGTTTGAGGTTCCAGGTTGACATGTTTCCTCCTGACCCGCCGGGGCCTGTTTTGATTCTTCCCCAGAACTAGCTTCTCTTTTTCATGTTTTTTGGCGGTCCCCTTTTTCATTTTTTCCAACCAGGCCAAAACGTCGAAAAGGCGCCCCCTCCCCTTTTTTTTTTGGGGGGGGGGGTTTTCCACCCCACCTCCCCTTCTTTTGGGTTTTCCACCCCACCTCCCCTTTTTGGGTTTTCTACCCACCTCCCCGGTCGTTTTTTTTTGCTGGGGTCGTGCGTCACGAACTCCTCTTCGCCGCAAGGCAGGCCTTCCTCGAGCACTTCGACCTGCTGGTGCCTGGGGAAAAGGCGCGGGGCATCGCGTCACGGAACGGGTGGGGACTGGGGAAAAGGTGCGTCAGACTGGGGCGTGTCATGTGGGTTTTTTGTGGGGGGGTGCCCCGTCTTTTTTTTTGGGGGGGTTTTAAAGAAAGGGAAGCAAGAAGGAAGAATACGCAATTTTGGAGAGTCTGCCCAAAAAAAGGCACATCCGTTTTGGTGAAATCAGTGACAAGGGGACACCTTTCTAGGCCAGTTTGCTTGAGAATGTCGACCCCGCAAAAATCGACTAAGCTTGACATGGGGTTTCACACAACTTGAAGGATTCTCGTTCTATTGGGACATGCTATTAAAATTCACACACCAGCAGCAGTCTGGGCTTCCTTTTGGGTTTCCTTTCAACACCGCCCATCAAGGGGTGCTCTCAGGGGAAAAAGACATCCAGGGTGGAGAGATTTTCTTTTGCAGACCCCAACATGACTGTCCAGAGACCTGGGCGCCCAAACCTTTGCCCATTTAAATTCAAGCAAGCCGTTCTCCTTAAGGCGTATGGTTGTGCTGCTACGCCGTATGTCCAAGCCTCCAAGATGTCCTGTGGGCATACCCTGCCCCTGAAAGGCCAGCTTTGGGAGGCTAGGTCCCCCAGTGCCCGGTTACCCGTTTTTTGGTTGGGAGGCTTCCCCTACTAAAATGGACTGCAGAAAACAGGGTACCAACTTATTCTAAGCTCATTGCTGGATGACCCAGGAGGGCTGGAGTATGCTGAAAAGGTATGGGAGCGGCTCAACTTGCCTTACTCCATGAGTAGTCGCTTTTTGGGTTTGGACCATTTTAGTGGTAAATCACAAGTTCTTGGACTTCTCTTTGGGGAGGGGCCATCCACGCGATCGGAAGTGATGCCCGGTTTTGAACCGGTCTCGGGGTTTTTTGGGCGGTTTCGCGGGCCGAAAAATGCGGCAGGGCTGGCTAGTGCCGAACCTCTTGCCTCTTCGGCCTCAGCAGAGTGACTGCAACCAAGAGGCGGCGGCTCGGAGCGATCAGCGAGCGGATGCGAGCGAGTGGGTGTCGACTCCCTTCAACGGGTGGTGTCCGTTGGTTTCCCGAACCCCAACCAAAAAGACCAGGGGGTTACTCCCTCTGCGCATGCAAGATCGTCACTGGGGACATCCACTAATCAAGCAAAGGTTAATGCCATTGGGCAAATAACGATGTCTGACAGGGTTTCCGAACCATTTCCCTTTTTTGGAACCTCCAAAAGTGGCGGACACCACCAGTAAGTTGATCAACTATTGATTCGGGAAAATCCGAAGGCGACCCCTGTGCTGCATTTGTTGCAGGCTGGTTAAGATGTTTTTATTTTCCCCTGTTGGTATTAAAGGGAATCGATCACTACTGGAAATACTTTTGTTTCTTGCCAGGGGGCTTAAGCAAATGGAAGAGTAGGTGAAAGGTCGCTGAATTGTTGCCCGGCATTTTTCAGGGTGGGTTTTCAATGGCCTGCCGCGAGCCGGTGGAACGCCCCCAAAAGGAAACGGATTCGAGCGATGTCCAAAAAGCAGCTGTTTCCCCAAGGTTGTGGGCTTTCTGGCAAGAATGGGGAAGGTACCCCTAAACCTTTTCGTTTTTGCGCAAGCTCAAAACGGGGCAAGTGATCAACAAGTTCCTAAGCGAAGATCATTTCACTTGCCCAGAGCCAACCTTTGAAAACGTTGGTGTGTTGGCAACCACTTTTAGAGGTCCCAAAAAGTGATCTTTTTTTTTATGTCGAGGTCCCGAGGAAGCCGTGTGGGCGTTTTGTATATTGGACGCCCCAAAATGGATCTCGGTTTTCCTTTGGTTGCCCTTGACAAACAGTTGGTACCAACTCCCAGAAAGACACTAGGATTGATGACCATCCCAACCCCAAGAAACGTAGTGATCGAAGCCAGTCTTCCAAAGGGAGCCCCATGACCCGAACATGGGTTTTCCTTTTCGTTTCCTTTTGATCCAACCCAGAAAGAGGTTCCAACCTAAAACACAATGAGAAACAAACCCATATACTGAGTTGGTCTCCCTTGAACACCCTCCCAAAGCATACAACCCAAAAGGGGGTTCCTAAAAGAAAGACAGACCCATCTGAGATCAAGGGTTTTCCTTTTGGTCTCCCTCAAGACAACCCTCCCACACATGGGGTACCTCCAAAGAACACAGCCCACACATCAGTTTGTTTTCCCTCAAGAACACCCTCCCGAAGTACTCATGCCATCGGGTTTTCCATGTCTTGTTCCCTTTAATCCAGCCCAAAAAGAGGTAAAGCGGGCCCATCCGAGGGCTTCCCCCTCAAGAAAACCCTCCCAAAGTACGAACTTACGACCCATCCGACTTGGTGGTGTCCTTAGCCATCCATGTCCTGAGCCTTTTCGCCTTTTTAGTGTTTAGTGGTAGTTTCCGTATTTAACCCACTAAAAGTGCGTCACTTTTAGCGGGGGATCTGAGGGTTGCGACCCAGCTGAGTCGCCTTTTTAGTGGTAGTTTCCATTTAACCCACGAAAAGTGCGTCACTTTTAGCGGATCAGAAAACGTTGTCGGCCCGGCTGAGGTCACTCTGATCCTGGACTTCAAGGGGGCCTTTGGCCGCTTGCTGCCCACCCTCATCCCCAGGCACCGCGACTCGGGACTCGCTCCTTTCGAGCTTCGGGTTGCAGGAGTCTACGGCCATGAAAACGCCCAAAGAAAATCATACCTCCATACCTCAAACACCCTAAATCCCCGTAAAATGAATGGGGGCTGGAGTTTTTGGAGGGGATTATGATTCCGTTGTTGTTGGTTATGAAGGGAAATCAAAAGGCACACGACCATTTGTGTAGGGAGTATCCTAAGACAAAGACACACCCACATAGCCCCAAGTGTTGCACACGGAGGTGTGTGGCTCACTGATTCTTGTGAGGACAAGAAATGTGTGGCCTGGCCCAAATTCCTAGCACAAAAGCCAGGCAAAGAAACACCCAGCTTTCCCCATGCCCGCTTTCTCTGGTACAAATTGCCAAGTGACTTGCACACTGCGGACCCACCAGAACCCGACAGCAAGCCTTGCTTACTGTGGAAGAGTTCATTATTTTGGCGGCAAAACATAAGATGCTAGGACGAGTCACCGTGCCGCTTTGGAGAGTCTGCCTGTTCCCTCACCATTCCAGGCGCAGTGGGGCGCAGTCTTCCAACTTTGCGCGAAGGAAATTAAGAACTTCTCCAGAATTAGCTCCCCTTTTTGCTTTTTTGCTTTTTTGGGGTTTCTTTGTTTTCCACTAACCAGGCAGAAAAGTGTTTTTTTGCCTGGGGTCCTAATTCCAGCAAGAACACAGGTGCTAAATATGTAGACATCTCATGCCACACTCGGGAGAACAAGTTGAACTCCGGGCTTTGTGGTAGGGAAGGCAATGCCTTCCCCAGTCAAGTCGCAAATGTATTGTCAGTCATTGTGATTTCAGATAATTGGTTGTTGCAGGAAATGCCAGGTGTGAATTTGTCCGCTATGGCGATGGATTCATGCCTGGAATCATTATGAGCTACACGAATGACTATCTGCGAGTTGTCAAGAAAGCAGCTGGACCGGCTTGGATTTCCGAAGGCTCCGAGGTGTGTCTTCCAATTTAAATATGCCGAGTTGTTTGGCTCATGCGTTGCTTGCATGTTTGTTGTTGAGTGTTTTTTTTTGTTTTCCGGGTTTGCTTCATTTTGATCGCACATTTTCAGACACACAAGTTCATTGTACCGCGTTTGCCTTTAGCAACTTGGGAGCATGATGATGTTTCCAAAATAGATGTGCTCGAACATGATAGGCGTCTTTTTGGTTGCCCTTGCGAGCACAAGCTCGCAAGTGGGGAACCGCCCTTTCGGTTCCCCTTGAAACAAAACACCACCCAAGATAAGCCAAAGGGCGGTCCTCTTCGCTTTCACTCTCGTCCTTGCTTTTGTCACCAGGCTCTTGTGCCAGCTGCGGAAGCGGCCCGAACCTGGGCGGCACAAAGCGGGCGACGGTTGGCGTCGGTTGGCTTTTGACAGCGGTCTCGTTGTGTGTAAGTTAATGCTGAGGCGTGTTTGGCTGTGGTGGTCAAAACCGTTTTGGGATCCCATTTTGGGATCGGTGAATTCGCCACCCATTTTAGAACCTATTTTAGTGATTGGATTGAATCGGATGTTCACTGGGGGTACGGGATTTTGACCCATGGCCATTTCGGTGTCATGCGCGAACTGCTCAAGGTGGCACAACGCGTCCATTCATCTCCTTTTTTGGAGATGGCAAACGGAGCGCGGCGTTTCGCCGATACATCTCATCCCCGCCGGGAACAAAACCTGCAGATGCTTTGGGTGTTGGCGCATCCGGTGGCCAGAGAACTCAGCGAGGTGTGCATAGGTATGGCTTTGGCACTCAGCACGAGTGTTCTCATCGAAGTGGGATCCGATGTTTTTTTTTTTTTTTAAAGATTTCCTAGGGCTGGTGTTTTTACTAGGGCTGGGTTGGTTGGTTGTTTTACTTGGTTGGTTGGTCGGTTGGCTGGTCGGTTGGTTGGTCGGTCATCCCAAAAGCAACCCTAAGGGCACTGCTTAGCCAGCAGCGCACCCAACACAAATCAGCTCCAAGCCAACCCCAAATCCACCCAAAGTCAACCCTAAACCCGCCCAACCGCACTCTGGATGTCAGCCCTAAATCAACCCCGAACCACCACAAGAACGACCCTAAGAGCCAGCCTAAACCCCCCCTGAACTTCAACCCCGGCAACTCCCAGCCGCCTTCCAATCAGAGCCAACAACAACTCGCCCAATTGAGGCTGGTGATGGAGATGTTGCCAGCCCAAACCACCTTTGTGCATTGAAGTGTTCCCATCTCACCCCAACAAGCACGGAAATGGGGGTGCGGGCTTTGCAGTACATCTCACTTCCGGAGTTTCCACTTTACATTTTTTTGGGGAAGACCATCTTGGTCTGGGGTCATTATTTCTGGGGGTTATCAAAGTCAGAAAATGGGTTCGGGTTGTTTCCCTTTAACCCACCACTTAGGGGGTGATTTTGGTCATGGTAAAATAACGAGGCCAGTTGGTGGCAAATAAAAGGTTTGGGCTTGACCTTTGGCCCATCCACTCCGGAAGTGAGACATGGGCCACCAGTTTCTTGAAGAGGCTTGTCCACTTCCATAAGTGTTGGGCAAAAGGGTCACCTCGCGACTAGATCGCTGAAGATCGCTGAAGATCGCTGACAACATTCACTTCTTGGTGGCTTCCAGCCATCCATGTCCTTGGCCTTTTAGCTTGTTGGTGTTTAGTGGTAGTTTCCATTCAACCCACTCCCAGAACTACTTTTAAATAGGATGTTCGTGAAAATCATGATCCGACCTAGTTGAAGCAAACAAACGCGTTTTCCCAGAACATGTGCTTTACCACCTCGTCTAGGGCACTAGAAGTTAAACTTTGAGCTGGGATCTGAGACGGAATCCGTGGTGATCAAGGGTCCGGGCGCCTGGTTCGATACGCAAATGACAAATGCCGCCTTGGTTTCCTTGAAGGGAATCCCGTTCCGGCTCATTCCCGGAGCCCGAACTCGGTCATTCCCGAAACTTGAAATCGTAGAGCTCAATTCTGTTTCTTCAATGAGTAGTCTTCCTGAACCCTCCGATCGTCAGCTTCCATGATTGTTGGACAGAGGGCAATTACGGGAAATGGCTGTGGTTGTCAAAACCGTTTTGGGATCCCATTTTGGGGTAGGTGAGTTCACCACCCATTTCAGAACCTATTTTAGTGGTTGGATTGAATTGGACCCATTTGTGCCACGGAAATGTCCCTCGAAAAACCGAGGAGCTGAAGCTGCTTCCATGTTGGAGCGAGGGTTATTCGGGAACTCCGCCCCCTCGGTGCCAAGATGTTTCCTCAGTTGTTCAGTGGCACCAATTCTTGTTCCCCTTTTTTTGGTGGCTGCCCGGCTGCCCCACTAAAATGGTCCAAGCCCAAAAAAGAATTGGTTCCGTTTTTTTCTCCAGGGTCACTGAACAACCGAGCTTCAATACCCTTTTCAATCACTTGTCAACGAGCTTGCTTGTCCTCAGACAAACATAGAAATAGCATGGACCAACCACGCGAGTCATTCTCTCAAGGATTCCCAAATGCACATGTGGACCGATATGCTTGATTATCCATTTGGGTGTGGGTCAAAAATACACCAAGCGGGGACCGCAGATTTTGGTCCATGTTTCCACTTACCAGGGTTCCATATTGGTACCGTTTTTTTGACCCACATCCATCTGGGCCGAAGCCGTGCAATTTTCTTGCGGCTGAACAACTGAGTTTCCATCGAAAATGCCGAGGAGCTGAAGCTGAAGGTCTTCGAAGTCTTCCGGGACTGGGCCCGGCTCTCGCTGTTCGACCCCGCGCTGCTGGCGCCTCGGAGGGAGGGCGTTTTTCGTTTTGTTGAGGCCTGGTTTTCTGCCTGAGCTCATGGGGCCTAAAACGTTCGTTTCGTTGGTGGGACACATTTTGCGTATAATTTGGCTTGGTGTGGTTTAGGGGTTGAAATCCGAATCCACTGAACTGCTGAAATTTGTGAATTGTTGCTCCCCTTTCAACGTCGACCAAGTCTAGGGGACGCTTCCAGTTCCATTCTTTCCAGGGAGCCGGATCTTTCAGAAGACCATCAGAAGCCAGGGGACACAGCTGGTTTTGGAAAAGAACGATGGTTGAAAAGAATGGGGAATCAACCCCTAGAAAAACGTGTTTTGGTTTGGAAGTGACAGATATGGGGGTTGATCAATATTGCTGGCCCCCAGGTTTGTCCAGGGGAAACTTTTCCCAGGTGGGAAATCTCATGAATTTGAGTGGTTCCAAGCAAAGGTCATCATCCGTGGTGTTGATCGACCCCCTTTCGGTCATTCATCCTTCGAGCCTGAACCAAAGGTTTCCTCAAAGGTCATCATCTGTGGTTTTGATCCACCTTTTTGTCATTCATCCGCCTGAACCCAAGAGCCCGAATAAGCTTTGACTAGGTCCCCCAGCTAGGTGCCCTTCTCTCCCCTTTTTTGGTTGGGAATCCGGATTCCCCCTACCAAAAGACAGAAAAAGGTTGGCAGCCTTATTCTCACCTCTCGAATCCTGAGGACCTAGTTGATTCGAGCCTGAAAAGGTCATTATCTGTGGTTTTGATCCACCTTTTTGTCATTCATCCGCCTGAACCAAAGAGCCCGAATAAGCTTTGACTAGGTCCCCCAGCTAGGTGCCCTTCTCTCCCCTTTTTTGGTTGGGAATCCGGATTCCCCCCACAAAAAGACAGAAAAAAAGTTGGCAGCCTTATTCTCACCTCTCGAATCTGGAGGACCTAGTTGATTCGAGCCTGAAAAGGTCATTCTCTGTGGTTTTGATCCACCTTTTTGTCATTCATCCGCCTGAACCCAAGAGCCCCATTTGGAGTTTTGCTCAGGTGACCTTCGACCTCTACCCCGCGGCGTGCCCGGAAGTGCTGCGGCTGCAGGCGGTGACCCGGTCGGCCCAGCGCCTCAAGGACCGCGGCTCGGAGGTCGGGAACGGGGGAACCTTTAGGTCGCTCCCTGAGTTCCAGGTCCCCCAGCTAGGTGCCCTTTGACCAACTTTCTTTTTCGGTTGGGAGGGTTCGGGACCCTACTAAAACAGACTACAGAAAGTTGGTACCCTTATTCTAACCTGGACTTTATCTAATTTGGCCCGCCTTTCTGACGAGTCAGGGACTCCACAGGCACCTGAAACATCCCTCCAAACGACTAGGGGGTAGTAAGCCTTGGCTAGGCACCCCCAGCTAGCTGCCCTTTCTCACCCAACTTTTTCGGTTGGGAGGGTTCCCCCAGTAGAATAGACTACAGAAAAAAGTTGGTAGCCTTATTCTAACCTCTCGAATCTGGAGGACCAAGTTGGTGAAGGCCAGTTGGGCTTCTTATTTTTGTGGGGTCTCAGACCAAGGCAAAAACAAGGCCAGTGAATCCAAGGAACGCCTGCCTCCATGAACCGTTGGAAGAGCAGCCGAGCCTTGGCAGGCCTTGCTAGGCATGCGCGACTCTCATCTTGTTGGCCCGCGGATGGGCACAAGGCGTGCTTCCACTGCAAAGCGGTTCGCATTGGCGTCCTTCTCCGGCCGTGAACATAGATGGCTTTGACCCGCTCGAGTGTGAGAAAATCTATTTCAATCCAAAAGGATGCCTTGCCTCGCACCAATCAACCTGACAACAGGTCCCTTTTAAAGGAAAATGGTCCAGACCACCAAAAGTCACCTTTTGGAGAGACCCTGAAAAAATACCCACTTTGGACTCAGAACTCCCCTACTTTACGCCACCCCCCCGGAAACGACGAAGGGCTCTGGCTGTTGATGTCGCGGAAGGAGCTACTGGACTCCGTGCACCTGGCGATGCAGGCCGACTCTTTTTGCGCTTGGCCCAGGCATTTTGCAGTCTGCTGCAAGGCCCCCTTTAAAGTGAAACCACAAGGAAAAACGAGATCCAGTTTGGGGGTCCCCGCGAAAAGCACACACCCAGATATTTACATCATTGGTGGCTCAACCAGCCATCCGGTGCCTTGGCTTTTTAGCTTTTTTGTTTGTGCTGAGTGGTTGGGTTTCCATATTTCACCCACTAAAAGTTGAACTTTCAGCGGGGGATCTGATGACAGCCCAGGTATGATGCTGTTGGTGGGGACATAAGGGGCTCTCCTTGACAGATCTATTTGTTCTACACGGTGATGAGCAAACAACAATTTGGGTATGGGTCAAATTAAACCACCAGGCGACCACAGGTTTTGGTCACTGTTTCCATTTACCAGGGTGCCAATTTGGGTACCTATTTTTGACACAGCTGTTTGATTTGTCCTCCACACGGTGCAAGGCTGGGTTAGGGGTCGCACGGACACCTTGTGGAAAGTGTTCCATGCGACAGATGCAATTGTTTTACAAGTTTTTCCCAGCAATCTTTGAAAGGAGCCAATAGCGCCCAATAAAGTCTCACAAGTTGCCCAGTGGGTTCCGCTCTTTTCTTTTTCTTGCTTCCATTTGCTTAAGAATATGTTTTATTTTCCCCTGTTGGTTTCAAAGGGAATCTATCACTACTCACTACTGGACATATTTTTCTTGTCCAGGGGTCTCAACCAAATGGAAGTGTTTTTTTTGGGCAGGATTCCCCTTTAAACTCAGCCAACCAATCACGGAGGTTTTTTCCCCCACAGAACTCCACGCATCTGAGACTCTGCACTCCGGCAGCTTGTGGGCACCCAGGCAAAGAATATGGCTGTGGGTCAAAATCCAAGTCGGTTAGCCCCCAGTGAACATCCCTTTTTCCCCACGAACATGGACTAACATGGGTGGTGAATTCTCCTACTCCAAAATGGTACCATTGGTTTTGACGTACAGCCATGCAGACAGACAGACAGAAAGAGAGACAGACAGACAGAGACACAGACAGACTTGGAGGGAGACTTTTCGACTTTGACCTTGGAGATAGAGGCAGAGAGAGGGAGAGAGGGAGAGGGAGGGAGACAGAGGGCGAGGCAGAGTCAGAGACAAAGGCAGAGGGAGAGGGAGAGACAGACAGGCAGCCAGCTATGCAGATGCAGCAGGGCAGGCTGACAGACAGACAGAGAGAGACACACACACACACACACACAACACTCGGTCCCCTAAGCTAAGCCTTTCTTGGCCACTCAAGTCAGGGGTCCCTATATTTTTTGTCTTTTTTTGGGTGGTTTCAAACAGCGCCTTTTTGGGCCCATAGGTGAGTGTCCCCTTGGTGCTTGACTGCTATTGGGGCAAGGGATCTTTAGACTTTTTTACTTTTGGGAAAACCAAGTTGCGTTCTCCACTAAACCCCCAAAGAGTGAAACTCACTTTTTGCAGGGGGGTCAACAGCAGCAACCAAGGGCGGGGCTGATGTTTTCAGGGGAAATATCGGGAGTGGGCGCGAGCGCGCGCTTGCGCCAGGCTTGGCTGCCGCAGGTGGCCTACTCCACAAACCTGCGACTCGGACCAAAAGATGTGACCATGATCTATGTTGCATTGAAGATCTGCATACGATCAAAAACACATGGGATCTATGCATTATGTATTTTTGTAATTTATTTGTATACATACTCATATAGGTAGATGTATACACACACCTACCTGTGTATTTGTATAGGTGCGCTATATGCCACTACGCAGCATATGCCACGGCGTGTTCCCCTCGGAGGCCTTGCCCCTGCGGTGCAGTACAGCGAGACCATCTGCTGGACCTCACCAAGCTTTTGCGCGAGGCTTCGGGGGAGGGGGGAGAGGGGCGGCGTGGGATTTTTTGTTGACATGGGGCCTCGGGGCGGGGGGGGAAACGGGAGGGGAAGGGGGAAGGGAGGGGGAGGGGGAAGGGAGGGGGAGGGGGAAGGGAGGGGGAGGGGGAAGGGAGGGGGAAGGGAGGGGAAGGGGGAAGGGAGGGGGAGGGGCAAGGGAGGGGGAGGGGCAAGGGAGGGGGAGGGGGAAGGGAGGGGGAGGGGAGGGGAGGGGACAATTTGTGGTTTGGTGGTTTGGGTTTGGATTCGAAGCCCTGGCTCGTGTGGCTCAAACCACCTTTCATGTGTCAACTGTTGGTGTTAAAAGGGATTCTATCACTGCTGCAAATATTTTTATTTTTTCCCGGGACCTAAGCGAATGGAGGGTTTAGATTCCCATTTTTCTGCTTGATACGAAAACGAAGCCGGACATTTGTTTTCTTACCCCCCGGATGGCTCAGTTCAATTCTGAAGAAGCACCAGCACCAGTTTAAACCATTCCAAGCCTTGCCCCAAATTTCAACATGTGAAGCCAACAGAACATTCAACCCCTTGCTCAACATCCAGCCTAAGCTTGGCTTGAGACTTTGTGCAGCCCCACCAATCGAAGAGCACTTGAAGAAGTTGCCAAACAAGGAGGTGTTGCGCCCTTCGATTTTGGGTTGCAGCCTCGGACGATTTGAAACCCGAACCCCGCAATATAACAAACACACCTCAAGACTTGGATTGAATCAGCCAAATTCCATCAACAAAAGCATGAACGATTGAGGGTTGACAGAACCACTCACTCCCCGAGTTCCTGGACTTTAAACACCTCTTGGGGAGATCATTTTAGTGGTTGACAGAAAGCGTGGTTACTTGTTTGGCCCAACTCGATCGGAAAGTGAGACCTGGCGCGGTTTACACAGATTCCGAGACGTCCCTTTGAGACCGAGGGACATCATTATTCCAAACTCGTTATGGGTGGCTTGTCTTTATTTGGAGATGGCACTGCTTTTGGGTTGGTTTTAAGGGAAAACCAAAAGGAAAACCGAAATTCATGTTGGGGTCCCCTAAGAAATATGACACTCGTAGAGGAAAAAAGGACAAGTTCGGTGTCCCATTTCCTAAAACCCTGTCCCCTTTTCATGGATGCAAGGGGTGGAGGAACTCTGTTTGACAACCTGCCAAGCAGGGATGGCTTTTCTGTCTATTTCAACGAGCACTTTTGACGAATTGAGATATGTCAATTTACAATAGGCTAGATGGGCATAGCCAAGCTGTGTCAACTTGGTGCTTTTGCAAACTGATTATGTTGTACCTGTATGGGTCCATATGGGAAGCGACATCCGAACACGGTGTACCTGGCTGAACGGGTGGGAAAAGGGGGCATACTTCCCCCGCCCTGATGCGGGTTCCTTTGTCGCCAAAAAGGCAGCTGTAAGGTCCCTTGATAAGCGACATATTGAGCTGATCCTAGGTCCCCCAGTAGTGCCCTTTCTCACCCCTTTTTTGGGGGAGGGTTCCCCTACCAAAGTAGACTACAGAAAACAGGGTACCCTTATTCTAACCTCTCTACTGGAGAACCTAGAAGAGCTTCAAAAGGCGATGCGTTGTTGTTTAGAGCAGAAGATGGTGCGGAGTATCTGACAAACTGGATGGCTGACTAAACCCTTTTGGGGGACGAGGAACTTGCTGATTCTTGAGTTCTCAGGTGCGAACATGTTCTTTATTCCGGGGACCTTCTCAGATCCGAAGCCGCGCCTCGCTTTCGCAGCTCGCAGATCTCCTTATCTTTCTTTCCGGCGGATTTCAATTCAGGAACTCCTGTTTTTCGGCGGAGTTTTATTTCTCGGCTCCCGATTTTCGGCGGATGTCCTTACTTTTTTTCGGGCGCCGCAGGAGCCGTTCCTGTGTCCCAGCACCAACAACTTGGTGAGCCCCAACTCGGAGATCATCCGGTCCTGGAGGCCTGGTGCGATTCGATCTCCGATCCAAGGCAAATGGGTCGGAGTTTGGAAGCCTGGAGGATTCTGGTCTTGGAAAATGGTGCTTGATGTGTGTTTTGTGGTGTTTTTTGCTTGGGGGGGAACGTAATTTTCCGGTTTTTTTTTCCGCTGAACACCCGCCAAAGAAAGGGAACCCCCCAGAAAGGACACCCGTTGATTGTGAAGATGCTGGCTTTGAAGATCAAGCCAATTCACCATCGCCCTCGCGATACGGAGACGTGGGCTTGCGCGCTTTGATGCGTTGATGCTCGACATGAAACCGATCTACATGTGCCATGGTCAACTCAGTTGTTCTGTGGCTCCCTTTTTCCCTTTTTTGGTGGCTGTCCCGCTAAAATGGTCTTCCCAAAAAGAGTTCCCTTTTTTTCCAGGGTCACTGAACAACTGAGTCAAAACTCGTTATCTATGGCCTGTGGTCATGGCTCCCTTAGTGGAATCATGAGGGCGCTAGGGATTCCTATTACCAGCTGGATGACCATCCCTGTTAACCCCAAGTAAGGGGGCATCTTGACCACACACATGGCTTATTGGATTGGCTTTTTCCTTTGTTTGGTTCCTGTCAGCTGCGCTTGAAACATGTTTGCATCAACAGCCTGGACGGAATATTCTGGGTGTTTAGGACACCCCTACGGTTTACCGATTTCCAGTGGTTTGGTCACCTGTCCACGAATATGGATTCCACCAGAGGGTCCCTTTCAACAGAAAGTGGATGGGAGGGTAGCTACAGGCGCCACAGGTTGGTTGAAAGCGCAGAAGTTCTGACGTTTCCCCCTTTCAAAGTCAAGGCGCCTGGCAGTACTTGCCAATGTGCCAGTGATTCCAGCGGGCTGCCCTGATCATCAACAACTACGATATCTTCATGCATCTTCGGATTTGTGGGAGTTTGATGCTTCTTTTTTTCTTCTTTTTCTTTTTCGAGATTTGCGGCAAGTCCACAGGTGGGGGGCGAAAGTCCAGCCACGGCAAGGTGCAATTTCCGAGCAAGCGACGCTTCCAATTGTTATGACTGGATCTCCTTTCAGTGCAGAGGTTAGCCATGGCCAACAGGCTTAGGGAACGGGCCGGTTGCCAGTGTTTGATGCTTCGTTGATAGGGGTGGCTCGGACGTCTCACTTGTGTTTTTGCCGTTTAGTCTTGAGGCAGCAAACTTTCCCGTGTGTTTCCGAGGGATATCAAGCCCATGCCGGCCAGGACGCTGAAGCAAGAGAATGAATGCAACTTGTCAAGTTGAGGGCGTATTGTAGGACCTTCTTCACACCCCTTTCAAGGAATTGAGTGCCAGCCATTTGGCCATTTAGTAGAGAACCCCCTCGAACGTGGTTGGTGCACGCAAATCCCCACCGAAATGATGTCCACCAAAGTGTCCCTTATTAAACTAGGTCCCCCAGTAGTGCCCTTTAACCCTTTTTTTGGGGAGGGATCCCCTACTAAAATAGACTACAGAAAAAAGGGTACCCGTATTCTAAACTCTCTACGGGAGGACCTTTTGAAATTCAGACCAATTTTGAGAGAGACAGAGAGAGACAACCACATTCGGGACCCGCTTTTGGATGGCTTGTTCAAGGACCGGGCAACCGATTTCCAGATTTCAGGGAAATGTGTTTGCTATTGGTTTCAGAGGTGAACCAAGGGAAGCCGGCGATTTGTTTCCAGGGGTCTCCAAACTTTTGTGAGTTTTTTGAGTTAGACTTAAGAAACACGCAGAGAGTGGCACCCTTTTTCCCTTTTTTGTTGGTGGCTGCCCCACTAAAAATGGTCTTCCCCAAAAAGGGTTCCCTTTTTGTCCAGGGTCACTGAAGAACTGAGCCACATGTTTGGAGCCAACAAATCCCCGGGCCAAGTTTCCTGTATTCCAACTCCCAGACCAACTCGTTTGGGTCGTCGAAATCCTCGGATCAGGGAGCTCGAGGCGGGGGAAAAGAGCCGCGGCCTGAGCGAGCTGGCGGGCTTGCCGTGGGTAGGGCGGATGGGTGTTTCTCCACATGGGGGTTGATTTTCCTGGTCCGTTCTTTGAAAAACCATGGTTCTTTTCAAGCACTGATCGCTATTTTTTTTCCTGGGTGTTGGGAGGTTTTCTTTAGAAAGAAGGATGCCTGGAAAGAAGGGGGAAGCTTCTCCTGGAAACATAGCTGCGTAGTCCTGTTCGCCAGAGTTGTGGTTTGCTCGTTGGTGTCCCTCAAAAACCGCCCAACAGTTGTCCTTTTTGTTGAGCTGGTATCCCTTTCTTCTTGGTTTTAGAGCTGGAAGCCAAAAGGAAACCCACACCTTCGGGGGGTTTAAATCAAAAGACACCCCCGAGTCATCCATTTGCTCAAGAGTATGTTTGATTTTCCCCGTACTGGTTTTCAGAGGGCATCTATCACTCCTGGAAATTTGTTTAAAAAAAGGGGGCTGAAGCAAATGGACGTAGTTGTTGCTCGGTTTTTGAGCCTGGAGCGAGTCCTCTTTCGCCCGAGGCGCCGCATCCTCCGGTCCAGCTCCCGCGGCCATGTACTACTTGTGCGGAATCCCAGGGTAGGTACCATCGGGGGGTAGGGGGTAGTCTAGGTCCAGCAATTGGTGCCCTTTCTCACCCGTTTCTTTTTTGGGAGAGGGTTCCCTAAATAGGGGGTAGTCTAGGTCCCCCAGCTAGGTGCCCTTTTACCAACTTTTTGGGGGGAGGGTTCCCCTACTAGATAGACCACAGAAAGAAGGGTACCCTTGTGAATTAACCTCTCTACTGGAGGAGCTAGTAGTTGAGAGCCCTAGGGTTCCCTAGCGTTCCTCAAGGAGCCTTCAGGTTTTTAGGCCTTTGGGGCTGGGTTGTGGTTGATCACTCGGGGTTTATCCAACCACTTCTGTGATACAAGACAATCCCCTCTTTACATGGGGGGTAGTCTTTGGGAGACCCTTTTTGTTGTATCGCAGAAGTGGATTCCATTTCCCACAGCCCTGCAAAGGGGGTAATTCGGTCGGGGGGTGGGTCCCTGGGTAGTCGAGAGCGGAGGGTTCTCCTACTACAAAAACTCAGTTGCCCAAAGCCGACCTTTTGACCTTTTGGTTTCTCCTTTTTGGTCTAGTTTTAGTCATGGCCCCAAAAGGTGATCACCTTTTATTTCTGGGTCCAAACTGGGCAAGTGAGAAAAGACTACAGAAAAATATGTCAAGTACCCAGAAATTCCGACCTCTCAACTCTGGAGGACCTAGTCTTCATTCCCCACACCCGGACTCGGTCCATCCCTTACCGCACCGAATCGCACCTTTTGCCCTCGGCGCTTGGCCAGCGACGTCCTTTCCGCGCGCTAACGCTTGGGCTCACGGTGGTTTGTCAGTAGAACCGGTTTCGTGGAAGCCTCAAGTGGGTCAGCAAACCAACATCCGTGTCAAAAACAAAAAACGAGGTATTGGCCTCTCCCATAAAAAGAATGGGATTGGTGTTGGTCGCCTTGTGCAGAATGCTTAGTTCTTGCAAGCTTGTCAAAAGCTGACCAATCATGGCTTTCCTCTTGGGGGCCCTTACAAGCAGCACTACGTGTCACCGAGCTCATCACACAGCTTGGTGGCTCCTAGCCATCCCCTTAGCCTTTTAGCCTTTTAGTGTTTAGTGGTAGTTTCCATTTGACCCACTAAAAGTTCGTCACGTTTAGGGGATCTGAAAACGGGCAGCCCAGTTTGCTCGCCTGAGCTACCTGGACCTTTGGTGGAAAAACAGAGGGCGATCCCTGGTTTACCTGTTGGTTTAATCCTCTCCCAGGGCCATCTATTTGCCCTAAAAGGACACCTATGTGCCTGGATCTCAAATCGAAGCTGCTGCAAAGAACCGGCGGTGTCCACTAAACCATCGATCCACTTTTTGGAGGTTCCAAAACACATGACAACCCTGACCAAGAGAAACCTAGAAGAATCTAGAAACAGGGGGGGCCATTTTGAAACCCTGACCAAGGGAAACCCCGGGAATTCTGAAAACAGGCAGGGGGGGGCCTTTCTTTTTCTCCTCAGGTACGCATCTCCGCTGAAGTGGCATGGCATGAAGTTGCAGCAGCTGGGTATTGCGCAGGACGATTCGGTTGGGTCTCCTCCCAACCGATCTGAGTGGCTCGTCTTGCTGCCCTTGTTGGGCTTGGTTCAAAGGGAAACCAAAAGGAAAGCCGAAACCCGGTTTGGGTCGCCTGAAAGAAGCGCCCATATTTTACATTATTGGCGGTTCCCAGCCATCCATGTCCTTAGTTACTTAGTGTTGTTGTTTTTTGTTTTTTTGTTTCTGTTTTCTCCGTTTTTTAGGGCAGTTTCCATTTAGCCCGCTAAAGGTTAAACTGTTGGCAGGGGATCTGAGGACTGCGCAGAGAACACATTCTTCTTGGCGTACCCCAGATGGCCAAGACAAGGGGTGAATCAATTTCGATTTGTTTACTCCTGTGGCTAAAATTGGTCTCAAAGCACCCCACAACGGACTTCTAATGTAGGCCCTTGCGCTGTAGTATAAGGTTTTACCTCACCTGAAAGTTCTTCCCCCTCGTGGGGTACGGGTCCGGTGTGCGAGCAACCCTGACATCCTCGAAGGGAAGGGGGAGGAATGGGCAGCTGCTGTGTTTTCCCATTAGCCGATCGGACTTGTGTGAGACGATGCGCAATCGCGCTTTGTTCTTGGTGGCTCCCCGCCATCCATGTCTGTAGCTTTTTGGCTTGTTAGCTTTTAGTGTTTAGTGGGGAATTCCAATTTACTAAACTTTTAGCGGGGGATCTGAAGACAGCCCAGTATTGCATGGCTATTTGTTACAATGTTGACTTGATGGCATCCTTTACCCCTGGCGGCTCTGTTTTAGAAAGAAACCAAAAGGAAATCCATCATTTTGCGGGTGTCCCGTTTGGAGACACACCCATTGGTTCACCAAGTGAAACAATGATCCAAGCCATTCTCGGACATGGATGCCATCCAAGCTGCGCGCAGTCTGTTGACAGTTGGCATATGGCCATGGGTCATAACCTATGCCTCCATTTTGGGGCGGATCTACAGGGTGTTGACCCACTGCCATATTGGCTCAGATTTCCCTTTCGCCATGTCGCCTCACGGACCAGCTGCCAGCGAGGCTGGGCACACCGGCTCCGCAGGCTCGGGGGAGACTGAGGACGTCGCCAGTCAGGGCAGCGGAGAGAGGGCGTGTGAGGAGAAGCCTGCAAAAGACGAGGGCGAAGAGTCTTGGTTCCGATTCGCAGCCATGAGTCATGAGGGTTCCGGAGGGTTTTTACCTTTTTCTTCCATTTCCTGAAATGAATATGTTGTTTTTTTCGCCAGCTGAATGCTATGGGGGTTCTAACTTCTAATAAAGAAGGGAAAGTGGTTTGCGAGATTGACGGCTGGGTGCTAGGGAGCGTGCAGTTTGGGGTGCTATCGCAGGTGCAGTTTTGGGGTGCTGTTTGGGGCGCTGTTTGAGGTGCTGCTGGGGGTGGGCGCAATTTTGCAAGATTGACAATGCTCGGGGGCACGCAGTCTGGGATGCTGTTTGGGGTGTTGGTTGAGGTGCTTTTCGGGCAGTGCTGCTAGAGGAGCTGGCGTGCAATTGTTAGCGAGTGTTTCGCTATCTGGGGTCTATGCTGGTGTATAGTGTTTTTCTTGTTGTTGTTTTTTTTACCTGTTGGTTCTAAAGGGAATCTATCACTACTGGACATGCTTTATATTTTTCCAGGTGGCTTAAGCAAATGGAAGTTTTAGTTGGTTTAGTGGTGGGATGTCCGTACTCAAGCCACAAGTTAGTTAAACGTTTCGCCAAAGAAATCAGAAAACGGACAGCACAGTTACCGCATGGTTTTCCGGTGATTCCAGTAAGGGAACGAGGAACCCCCCGAGTTTAAGGCGGTTTACCATGTTTTTCCCGAAAGCATCGCGAAGGGTTCTTCCGTGCGGAGCCCTTGGACAAGTTACATAGAGCCAAGTTACATAGAGCCAAGTTACATAGAGCCAAGTTACATAGAGCCAAGTTACATAGAGCCAAGTTACATAGAGCCAAGTTACATAGAGCCAAGTTACATAGAGCCAAGTTACATAGAGCCAAGTTACCAAGTTACATAGAGCCAAGTTACATAGAGCCAAGTTAGAGCCAAGTTACATAGAGCCAAGTTACATAGAGCCAAGTTACATAGAGCCAAGTTACATAGAGCCAAGTTACATAGAGCCAAGGTTAGGTAGAGCTTAGAGCTTCGGCGTTAGCAGCTATGTAAGTTAGTTTAGGTTTCTAAGGCGCCGGGGCGGGAGTTTGATCGTCGCTCGGGATTGCGACCTTCTCTGGAGGATTCGCGTGGTCGAGGTTCAAAAACTGAGGACTTTTTACGACACTGGCATGCGCGCGCGACCCTCTGCGGAGATTCGCGTGGTCGAGGTTCAAAAACTGAGGACTTTTACGATTTTTGGCGCGCGCGACCTCTGCGGAGTTTCGCGCGTGGAGGTTCGCTGAGGACTTTTTATTTCGTGCTGGCCGCGCGCGAGGAGATTCGCGTGGTCGAGGTTCAAAAACTGAGGACTTTTTACGATTTTTCGCGCGCGCGCGACCCTCTCTGGAGATCGTGCGCGTCGAAGCGCTCTCGCTGTGGCGCCGTGCGAATTTGTCTTAGTCTCGGCGAACCCTCTGCGAAGATTGTGCGTGTCGAAGCGCTCTCGCTGTGGCGCCGTGCAATATTCTTGCTCGCGAAACGGCCTTTGGAAGTTGTCTCGTGGTTTGCGCGCCTGCTTTCGCAATCCCGCGGTCGCGGGTTCGATTCCCCCCTGGTCCGCGGCAGCTCCGGCTTGAAAATCGCAGCTTTTAAGTACAAACGTAGTACGCGGAGCGTGCTCCTGCAGCTCCGGCTGGAAAATCGTAACTTTTAAGTACAGACGTAGTGTGCGGAGCGTGCTCCCGCAGCTCAGGCTGGAAAATCGCAACTTTTAAGTACAAACGTAGTACGCGGAGCACACCCCCGCAGCTCCGGCTTGAAAATCGCAACTTTTAAGTACAAACGTAGTACGCGGAGCGTGCTCCTGCAGCTCCGGGTGGAAAATCGCAATTTTTAAGTACAGACGTAGTATGCGGAGCGTGCTCCCGCAGCTCAGGCTGGAAAATCGCAACTTTTAAGTACAAACGTAGTACGCGGAGCACACCCCCGCAGCTCCGGCTGGAGAATCGCAACTTTTAAGTACAAACGTAGTACGCGGAGCACACCCCCGCAGCTCCGGCAGCACTTGCGCAGAGCAACTTGCGCAGAGCCACTTGCGCAGAGCAACTTGCGCAGAGCAACTTGCACAGAGCAATTGCACAAAGCACTTGCGCAGAGCAACTTGCACAGACCAACTTGCACAGAGCACATGCGCAAAGCGCTTGCACGGAGCAACTGGCGCAGAGCCCTTGCGCAGAGCAACTTGCTCAGAGCACTTGCGCAGAGCAACTTGCACAGAGCAGGCGCAGAGCAACTTGCACAGACCAACTTGCGCAGAGCACATGCGCAAAGCGCTTGCGCGGAGCAACTGGCGCAGAGCACTTGCGCAGAGCAACTTGCTCAGAGCACTTGCGCAGAGCAACTTGCACAGAGCACTTGCGCGCAGCAGCTTGCAGAGAGCAACTTGCGCGCAGCAGCCTGGAACAACGCAGCTTGCGCAGACCACTTTCGTGAGAAATCGCGCGGCGCAGTTCGAGAGGAAAGTAGGATGATGAGATGGAGCTCTCATGTGACCATACACACTGAGCATCGCCGCGCGCAGACACGCTCGCCGCTGCGATGTAAAAAGGTGTCTCCGCGGCTGGATGAGCACCTGTTGAAAAATGCTTTCGTGCCAATCGTCCTCTAGTTGTTTTTTTTCCCGCATGGATGGGGCACTTGCAACCTTAAGTTCGTCACTTTTCAGCCACGCAGAAAAAACAAAAACACACCAAACAAAAACATCAACGGGGACCGGCAGCTCCCAGGATGTTTGTGGGGACTACGGCTGCGTTTCACCGGGCTGCATGCAGAGCTTGCGGCTGCAACCCGGCGGCCGCTGGTGGCATTCGGCCTACCGCGCCAGCAATGAGCGCCTGCGCTTGGCGGAAGCGAAGCCGAAGCCTTCGCAGTACCAGAGCTTTGTGCAGCTCGCTTGAAGGTTGGCCCATTTGTGGCATGTGTGGCACTTTCCCAACACGACCCCAAGAAGAGTCCTCAGTTTGCACATACCCATTTGTCCCTGGCTCCTTGAATGATACATCTTGCAACCATTTGAAACATGCTGCTTTTTCAACACCAAGATGAAGGGAAACCACCATTTACAAGGCGAAAACCAAAAATAACAACAACTAGGTCCCTCAGCTAGGTGCCCTTTTACCGTTTATTTTTTGGGGGAGGGTTCCCCCTGAATGCACCTTCTAAGTTTGATATGGGAAATGGCGCCAATCCCCCGATATCCCCGCTCCCTCCATATCCCCGCTTGTTCGTTTGTCCAATTGTTTGTTTGCTAGGTCCCTCAGCTAGGTGCCCTTTCTCACCCAACTTTTTTGGTTGGGAGTGTTCAACCCTACTAAAATAGACAGAACAAAGTTGGTGCCAACTTATTCTAACCTCTCCACCTGAGGACCTAGTTTGTTAAAAGTAGGGGCCCTTTTTTAGTGGCCCCTTTTTCAAAAGCGGCACGTATTCTCACCTTTTGGTGGTTTTTCATGGGTTCGTTCCTCGTTTTGTGTGGCCCCACAAGGTTGTGGCTTTCAGCATGTTATGCTGGTTTTCCAAAATCACGAAAGCTAGCTTTAGCTAGCTGAAGTTTCTCCTTGCGTAAGCAAGGTAAGGGGCTCAAATGCCGAAAGATTGATTTTTTCAATTATTTAAGCCGAAAAGATTGAAAAACATCAATTATTTAGACCCCCCCCCCCCCGGTCTCAGGCTCGATTCCTCCCTGGTCCATCCCCCCCCCCAGGCAGTGGCTCAGTGTTCAGCAGTCTCGGTTTGCCCGTTTTGGGCTTGGTGCTACGAACTTTTACATGTTCCACCGATTCAGCTTGTTCATTTGAGACCTCAGTCTTCTCGGTAAACCACCTCGCAAGAATCTTTGCACACGCGGCATGCAGAACCCAGAGGTGCTTTAAGACAGCTTCTGACGCCTCTCGTTGTTTTCCTTTTTCAAGGTTTGCCACGCCACCATGTGCGTTTGCGTGTCGCATCCTACGAATCTTGCCGGGCCTCTCGTTGTACACAAGCTACCTATGAATCCACACTGTCACCGACCCATCTCATGCAACAACTGCTAGCTTTCGTTCACCCGCTCCTCAAGTTTTGACACCAAGAGGCCACATCCCCATCCGCATGGGGCAAGTGAGGAAGGCTTACAAGAACTCGGCCTTTGAAGAGATCCCTCCAGATCGAGATCTCGCGAGTCTGAAAGAGGAGTTCGAGGACGTGGCGGTCTGGGAGCTGGTGGAGTCTTTGGGCACTTGGCGCTTTGATGCTGGCTTCCTCACTTTGAGCTGCCAGCACTGGGCATGGAGGGCCTCTCACCTGTCGGCTCCCCACACGCTGCAGCCCAGCGAGGATGGGAGGAGTCAACTCGATGAGCTTATGGACCAGCAGAAGTTGGAGCTTTGCTACAAGGTCAGCGGAGACTCAGCAAGGCCGAAGGCAAAATGTTCACCTTTTTCTAGGGATTGATTCCTTGTCCATTCTTTTCAACCATCGTGCTTTTCAAAGACCGATCGCTGTTTTTGCAGAGTTTTGGGTGGTTTTGTAGAAAGGTTCGGATGCCCGGCAAGAACGGGTTGCCCCTTTGTGGGTGGGTTCCTTCCATTTGCTTAAAGATATTTTTCCCCTGTTAAGTTTTGAAGGGAAACTATCGCTACTGGACATCTTTTTTATTTGTTTCAGAGGGCTTATTTAAGCAATTGGAAGGTTCCCCATTTGTTTAAGTGACCCCAAGTGGTGATCACTTATTTTATTTCCATGGGCAAGTGAGGAGAGACTTTGGCGCTGCAGACGCAAGGCCACCCGGGTTGGGACTTGCAGCAGCGCCACCAGCGGCTGCGAAGCCTGCAGTCGGCCTTCCAAAGCCTGGGCTTCGCCAAGAACTACACGCCAGGCTGGAAGGGAGGATTCAAACATCGAAAGAAACAAACAAGACAAGCAAGGGGGCTGTGGCTTGGAAGACTGATTTCCCGGTGGAAGGGAAATGCCCTTTTGATGACTTGCCCTTCCTCCCACTAACATAGCTAGGTCCCCCAGTCGTGCCCTTTCTCTCCCAACTTTTTTGGTTGGGAGGGTTCCGTTACTAAAATAGACTACAGAAAAAAAGGGTACCCTTATTCTAACCTCGCTACTGGAGGACCTAGACAAGGAAACTAAAACGGCGATTGAAAACAACAACCCCTCCTCCCAGGCTGGCCTGAATCCGGCGATGAACTCCCCTCCTCGTCACAGGAGGCTCGGTGATGGGTCTATATAGCTTATAACACGCGGAGGCACAAAGCGAGCAGGCAGGAATCAACGGGGCACAACCAATGTTGCCTTGAAACGAGTGCAAGCACATGCTCCAGCGCCATGTCCTGGATTGGTTGCCAAGCGGCAATCACATCGATCCGCACACGCGCGATGCAAGCGCCGTCATCGGCACCGCTCTGTCAAGAAATCCTGTCGACTTTGCAGGTTTCAACCAGTGCCTTTGTTCGAAAAAGACCAGTGCTGTTGCGGCGAGTCGAGAGCAGCCTGTACAGTTGTGTACCTGGTTGTGGTTTTGCAAAAGTATTGCAGACAGGAGAGAAAGAGAGAGAGAGAGAGGGAGAGCGAAGCACCTGTCGTTAACGGACACGATTAATGGAGTTCGACATGAAACAACTGCTGTCATGTTAGCCGTTGAACAGTTCTTGTATGGGGCATGAATCATGAACAACAACTAAGATTTCAATTAAAAGTAGATAACAACTTAAAAATCCCAACACCCCCCCCCCCCATTTGTGAGGGCATGTGTGGCAATTTCCCAACACGATCCCACCCAAACGGTTTTCATGGCCTTTTGTCCCGGGAAGAGTCCTTAGTTTGCACTAGGTTGCAGATTCCCTGGCCACAACAGCAAATCATTCGCCATACATATGGCTGTGGCTCAAAAAACCGGAATTCCAAAATGGCGCAAGCCCTCGTAAGTGGAAACATGGGTACCAAACATTGCGGCTTGCCCCTCCGATCGTTTATTTTTGAGCCACACCCATATCGCTTACGTGCAACACAGCTGGAGGCTCCAGACTCGGCCTCAGCTTGTTTGGATCGTGGCTTTTCGGTGCCCAGTGGCTCCAGCATCAGGCGGCAGGAAGGAAATTCCCACCACCCGGGTCCCAAGCACTGCCTTCTTGGGTGCCGTACTTTTGGGATTTTGGACATGGGGAAAAGCAGGCAAGGGTGGTGTGGCTTGGAAGACTAATTAATCCCCAGGTTGAAGAGAAATGCCAACTTTTGATGACTTACCCTTCCTCCCACGAACATATCTTTGGAAGGGTACCTGGATTGTAGTTCCATATGCAGTGGCCCCCAGAATAGCCCCCACGCCAATATTCAGTTGCCCGTGACATGGGTCTGTCTTTTTTGGAGTTGGTACCCCTTTGTTTGGTGGTGTTAAAACTGCTAACGGGAAACCACGAGGAAAACTACTAGTTGGCGGGTCCCCTAAAAAAGACACACACCCAAAAGTCAAACAAAAGGTCAAGTCCCTTTTCCACAGTGTGACTAGTGCTGGTCCGCGTCTGGCCGGGTGAGTTGCAGGATGTCAGATGTCCTTGATAGATGTAGGCGCAGTATCGATCGAGGGCTGACGTGGCTGTGACTGCAATTCGCTTGCGTGATGAAGCTGGAGTCTGGTTGGTGTCTCAAGCTGGCACTGCTGGTTTTCGGTTGCTTCTTTACATTGCTCGGGAGCGTGCTGGTGAGGCATGCGGAAGTGTTCGTCCAGCGGCACGCGCGGCGACATCGGATTGCCGGCCTTTGCTATTTGGCATGGCTCGTGGCGGGGTTTGTGGACCTTGTGAGCCCGATTAGCATCAATCGGGCGATGTACCACTTGGTTCTTGGTGTGCTTGGCGTGACTGTGACGCTCACCGCCGCGTTTGATTTCAGATTCCACGACCGGGTGCGGAATGTGGCTTCGGGGACGCTAGAGAAGCACGCCACCGTGACCTTCTCGGAGATGATCGAGCACAGCTTCTACCAAGGCCTCAACTTGGCACAGATTCTTTGTTGCATGTTGCTTGGATGTTACTTTAACTTTTTGCCAACTAATGGGTTTTCCATTAAGCCACTCAAAGTTAAACTTTTCGCAAAGCAGAACGCAACCGAGGATTTTGATGTTTCATGCGCTCGAGCAACGACGGTGGACCTTGTGGCAGCGCTGGGCGATGCTTGCTTTGGTCACTGCGCCTTGGCTCTTCCGCTCCCACTTTCCGGTCAACAGCTTTTCCAAGAATTATCACTCCGTGCCCCTTCAAAAGTACAGCGTCGAGCTTCTTTTGTACCGGATCAAGAAGTGGCAGTACGTGTTCTACAAGCATGCCCTGCTACACGGCCTCAATGTGAGCGTGGCCCTGTCGCCGAGGCCAATCAAGATCACATCAAAGCCGCTCTTTCAACTGTACTGGCTGGCCCTCAACACGTCATATGTAATGGAGTTCTTCTTGCAGACCCTTGTGAAGAAGGGCAAGCTGAGCCAAGGCAGCCACCTTTGGCTGCAGCGCCTGCTTATGAGTGTGTCTTCCATCGCTGCTGCATATGTCTTGTTGGACTTTGTGTACCTCCCCATCGCCGTTGCCAGCCACGGACTGAATTTGTATAACAGGGGGCACGACTTTTTTAATACCAACCTCCTCATTGGCGCAACTGCTCTGTGTCTTTGGACTTGAGCAATGCAAAAGTGCTCACCTGCTGTGACGTGTTTCCTTTGTGAATGGAGATTGTCCATGCTTCCGAGACCAAACGCAAAGCTGCATGGATCAACCAAAAGCAGCTGTGAGTTTCAGCCATTTAAAGCACCCCAAATAGTCCCCCCCCCCCCCCCCCCACCCCCCCTCCCAACCCCCCCCCCCCCCCCCACCCCCTCAGCTCCCATCCCCCACCCAACCCACCCCCCACCACGCCTTTTCGGTCGAGGAGATGGAGGCGCTGCAGGGCCGCTGGGTGGCCAGAGCGGCCACCTGCGAGGCGCTGCAAGAGGCGCTGCAGGCGCGCGCGCGACTATCGGTTGTGTTCATTTTCTCCCTGGTGGGGTCAAAAGGAATCTATCACTACTGGAAGTATTGTTATTTTTTGTGGGACCATCTGGTGGGTTTAATTTGGATGGGAGGGTATTGCAAAGGTTGCTAAGGTAGCCCCGGCTACCCACAACTTTCAAAGTTTTGACCACGGGAACAGGTAGGACTACAGGTGACCCTTTCCCCCGTGAGGTCGGAAAGCAACAGCGGAAGACAGTGGAACTCACAGAGTGTGTTTGATATAATACGATATATTTTAATATGATACATAACATTGCCGAGTATATTTCTGAATATCACTGACCGAACTTGCATTAATCACATGCAGCATGATGGGTTTGCGGCCAGCAACTGCCCGGATGGGAACACTGTAGTCAGGCATTGTTGGCCGCGCAAATGAGGAACAGTGGTGTTTTGCTTGCTTGCCGGTGGCCGCATAGCCGACCCGCAAGGGCAGGACCCTTCGGCCAGCGGCGCCAAGCAACAAATGCCACCGCCCCTGACCGAACGTAGCCCGCCTTATGCAAGAACCTGCACCAGGCATCCCAAGACCCATCCTCACTCCAATCATAGGGCTTGGAGCGGGGGGGGGCAGGGAAGAGTTTTGCGGAGCGGAGCTGGACACCAGCAAAAGGGAATCTGCCCCGCCAAGTGATGTTTCTTATTGGTTCGCTTCCCCGGAACCCTGGATCCCAACGATGAAGCAAGTTGGTTCAAAAGCCAGCAGTTGACCGGCGTAGGGGCATAGAGTATGCGTACCCTTTAAGCCTTTGTTACGGTCCGGGCAGTTCCTTTCATGATGCCTCACAACTGCAAAACCAGTACTACATGCTCTGCGAAACGTTATGTTGAACGAGTGACCGACCCCCTTTGATGAGGCCGACTGGCTATGATATTACATTTTTGAGATACGGAAACTACGATTTGGAGGCTCAAAGCAAGGGGAGTTGAGAGCATACTAGCGGTCCCTCTTTTTCAAAGGGGGGCCTGATTACTTACCTCTTAAAAACACAAAACTTTTCTCAACTTTTTGGGTAACATGGGCTATATGTCTGTAAAAGATGAAAATTTCCCCAATCCTTGGAGTTTTAAGGGGAAAGATTAGTATCCCAAACCCTTGGGGGTTGGTTCTTTGGGGGGAGGGGCGGGTTGATCGGGTTCCTTGTTCCATCCAAAGGGACGGGAGCCAAAACGACCGCCTGCCAGACGCGGCCTGCGGTTCTGCACATCTCTGCGCACACCTTCTCGGCAAGGCACGTTTCGCAGGGACGCCATCGACACGACAGCCCCGGTGAGCTTCATAGGGGTGGCTCATCGTTTTTGAGGAACCCCCCGCCCGAGAACATCTTCACTGTTCCTGGCATGTGTTTTTAGTTTTGCAGCTTTTTTGGTCCTGTTCATTTTTTACCGGGGGCCTGCAAAAACAACAAGTTTTTCGCAAGCCCACACCAAGAGTAGAGATGACATGGCACCAATTCTTCCAACTAACATGGCACCTTCGGGAGGGCAGCTAAAAGATATAATTCTCCTTTTTGAGGGACCCCCTGTGAGGTGCCAGGTTGGTGGGAGGAAGGGTATAAACAGAAGAAAAAAAAGCATCGCGGTTTTCCCGTTTGGCTTCCCTTTCACAAAGGCTTACCTCTCAAAAACACAAAACTTTTCTCAACTTGTTGGGTAACATGGGCTATATGTTTGTAAAATATTAACTTCCCCAGGGCTTGGAGTTTTAAGGGGCAAGAAGGGGGTTACCCTCAAAGCAAGACCGGCCGCGGAATTCGATGTAGACGTGCCGAGCAGTGTTGCACGTGCACACAGGTGCGGGTTCCAAAGGTTTTGTTTCTTGCAAGGTTCGTCTAGAAACCAGGATCCTGATGTTGACACATGGCCATGGGTCATAACCTATGCCTCCATTTTGGGGTGGATGAACACCCATGTACCACCTATTTTGATGTTGAAGGGCTACAGGGTTTTGACCCACAGCCACATGTGTAATCAGGTGTCCTTGACAAGCCACACAAAGATATATACATGTCTGGTCCCCAAATAGCCATGTCTTGCATAATATGCTCAACAAAGAATCGGAAGAGGGTGAGAAGATCGGGGAATGGCATGTTGGTGCAAAGAATTTTTGCGCACAGATGTGTTTGATGAAGTGCTTGCTGCACAGAATGGAAAAGGCATGCGGATGAACCAAACATGTTGGGATGCTCGCAGAGTCCAAGACTGCATGCTGGAAGGATGGGAACATTGTTGCTTTGCGAATGTGCCCCTGCAACTCAGATTCGCGATTCGGTTCACATGATGTTTGAGAATGTACACTAACTGTGAGGTGGCGAGTAAAAGAGGATGTTTGTAGTGAAGCAGCCGCCCGCTTGTGTCGGCATGCTCGTCTTAAGGCAATTGTGCGCTTGTGGCTGGAAACAGCAGTAGTCCACTAGCAATCAGCTCGACCCGCAACCTGCGAGCCAACCCACAAGTTAAGAACTTTTAGCAGGGGGTCAGAAAGCGGCCAGACCAGTTCCCCGGAGTTGTTTTTTCTTATTCGGAATTGTGTATGCTTGGGTTGTTTTCAACATGCGCTTTGGCCGTGGCATCCCTCCAGCCCTCCGCGCGTTCGTTCGGCGCCCCCAAAACCCGCCGAGATCCGGACGCCAGGCGGCTGCTGCTGCTGGAGGACGGGGTGAGCCAAGCGCACGAGCTGAACGTGGAGCAGCTCGAGAAGATGGGCCCGTGGAAGGAATCCGATCGATCCGCACCGATCCGGGATCCGCACCGGTCGATCGGGATCGGATCGGGGCTGATGCTGAGGAGAGAGTTCGGTTTTCGGTTGGTTTCCCAGGCAAGGGGAAGTCGTTCCTTTTTCTTTCTTTCTTTTTTTGTTTGTGTGTGTGTGTGTTTCACCAAAACGGAAGAATGTGTGTGTTTTGCTTTGGTTTTTTGTTTTACCAAAACGGAAGGGTGATTCTTTCTTTGGAAATTCATTGGAAGCCAAGGAGCAGCGAAGAATTCGTTCCCACTGGGGCACCGCTTCTTAGGACTAAGTCCCCGATTCTTTCCAATCATCCTTTCCAAACAACTCGCACACCAGGGAGAACCGGCTCGTTTTTCAGAAAGCCCAAACACCAAAACAGAAACGCCGGTTTTTGAAAGAACGAGGCTTTGTTTCAGAGCGGGGAGTCAGCCCCTGGAGTCATGTGAGCCCGGGGGGACTAAGAGGAGGTCCCCGCTGAACTCGGCGAAGATGAGAACGATCTTAAGGAGTGGACTGGGGGCATTGGAGGTCCTTTCAAGCCCTTTGAAGCCATCCAAGGGCTGGCTAGATGTAGGTGGTGTTCTGCTGCCTCCTCTTTTTTCAAGTGCTTTCCTTTCCCACCCTGCAAAACCATGTTAGATGTGGTGGGTTTCCTTTGGGCTTTCCTTTGACCATTTTTGAAGCCGAGGAAGGTGCGATTAGATGTGCTGGTTTGCGCGTTGAATCTTTGAATCCAAGTTGCGTCCAGGAGCGAGCTTATTTCACAACCAGTTCAATCAGGGGTTCAAACCCTTGGGTATGTCTCCAAAATCGGGAAGCTTTGAAAAGGGTGACTTGCTTTGGTTTCCCACCAAACCGACCCCCAAAAGGGCGCACGTCACATCTTGACCATCCAAACAAGTGCAAGTGAGGATGAGAACCTCGCTCATTTTGCAACCACTGCAACAAACAGGTTCAAGCCTTGGGAGTTGCCAGATGGTTGGCTTCTGTTTGCATTCAAATCAGACCAAGCCTCAAGAAGTTGCTAGTCGAAAAGGAACCGCAGCGATTTGAATCGTCCCAACAAGGGATCGGTCCCTTGTGGTGAATTCGATGTGGCTGATGTCTTCTTGGCTTTCGGAGCTTGGCTTCAAGGAGAAGCATATGGGGGACCGCGGGTGTTCCTCCATGTTGACACTTACAGGGTTCATTTTTTGGGTACCGATTTTTGACAACCACTGCCATTTTTGGGCACCCATTTGGTTAAGAATATTTGATATGTTTCCCACTTCTGGATTGTTTTCTTTTTCCAGGGGACCTAAGCAAATGGAGGATCATGATACGTATTTGCTGATTACTTGATCACTTGATTATCCTCACGTTGGCCATAGCTCAATGGGCAAGTCTTTGGATGTTTTTTGCATCCAGAGGGGGATCAACCCGTAGAGTAGCAGCTCCATGGAAACACGCCCATTTGAACCATCCAACAAGGTTTCTGCCCACATTTGTCCAAACAAAGGGGACAGGGGCCACATCTTGGGATCCAACAACCTGGACCCTCAAAAACATGTCTTAGAAATGGATTATTGCCGTGAATCCTTTCTTTTATGTGTACTTTGAGGGTCCAACAAAACAAGTCCCTTTCCCGACTGCACAAATCCGCGCCCCGTTTTTTTCTTGCCGGTGCGATGGGGTGAATGGTTTTGGAACCGGATTCCCTCAAAGCTGGGTCCCCCAGTTGTGTCCTTTTGCCCTGGAGGATTCCCCTACTAAAATAGACTACCCAAAAACAAGTTGGTGCCCTTATTCCAACCTCTCAACTGGAGGACCTAGAAAGTGAACCATAGGTCTATCAAGAACCAGTTCTAGTTTTTTCCCCTCGAAGCTCGTCCATTTGCTTAAGAATATGTTTTATTTTCCCCTGTTAGTTTTCAAGGGAATCTAGCCCTACTGCACGCATGTTTCATTTGTTCAGAGGGCGAAAAAGAACATGGACTACAGAAATATGTCCGTGCACTTTACCCCAAAAACCAGCAACAGTGCCTGAAAAGAACGCGATCGCAACTTGGCTATCTAGGCAGTTGTTTCCCCCTTTTTCCCCCTCGAAGCTTTCTAAACCATAGGTCTATCAAGAGCCAGTTCCGGTTCTTCCAGCCTCCAGCTTTTCCCCCTCGAAGCTGCTTTCGACTCAACGTTTTCTTTTTTTCCCTCAGTTGCCTCGAGCGAGGAGCTGGGGGTGCTGGTGCTGCACTGCTGCGGCTCCCAGTGGCTTGCGGAGCATCTGGGCTGCCGCGCCCTCTGCTGCAGCGAGGAGGCGCGCGCCTCGGAGCGCTCGGAGCGTGAGCGGAGAGCGCGCGGAGAGCGAGCGGAAGCGAGTCGGATGGGTGGGACCGAGGATGCAACTGTTCGTGCCGTTTGCTGAAATGAAAATTTATAGGTTATGTAGTTTCACCTGTTTTTGTTGAAGTTCGAATCTATCGATTGTTTTTTAACCTTTTTTTTGTGTTGCTTGTGGATGGGATGCCGAGAGAGAGGTGGAAAATGTGTAGTTTCTTTCTTTTGAAATGAACATGTTGATCTTCCCCGGTTGGCTTTAAAGCTGGAATCGATTTCACTAAGTACTGCCCATGGATGTGTTTGTTTCTTTGTTGAAAATAATACTAATGACTGGACGTTTTTGTTTTTTTAAATAGCAAATCCCCTGTTGGTTTAGAATTGGAATCGATTTCACTAATGACTGGAGGTGTTTTTGTTTTGTTTTTTGCTTCAAAATATTCGATTTCACTACTGGGCATGTCTTAATTGCTATTGGGTTGGATCTTTAGACTTTAACTTTTTGGGAAATTCAAGGTGTTTTCCACTCAACCCTCAAGAAGTTAAACTTTTTGCAGGGGGGTCAACAGCAACCAAGATGTGTTCTCATTTTTTCCAGGGGCCGATAAGACAGCAATCAGAATGGGGGTGGCTCGTTTTCGAGTTGGTACCCCTGAAACCTGTGGTTTCAAAAGGGCACACAAAAACCGAACACCGCCATTTTGGGGGGGGTCCCTAAAAAGAGGGAACTAATTCAAGAGCGGTTGGTCCCCACCGAGCTATGGTGTCCACCAACGGGTTAAATTCATACCCATGCGCGCGTGTGTGTGTGTGTGTGGTGTGTGTGGTGTGTGTTTGTTTGAGGCTTGGTGACATGTTCCGGGGGTGACGTTTATTTGAAAAACAAAACAACGCCAATTTTGACGTACCCATATCTTCCTTGGTGGCTTTAGACATCATCTTTTTGACCCATAGTTGAGGTTCCTTGAGGCGTGATGCTTGAAGAACATACAGGGAGCCCATAAGCCCTGACGGGGCGTGAAAGAAGATGCCCTGTTCTCCGCAGAACTCAAGTTGTGGAGTCTCCTCAGAACTCAAGTCTCCTCAAGTTCCCTTACTAAATAGACTGAAGAAAAAAGGGTCCCCTTATTCTAACCGCTCTACTGGAGGACCTAGCCTATAACCCGTCCCTTATGGTTTCATTTCAGGGAATCTCGCTAGGTTCCCGGACGGGCATTCCCTACTGAGCATCAGTAAGCACATGTCGTCGTGTGGTGAATGACAGGGAGGTCAAGTTGGGTTTGGCTCGAGAGGCCAAGTTGGTCTCATTGATGCTTCGAGGGATTCGGGGGCCAGGCCAGGCAAGTTGAAGCAAGCACTATATGGGTCAGAATTATACCAGTGGGGCCGCAGGTTTTAGTCCTTTTTTCTATTTACCAGGGCTTTTTGGGTACCTATTTTGGACCCACACCCACGTAATCTGCACAATCATCTCCAAGTGTCCCCCAACGGAGGGATTTGTAGAATAGGCAGAGATGGTTGGCTTCTCTAGTTTGTTTTACGGGCAAAGATCAATCAGTGACACAGCCAGCATGACCTCAAATGTTCATCAACGAGTCACAGCTCGAGCTATTGGCTTGCAAGAAATTTCCGCCGGCAACGTGCGGTTCTTGTGCTGCACGTTTGACGTATTTGAGCGAAGGAAAGTGGGAAGGTGTGAGGCTTTGGGGTGATTTGGGGTAGCTTTCAGGGAGAGTTGCAAAGGGTTCCAGGGACTTCAGAGGATCTGGGGATACCACCTGGGCGATCTCTTGACCCGAAATGTCCTTCCATTTGCTTGAGAGTATTTGTTGTTTTCCGTTGGTTTTCAAGGGTTGCTTTGTTGTTGTTTTTTATTTTCCAGTGCGATCTCAAGCTCAACTCAGTGTTGCAGGCTGAACCGAATGTGCTTCCCTGGCCGAGTTGCCGTACGCGTTCAGGTGGACGACCGAGCAGTGTGCCGGGAACCTCAGACACTCAGACCCTTCGCTGGTTGCTCGCATCCGTGCCGCGGGTCTTGGATCCCAGTCAATCCAACTGCTTCCCAACTGAGTCCAGCTCGGTGAAAGTAGATGGCACAACCTCCACGGACATGAAGGGAAGAGTGCCATCTCCTTTCACTTTGTACATCTCTTGGAAACTCTGGCTTACCTCTTAAAAACACAACTTTTCAACTTTTTGGGTAACACGGGCTATATGTCTGTAAAAGATTAACTTCCCCAGACCTTGGAGTTTTACGGGGTAAGCTGGGGGCAAGACTCACTCGAACAGGGTTTGTTTGCAAATCCGGAATCCCGAAATGGTTGGTTTCCTTTCAGCTGGCCTCTACCAGCAACCAAAGGCGGTTGCCCAAAGAAAAACACACCCACCTCCGCCGAGCACTTCCTGCCGTTCCTGATCATGTTGACTTAAACCTGTTGAAAGCACACTTTTGCATGGACTTGGATGTTTTGTTGCTCGTTTTTTCCCAGCACTTTGGGACGTTTTAGTTGTCAAGCCGCCGAAGTTAGACGCAGGGCTCAGACGGTGCAGACGTCCCGGGTCTTTCCGGGGGTTGATTCCCCATTCTTTTCAATCATCGTTCTTTTCAAAACCCTGCTGTTTTCCCTGGGTTGCTGGAAAGATTCAGATTTCTGGAAAGAATGGACGTGGAAGGTACCCCTAGAGTCTTGGGTGGAGTTGAGGCGTCTTCTGCCGCAGCTTCTACCTCTGGCTGCCGGAGGGTCTGCACACGGCCTTCGAGCGCGCTAAGAACGCGCTGGGCTTTGGGCCGGATGTGGGCCTGCGCGCTGAGGATCGGGCTGGGGGGCGCGGAAGGGGGGGGGGGGGGTTGGGGCAGCAGGGTAGGGCGGGGGGGGTTGGGGGAGGAGGGCAGGGCCGGGGGGTTGGGGGGGTTGGGGGGGGGTTGGGGGAAGAAGGGGGGGGGGTTAGGGGAAGGGGGGGAGGAGGGTGGGGGAGGAGTTGGGGTGGGGGGGGGGGGGAACAAGGGGGGGAGGAGGGGGGAAGAAGGCGGGGTGGGGAGGAGTTGGGGCGGCGGGGGCATCAATGGAAGGTTGCGGGATACTTTAAACATCTTTAAGGCGAACTTGGGGCGGAATAATTTCATTTAGCCGCTTATGTACAGCTGGCCGAATTAGCGCGTTCTGGGGGCTTTTACTAAATTATCAAACATCACCGAGCCTTCCTTGCACTTGGAAGTGTTCAGGTCGCAAAAAGCGCATGTAGGCGCGTCTTTTTTTGACTCTGATGGGAAAATCTTTTCGGGATCCGCTCCGTGGGCTTGCCATCTGGTTCTAGCGGGTCATAGGCTTGGGATCGGGACACCAAAACGACCGACAGCCGCAGTTTTGCGGGGCTTCCCCCCCCAAGGTTTTGCTTCTGGTTTTTATTTGGGCATGTCGATTTATTCAAGTTGAGGTTGGTCCACGTGTTATTCGTGTCCATTTTCTGCAGGCTGGCAGTAGTCTTCTATCAGACCTTTGGAGATCTCGACTGATTTCAGCTCTCTGGATATCAGGGCTTCTCATCACTGACTGAGACCTTGCAGTTTCAGTTGCATATGAATATGCGTCCAAATTGGGAACCCCCCCAAAGGTAGTTCCATTTGGTTTCCCTAGCTGAGGAGGGTGCCTACCAACACGCACGTACCCATCTTGTGTGTGTGTGTGTCTGAAGTCGGTAAGGCTTACCGATGAAGCCGATGAAGCCATTGGAGCTATGGGGCCTGGATTTGTTCGAGACTAGCGCCAACCTGTCAGTCCCAAGCTCTGGACTTCATCATGGTGGCCTTGGCTTCTGGGATTACACTGGTCAAGTGTTGGGTAGAGATTCGATGATCCGGGTATTGTCAATGCCTCTCGAGGGAGCCATGGTTTACGCACTGGCAACGCCTTGATGGGACAACAGGCGTCCCTTTTTCAGGTCACAACTTCCATTTGCTTAAGTCGTGTCTTTAATTAAAAAGAATCCCTTGTTGGTTTTAAAGGAACTTGTTTTATTGTTTTTCCCCGGGGCTTACGCAAATGGAAGAGAAGAGGTTGAAAAGAGGTTGCCACGGTTCCAACGGTTTACCCGTGCCACGGTTCCCGTCACGACACCGGGCGTTGGCCCTGCGGACGACTGGGCCAGGCCAAGAAGTTTGTGCTGCTGCCCGGGAAGAAGGAGCTCGAAAGTTTGCTGAGTCGCGGACCTGGCAACAACCCTCGGGGGTGATTCCCCATTCTTTTTGACCATCGTGCTTTTGGAAAAAAAACCTTTGTTGTTGTTGTGTTCTGTTTTGTTTTTTCTTTTCTCCCGCATTCAGTCGTTCATAGAGGATGGGTTTGGTACTTTGTATATATATATATATATTTATCGGGATTTTGTTCACGGCAACATCATGTCATTGACATGGCGTGGCCCAATGATTGGCACCAGTGCATGTCTCTTGTTGTGCTTTAAGGGCGTTCCCAAAGAAAGCTCATCACTTGGTCAACTCTTCGCACAACAGCGCTGGTTGCTCAGCGTTTGGTCCGTTGATGCTTGAACACGGCTATATAGTGGTGTGCATTTGTTGTTTCTCCAGAGCTGCGATCTGAGGATGGTACAACAGCAACTTGTTGCCATGTTAGATTTGGGCTTGTCTCATAGGGTTCTCGTTGGCCATTGATTCAAGATCATGGCCCTTTCTAAGGGAAGCCAAAAAAAAGGAGAGATGGATGCCAATGTGCTTATGGCCAACCTGTGTATTGGGCATGTCTTGGCTTGCCTCGTAGGGTACCTTCCCCCAAAAGATTGGGGGGGGGGGAGGGTTGCTGTAGTTTCCCTTTAAACCAACCGTACCCTCAAAAAAGACACCCACATCTTGAAGGGGTAGACTTAGGATACATTTTACATTTTACCAGTGACTCAAAGGGAAGCAAACACTATATAATATACATTCTATAGCTGGGCCTAACTCTAATCATGAGAAGGCTTGCCTCCATTTTCCGAATGCTTTGTTTGTTGTTTCCCTTGGTTTTGAAGGGGATGTATCACTACCGGTACTGGGGTACCCTAAAGAAAGACACCCACATTTTTTAGGTGCAAGGGGAACATTGGCATCAACTCGTCTCCCAAACTCCAACTTGGTGCAGTTTTGAGAGGTTAGAATAAGTTGGTACCAACTTTTTCTGTAGGATTGGCAGCAACTCATGAGGACTTCAGCCTGGGGCCCTGCTTGGGCACCGGGGTGGCGTGGCCAAAGCTGCCGCGCATACAGGACTACTTCTGTGAGGCGGGAGTCGCGGAGTCGGCGGCACACTCGTAGGCACAGCCCAGCCCCGGCACAGCCCGGTGGTTTTGAGCAGGGCTCCGAAGAAAAGAGCTTGAAGCATGTATAACCACTTGAAACACGTTGCCTTTTCAACCATTTGAAACCATTTGAATCAAGATACATTTTGCAACCATTTGAAACGCGTGGCTTTTTCAACACCAACATAAAGGTTGAAGCGACCATTTACAAGTTGCAATGTTCAGGTGCACGTAAGGATCCCTGTTATGTGAACCCAACCATTGTTTTACTGGTGGCAGCTGAACCCCAGAAACTTACTTCAGAAAGTTCCGAGTTTGGCTGGCCCTTCGAAGGGCCTAGGTCCCACAGCGATTGGTGCCCTTTCACCGTTTCTTTTTTTGGGGGAGGGTTCTCCTACTAAAACAAAACAGACTACACAAAAAATCGGGTACCCTTATTCTAACCTCTCGACTGGAGGACCTAGCAGTACCTGGGATTTCGGAACATGGGAACAGGCAGTTGTTGGGGGCTACTGGCTCGGAAGGATTTTTTGGGGGGAGCGTTGGCTCAATGAACCTGAGCGAGCATTCAGGAATTCATTGTTTGGTTGCCTCGAAAAAAGTTGGACAGGTACTTGTCGAGGTTTTGGTGTGTTTGTCGGTCTGAAATTGCTGCAGGACTGCCTCAAATGAGTGTGTTGCAATCGTTATCTTGCATTCAAAGATCAAGGTTTCAGCTTTTGTTTTGTTTCATGTTGTGTTTTGCTTTTCTCCGGGCTGCCTTTTTAGCCTTTTGCGACTTTTTGTGGCTTTTTGCGAGTTTTCGTGGCTTTTGGTTGGCTGTTGTGGCTTTGGCTTTCCGCATCCTCAATATCGTCAGTTTTACCCCAAGCATCGCCAGCGCCGCCCCCCCCCCCCAAATCAGAAGCAGCACCTTGTTTGCCAACTCGCACTGTCTCGACTAGTGCTCTTATTTGACTAATTGGGTCCCCCAGTAGTGCCATTTTACCCTTTTTTGGGGAGGGTTCCCCTACCAAAATATACCCTTATTCTAAACGAGAACCTAGGCTCTTATTTGATTAAAACTGGGGGGGACTGCGCAGCCCGCGCTTCTTTATAGGGTCCGGCGTTCCGCTGTGTGACCTTCCAAGGCAAACTCAAACCCTGAACGCACCCAAAGGCCAAGACCGAAACCCATGTTTCGGAGCCAAAACCCACCCGAGATCAACCCTAAACCGCCACTAAAGCCACCCTAAGCCACCACTAAAACTAGGACTGGCCTTAAGCCAAGGCTAAGCCATGGTTGTTGTTGGAAAACATTTTACATTTTTGCTTATTGTGGTTTAGTGGGAAATCCCAACTTTTGTTTTGCTCCCCTTCCAACGTCAACCATGAAGCCAACCCCGAAACCAAATCTAAACCCACCCTAAACCAAGCCCAAACCACCCCCAAACCCCCCTAAACCCACCCTAAACTCACCCTAAACCCACCCTGAAGCAGCCCAGCCCAAAATTAACCCTAAGCAACCCCTATACCAAGCATAAACCAGCACTGAACTAAACCGTCCCAGTGCCTAAGGCGCAGCCAAACCAACCACTCCTACACTCACCTATACAAACCCAAAACCAACCAAACTAGCCTAAACCAACCCCAAGTCCACCCCCCAAACTTGCCCTTGGAACCCACCCTGACCCAACCCTAAGCCAACCTTGAACCCACCCCAAACCCGGCCTACACCAAAACCAACTGGTGATGCTGAGGGATGCCGGGGATGTTTGTCAGTGCCTGGTGCAAAACAAATGTGTTTTGCTTGAACGTTCGTGCCGATGAATCTCAGCCAAAGTTGAGCAATATCATGTTCAGTGCCGAACTCAAACTGCGCCTAGCAATACTGCTGCTTTTGTTGGTGGGAATCATAGCAAAGGAGTCCAGCAAATACCGGAACAACAAAACAAATGAGCGTGCACTCCATGTTTGGTCAGTTGTGCATGTGGATGTTGCTTCAGCACCCTTTGGAGGGGGCTTTAACATTCAGGTGCAAACCATGCTGCAGATTGCTGCTGCGCTGTCTGACGAGGGCCGCCGCCGTGTGACTTGGCAAGAAGGGGTAAAACTCTGACGTTAGAAAGCCATGGTAGCAAACAGGGACAGGGTTCCACTTTTTGACTACCCCAGGGTAGACTTAAACCAGCATTTTCCTTTGAAAGAAACCAGCCATCCCTGGGTTGAACCATTTCTTGGGGTAGACACCCTGAACAGGGATATTGCCTGGTTGTAATTTCAGTGGTTTCTAAGTCTTGGTTTCATGATGTTGGGCTTCAGCATTGCTTGAGCTCGCGCTGGAGCAACTTGAGCTGCAACTTAAAAAGGGTGGTTGCTCTTGTTGGTGCCCCCTTAAACCCACCCAAAACAAGCACTCAAAAAGCAAGACGTTCCAAATGTCGGAGTCAAAAGGCAGGCACCAGTCGGTTGTCTCTTTTATCTGTCGACTGTTTGACGATCAACACTAGTCTAATAGCCGCACGAGAGCGGATTGAACTGAGGCTTCGCATTTGGACCAGCGTCCAATACCCAAGCCCTGCATCAGGATGAGCAGCTTCGGAGTTGCGGTGTTGTTGGCCATGAATTTCAATAGGGAACCACCTCAGAAGGGATTGGTGGACATGATTCCCCGCCTAAATGATGTCCACCAAAGGATCCGTTATTGAAATTCATAGCCTCTTGTGTGCATGGGTCGGGTCGGTCATCATGCTCTCTCACCCCTTGGGTTTTGTTCGGTGTTTGTGGCTTTGCCACTGGTGCCGTGGAAGCAAGAAGTATGTTTTGTTGCAGGGGGCTTCGGATCAGTCTGGCCAAGGCATCCTTGTGTGTCGTTTTTTTTTGGGGACCCGACTTCTATCTCATCAGGACCCAAAAGAGGTGTTGATTCAAGACAGCAGGCCCCCCAAACTGGTGGTTCAAACCTTGCCCTTTTGCTTTTCCTCTACAAACCACCAATTAAAGGGGTACCATTCCCAAAAGCTTACCTCTTAAAAACACAACTTTTCTCAACTTTTCGGGTAACACGGGCAACTTTGTCTGTAAAAGATGAACACTTCCCCAGGTTGCGACAGGAGTTTTAAGGGGTAAGAAAAGACGCACGCCCCTGGGCCCAGCTGTGGGGCAGCTCCGGCTCGGGCCGAGGCGATCCTGCTGCTGGGCGGCCCGGGCTATGGAAAGACGGCCTTCTGCGCGGGATCCAAGCGGTGGGCCGTGGGCTTCGTGGGCCGTTCGCGTTGAGAGAGAGGCGCCGGAGGAGACATGGCCGGGGGACATGGGTGGTTTTAGGTGGGTGGCTAGGTCCTTTTAAGCCCTTTTTGGGTTGGGAGGGTTCGGGAGCCTGGCTAAAGTATACTGCAGAAAAAAAAGAGGAGGACTAACCTTCTGACCTCTCAAGTCTGGAGGACCTAGTCGGGAAGCCTACCTTCTGTGTCAAGGAAATTCCTTGAAGTGAGGGACACCTTTGGCTTCTTCCATTCGCTGAAAAGAATGGTTACATGTGTCTTCTTTTGTGTTCCCGGATTGGTTGTAAAGGGAACCGATCACTACTGGTAGTATGTTTTTTTTGTTTTTTCCAGGGGCTGAAAGGCTTAAGCACATTTTGTTAGTTCCAGGCCAAGGGAATCCGCTGGGGTTCTGGATCTTCACGCTTGAGGGGCACAAAGTGAGACGCGCAGTTCCAAGATCCCCACCGGGTCCCTGAAAATGGCTGTGGCTCAAAAATGAAACGATCGGGGCGAACCGCAGGAGTTGGTACCCATGTTTCCCCATGCCAGGGCTTGCGCCATTTTGGAGTTCCGGTTTTTTTGGCGCCACGGCCAAATGGAATTGGGGGAGGGGGGGCATTTCGAGCCCTGGAGATCTCCATTTAGGGTGAGCCAGTTTCCCTTTTGTGGTTGGAAGACTGAAGAAAGGGAATTGTAGGACCCCCCACCCCCCTCCCCATTGAGGTAGGGGATGTTACAAGCAAGGAAATGGTCGCAACAATTTCCACGCCCAACGAGCCGACGCATGAGCTTGCAGTAGAAGCCATGAAACCTGGCTCAAAGCTTGTCAGCATCCATGTGTCCGATGGGAATTTTCGGGAAAGGAACCGCCTGAAAAGTGAAGCGGTGGTTGCATGAATCCGCACCGAATTCTGATGTCCACCAAAGGGTCCCAGCCTCAACTAGGTCCCCCAATAGTGCCCTTTTCCCCTTTTTTGGTTGGGAGGGTTCCCCTACTAAAATTAGACAACAGCAAAACTGGTACCCTTATTCTAGCCTCCTACTGGAGGACCTAGTCAAGTTTGTGATCGTTGCGGTTGTAAGGCATTTCTGGCTGCCTCTAGCTGCGTTTGTGTGGTTGGTACTCTGCTCCAGATTGCCCTGAACCCTCGAAAAGATCATTTTGGGAGGAACCTCCTTTTTCTTTTTTCTGCGGAACCCCACTTTTTTCTATGTTGATTTGCAGGGGAGCCGTGTCAGTGAAGAAGATGTGGCTTGTGGTCGGCGTTTTGCTGATTGTGCCAACAATGCCACGTTGTTGAGTTGCTTATTGGGTGCTGCAATGGCTCTGACTCTGGCAGACCCAATGCTCAACATCAATTATGCAGGTGTTGAACGGATATTGCATCCAAGTGTGGGCCCTCTTCGAAGACAGCAAAACAACCATTTGTGGGAACAACAGAATTCTGGAAGTACTCAGAAGACGCATGCCACAGGGTGCACCATAGGAGGCTCCCAATATTCGGGAAGCCCCTCTAATGAGGCTGTCGACATATTTCACAAGCGGCTGCTAGCAGTGATCCACGGGCAAGGAAGCATCTGGCAAGAAGGTCGCAGCATGCTTCTAGAGTTTGATTCCCCATTATTTTCAATCATTTTTCTTTCACAAAACCCGGATCCGTTTTCCCTGGATGTTTTCTAGAAAGAAGGATCCCTGGAAAGAATGGGGAGGGTAGCCCTAGAATGCTAGGAATACTAGCAGTGGTTTCAGTTGCCTAATTCGATTGCCGCATATTGCCCAAAAACAGCCTGGTCAAGAGCTGTCCGAACCTGCACATGGCCCAGTTCTGTCGCCAACCACCCAAGTTGCAAAGACTCCTGGAGACTCCCCAATAAAGTTCTTGTGCAGGCTCATGGAGAGAATATCACTCTTCTTTTTATGGTACCCACTTTGGGTAACTTGTGAAAACACTTGGGAAACCACCCACTTGGGAAATAGCGTGGGAAACCCACGTTGGGTGCTTCATTCAATGCCCATGTATGAATCCTGGTATGAACGTTTAGTTTATGGGTAATTATGGGGCTGGATAAGAGCAGGATGAGCCAAGGCATTAATGAGGCCTTATTAAGGGTGACTAAGTAAGGGATAGCCGCTCCTCCCTATAGCCCCCGTAGGGGTCCATGACACATGCTTGCCGAGGGGTTGGTGCTGGGACGCATTGCAGTCCATTGCATTTCATTGCATGGTTCCAGGGGACACTTCCCCATTCTTTCCAGCATTCTTCTTTTCAGAAAACCAGCAGAATCCATGGGGAAACAGCGATCGATTTTTGAAAAGAACAGTGGTTGAAAAGAATGGAAAAGGAATCAAAATTAAACCACCAGGGGACCGTAGGTTATGGTCCCTGTGTCCACTTACCAGGGTTCCATTTGGGTACCTATTGTTGAGGCGGCAGAAACCTCTCAGCGTTTACCAAGGCTAAAACTAAATTGGCCCCAAGGGGTCTGAAGCTGAACTCACGTTCTTAAAACAAAGACCTTTTTTTGGTGGTAAATAAATGTGTTCTTACTATGATCTTTTTTTCTTTTCTTTTTTCGGGAAGACCATCTGGGTAGTAAATAAGCAGTGTGGTTACCGGCCACGGGAGAAGTTTTGGAGTCCACTTCCCGCTTTTAATACGCCAAGGCCGGGAGTTCGGCTACCACTACTCCGGCCCGGGTCGCCTCTTCGGGAATCGCGTGGGCTTCGCTGGCGGTCAGGCGGGGTCGGGTCGGTCTTTTTTGGTTGAGGGCAGGGAAAAGGAGTGAGTCGGAGTGGTTGAACTTCCATTTGCTGAAAGGTTTTACTTTTTTTCCCCAACTGGTTGGTTTTAAAGGGAATCTATCACTACTGGACATATTTTTCTCATTGTTTTTTGGCGGCCGTCTAGATTATTTTGTTGGGGCGGATGAGTTTGGGTTGGGGCCTCTCAGAATCGGGATGTTCCGGAAACCCGACAGGTTGGTGGTTTGGATTGGGGGGATGTGAACATCTTCTTGAGGATCAATTGATAAAACTGCGTTGGTTGGCTTCCTTTTGGTGTTCCTAATAACCAAAATAACTTTGGTGCATGTTGCTTGGATGTTAGGATTTTTACTTTTTGCCGGCGAATGGGCTTTCCATCAAACCACCAAAAGTTAAACTTTTAGCAGGGGAGCAGAAAACAACCAAGATAAGGTTGTGGTTCTTGAGAATGCTTTTGTTTTTCTCAGTATAGGGTTGTGGTCCCCTAACATGGTTGGTTTCGTTCGGTGTTCCTAACAGCCCAAAAAGGTGCGAAATCCATTTTCAGAAGCTCGCAGTTAGACTCGTGTTCCCCAGGTAAGTCTATTTGCAGTCACGCACATTCTACTTCAAGGGCTCATTTGTTGAATCCCACCCCTTCCGCCCCCACCCCGTACAAATGTGTTTGGGAGAACTCTCTTGTTGATAAGGGCGCAAGGGATGCTGCATTCATTCCACAGGCAAATGTACTGCCGCCTGGGGGGGGGGGTAGAAATGCAACTTTCACGATGTGTTTGTTTAACACATTGTTTGTTCGATGTTGGTGGGCAGGGCAATCATAAGAGCTGTGAAGAGTTGGTTTAGTATGAATAGTTGCATAACAGGGGCAGGGTCGGTTTTTAGATTCTTGCCTAGGAACAGCATTTCAATAGGGGTTACTTTAATACTGGCGAACGTCGTGGAATGGCAAGTTCGTGCAAAGTGTTTGGTGATGAAGTGCTTGCTGCATGGAAAAGGCATATGGATGAACCAAACATGTTGGGATGTTCGCAGAGTCCAAGGCTGCATTCTGGAAGGATGGGAAGGTCCCCCAGTAGTGCCCTTTCATCCTTTGTTGGGGGAGGGTGCCCCTACTAAAATAAACAAAACCGACCAAAATCGGGTACCCTGATTCTAAGCTCTCAAATCTGGAGGCCCTAGTTACTTCACTCATGGCGGGAGGTTCATGGCGGGAGATTCAACAGAACCTCCCAGCACGGCTCCGCGCGCAGGCGCTGAGCAGGTCGCCGCAGTTGGCTCAGGCACGATGGGGGTTGAGAGGGCCCATGAGCCCCGGTGGGTCCCTTGCCAGGCACAACTCTTAACTGCTATCGGGCAACGGATCTTTAGACTTTCACCTTTTTGGTTGAAATCAAGTTGGGTTTTCCACTAATCCCCCAAAAAGTGATTCACTTTTTGCAGGGGGGTCGTTGCAGCAACCAAGAACTGATGTCCTTTGGTGTGGGCGGTTTTCTCTTTGACGTTCACCCTCAAAGAAAGGGCTTCCCATGTCAGCTGGGCAGGTGCTGTGTGATGAAGTACCTATGAAATTGTCTTTTCACTCAGAGAAGGAAGGGGAAGATGGTTTCGAAAGCTCCTGTGCTGTTTTCTTTTTTTTTGCTACAAAATCAACTGAGGAATTCAACGACGTGTTGTCACGCGGACCTTTAGTTCCATGAATCATTCTATTTCACACACACACACATATATGGGGACGGTGGCAACATCAAACCACCAATCCGAACCACAACTTGCCTTGGGGTCAAGCAAACCTGGCGAAGCGAGAGGAGCTGAAGATCCCTGCAACGCCAAAGGCCTTGGCTTGCCCTAAGGGTCCAAATGCCTTCCAAGGAGGTGCTTTGACCCCTTCTAATCCCTCAAACACCATCCTCAAAAGGTACTTGGACCCTCTGGGGTGGCCACCAACTCTCTGTTCGGAGTCCGAGTTTGCTTAAGATAACGTCTGAGCTTGCGCCCCTGCTGCGAGCTTGTGGCAATTTTGTTTGGCAGGATCTGGAAGAGATGGTGAGACATGGCGACGAGCAGAGGCCTCAGGATTGCGTCTGGCCTTGCCCAAAGTTTTTTGCCAGCCCAAATTTGGTTGAAGCCATTCAGCCAAGCAAACAAGCAGGCGGGGGAACCAGGGATGCGAGCATTCTCCGGTCATGTTTGGACATGGTCTTTGCAGGGATGTTTTTAGGACCTCCCCGCTTCCCCTGCGAATTGGTTTGCCCAATGTGGGGGTGGCACTTGGCAGCACTGAAGGTGCCTTAGCGGAGCTGCATGTATTTCCCATAGTCCGCAACGTGGGTTGCTTTTTGAGGGAATCTCCTCCAAAATGGTGGGTTTCCTTTTGGCTTCCCTTTCAACACCACAACAAGGAGTACCCTCGACAAAAAGGACACGTGTAAACTCATCCAAAGTCTGTACTTTAAGCCAAGAGTTGCAAAGACGCGGTTTTATCTCGACAAGCCACGATTGCATTTTGTATCATGGCTGTTACTGAGAGCTTGTTGGTTGGACAGCAACACGCCTTTTTGGATGTGAGCTGTGGTGGGCAGAACACGTGGGATTGCACGACGTGTTGATCGCGGCATGATTTGCAAGCGACCGATTTGAGACTGACCAACAACTCGTCAGACCGGGAAAGTGTCGATTCCAACGTAGACAACAACTATATATACACACACATATGTATGTATAATATATGCTGTATATATGTACTTGGTCTCTCTTTTTTTTTTGGAAACCATATATTGGGTGGTTTTAAAGAGAATCCAAAAGGAACACACACACACACACACAATTTGAGGGGTCCCCTCAAAAAGGACACACCCATATATACACATGAACCAAGACCGGAGGCAAAGCAGGCTGTTGGACACTGTCAAAAGGCTTTGCCTCAGGCGCCAGCTCTTGGTCATCGACGATGTCCACTTGGTCGAGGCCGGTAAGTCCCGAGCTTTTGCAAGCGGCGTTTGCAAAGCTCGACCGGTCTGGTATTTTCCATCTGCTTAAGATTGTGTTTCCCCTTGTTGGTTTCAAAGAGACTCTATCACCACTGGATTTTTTTTCCCCGGGGACTCAAGCAAATGGAAGGTATCTTTGCTTGTCTTCAAGTTAGGAATCCCTCGAAATGATTGATTGGAGCAAAATGAACTTCCTAAAGACATTTAGACTCAGCCTGGCCATGAAGAAACGATGGGGCAATGCTTGGCGACCCAGTGTATATAGCTGTTGCTAGAGACCCGTGCGACTGAGCTTGTCCGGGCTGGACCCATTTTGAGGTGGCCCCAGCCTGAAAGCGAAACGCGGTGTGGATGGATGAAATGTTGCAGCACTTTGAAACCATGGTTGAAACCATTGTTGGTTGGTATTTGCAGGGGAATCGAATCATTCCAGGTTTCACAACCCTCCACCGGAGGAAAACATTTAATGGTGGTAAACAAACAGTTTACTTGTTCGGGTCAATCCACTCGATCGGAAGTGAGTACAGGACTCGGAAAGAACGCAGACTGTCGGCAACTGTTACACCTTCAAACAGCGCCAACAATTGCACCATCATTCTCGACAGTGCGATTCTTCATTTTCCCCACAAATCACCAAATCAATAAGTATCAACCTAGTATTGCCTGCAATAGCGATTCATCAATACCAAGTTTGTAGCTAAACTCGCCAATGTTTATATCCGCCTAATACTGCTGCTACAAAATCACCACGGGCGAGAGACTGAACGGAAGCTCTGAGGACAAGGAAGGGCTGCGGTGCGCGCTGGAAGGCAGCGGGCAATGAGCACGGCGTTTCTCGCGCGCTCGCGTCTTTCAGCCGTGCGAGAGAGATTCGAACTGTAGGCTACATGTATTTGGCGGTTCAGCCAGCGAATCATCCGGGTTTTTTTGTGAGTTGTTTTTAGTTGGTGTGGTGGTTAGGTTTCTGTATTTAACCCACAAAACTAGGTCCCCCAGTAGTGCCCCTGCACGCTTACCCTTTTTTAGTTGGGAGGGTTCCCCTACAAAATAGACTACAGAAAAAATGGTACCCGTATTCTAGCCTCTCTACTGGAGGACCTAGTAAAAAAGTTAGTCACGGTTGGCAAAGGATTGGAGGACGGCCCAGACCCTCATGGAGGCTCCTTATCTTGGTGGCTCCCAGCCATCCCCTTAGTTTTTTAGCCTTTTAGTGTTTTTTGTCCGTTTAACGCACTAAAAGTTAAACTTTTAGCAGGGGATCTGAGGGCAGCCCAGTTATGGTCGGGAAGAGCACACAAATTTGGCTGGAGGGTTATGCGCGAGCAAGCCATCCTGTTGTCATGCGTTGCTGCGTGTGGTTCTTCTCGCACAGAGCTTTGCACAGGCGTACCGCCAAGCATTGCTTGCGTGAAGCACGGTTTCATTGCGACCCGCACCAGTTCTGACATGTCGGTGGTGAGGAGCCTAGTTACATGCCGGCCAAACCTTCGTTCTAATTTGGTGGCTCTCAAAGGTCTGCGTTTAAATCCGTCCCCTTGACTGAAAGACAACCTTTCAGTGTAGGCAAACTTTTCCTCCTGGAAGATTGGGGATTGGCTGGTTGAAAGTGGAGACCATAGGTGTCCTTTTTTAGGTTAGCTTAGTTAAGAAAAGATGGCACTGGTTAGATGGGTTGTGTTCCATTTACCAGGGAATCCCGCCGATTTGAGGAAAAGGTCAGCATTGGTTGAAACGGTGTATCCAAGCTTTCAGATAAGTGCTTTGCAAGCTCAACACTGAGGAGCTATCGGATCTCGAGTCAGTATTCCTAACAAGCCGTGTGCTTTGGCTGATGCATTCACACTGGGTGCCTGGCTGAATATTCACTCTTGTGCAACATGGGGAAACTGGGCGTTTCGGCTTTTCTCGCTTCAGTAGTGAGGTTTCAGAAACTGAACGGTCGCTATGTTGCAGATGGAATGGATGAATTCATGCATGGACAGATGGATGGCTGGATGGCTGGCTGGATGAATGGATTGAGGGATGGAGGGATGGAGAGATGGAGGGATGGAGGGATGGAGGGATGGAGGGATGGAGGGATGGAGGGATGGAGGGATGGAGGGATGGAGGGGATGGAGGGATGGAGGGATGGAGGGATGGAGGGATGGAGGGATGGAGGGATGGAGGGATGGAGGGATGGAGGGATGGAGGGATGGAGGGATGGAGGGATGGAGGGATGGAGGGATGGAGGGATGGAGGGATGGAGGGATGGATGGATGGATGGATGGATCCACATGCACCCATGGGCCAACCCCAAACTGGAAAATGCCATCCTTGTCCACTTGGGCCAGGCATGTTGCAGAGACACCATGCCCTGCGCCTGCTGCTGACGTCTCGCCAGATGCTGGGAGGACTGCCTTTCGGGTGTGGGAATTGGCAAACTCGGTGGTTGGAGACCCTGTGACTTGACAAAGCAAACAGAAGAGAACAAGTCCTGTGGAGCCTAGGTCCCCCGTAGTGCCCTTTTACCCTTTTTCGGGGGAGGGTCCCCCTACTAAAATAGACTACAGAAAAAAAGTTGGTGCCCTTATTCTAACCTCTCTACTGAAGGACCTAGACACAGCCACCCAGTTTGTTGATTTGTTGTTGTATGGCAGCATTGTTGTACACCTTGTATTGCTAGCTTCTTTTGCAATCTGACCCAGGATGAAGCTATCGCATTTATCGAGATCAACAAGGCAACACTCGACGAAGACCACACTGAGCGCTCGAGAGATTTCAAGCATACACATGAGAGAGTCCAAGCCTGAATCTCTAAGCAACCTGAATCCCGCAAGCCTTTTTTGGACCAGAGCGGAAGCTACCCAACCATGCTTCCTGTAAATCCTATTGAACCTGGATTCCGGAAAACATGCATCCCTTGAACGAAGAGCATATATATATATATATATATATGTATGCATGTTTATTTATATATGTATACACTGACACTGCCACTCCTGTTGACTCATAATTTCACCCTGCTCGCGCCCAGACACCCATGTATTCACTCAGGCACGTACCCACCGACGTACGAATGCAACACAAACGCACGACAAAGCACCACGCCAACACGACGAATCAAGACGATACCACACACAACAACACAACACCAGCAAGAAACAGTACGCAGCAGCGGCGGCGGTGGAAGCACTAGCAGCAGCAGAGTTAACAACGCAGCAACATGTTATTTCAACAGCTCAACAACACAACACAATAAACAACATGTCACAACATTGGAGCGGCTCAACAGCACAACAACGCAACCATACACCACCGCACAGCTGCATTTTGGCAAAGAAGGGTTCCGATTTGGGACCTTGGTCCACGAATGGAAGCCACAAGTCCCCCCAAACCAAGACGAAGTTGTCTAACTCGCTTGCCCGAAGCGAATTGACCTTTTGGTTTTTTAGCCCCCCCTTTTGGTTTTCTTGGCGGTTCCCAGTTGTCCCCTTAGGTTGTTAGGTTTTTCGGGTTTGGTGATTGGTGAAGTATTAACCCAAGCATTGTGTTAATGCTGCAACTGCAACTCAGGGTGTAGCAATCGGTAGGGTGTTCTATCCTCAAAACTTCCGACACGTCACACTGCCCACATTCTAAGACCCTGACACAAACCTGCACATCTGGTTCCAATGCGAATAGTTTCAACTGACTCCCAGACCTTTGCTAGGGTTGATTTCCATCGACCCATTCACACCCCAGGGCTTTTGTTTGAACCCCAGGGTACCCTTATTCTAACCTCTCTACTGGAGGACCCTAGTCTAGATTTGTAAGGGGCAGCTGAGCAGAGGGTTATTCTTGCCACCTTTGGTGGAAAAAATGATCGACTCCCTTGTAGTGAAGCATTCCTTGTCGAGGGGGTCGCCAATTTTCTCACAAAAAGAGCCCCCGGGGCAGCTGAGCTGAAGATCTGGTTCCAATGGGTGGTGCACCTAATTACCCCAAAATGGGATCCCATTGGTTTTGACCCACAGCCCAATGTGAACTCAACCATTGTTTCAATGCTGGCAACTGAACCCCGGGGTGTAGCAATTGGTAAGGTGTTCTACCCTCAAAACTTGCGACACATGAAACTGCCCACATTCCAAGACCCTGACACAACGCTGAAGATCTGGTTCCAATGTGAATAGGTTCAACTTCCCCAAATGGTGGTTGTTGTGGGGAATATCCCTCCAAGCACCTTATTCCAGGCCGGCGAAATATCATAACTCACCTAGAAAGCTGAAGATCCGGTTACAATGGGTGCTACCCCGAAATGGGATCCCATTGGTTTTGACCCAATGTGAACCAGCGCATGGCTCTATCAACAGCGTCATATCTATTGCCTAGAAAGGGCCATTCCCACAGGTTCCCTTCCCTACCCACAGCGCATTGCTCTAATTTACCTACGCCTAGAAAGCGGAAGATCCGGTGCCAAGAACTCGCTCGGACTCGCTCGGATCTCCAGGCAGCTGGGCGATGCTGGACCACGGGAAGGTGGTCCAGGTGCACACGCCGGTGCTGTCCACTGAGGAGCTGAGGGGGCGAGCCGCTGTTTTATATATATACATAGATATATATATATATATATGGCAGCGAATTTTTTTGAGGGGTCTGTAACAAAGCCGCGGCGGACATTCGTTACAGACCTCGTTACAGACCTCTGTAACAAGACCAGCTGGCTCGTTACACACCCCGCGTTACACACCCCTCGTCACACACCCTCGTTACACACCTTAGATGAACAAACCAGGCCAGTGACGTGACTGCCCTTTTTTTGCCGCAGCTTGGCTTGCGTTGAGTAGCTGCAATCAAGCTGGAGCTGCGGAGGCGCGCTTTGCAAACTGTGCTTTGCTTTGCCTCGTTACATAGCCGTTACATACCTCGTTACAGAGCCAACCCTGTTTTTTGCCGCTTGGCTTGCGTTGAATAGAGCTGCAGAGGCGTGCTTTGCGTGCTGCGCTTTGCTTTGCCTCGTTACAGACCTCGCTACCTAGCCGTTCAATACCTCGTTACAGACCCAACCCCAGCCGGGGCCAGCTTCGCTTTGCCTCGTTACAGCCTCGTTACATAGCCGTCGCATACCTCGTTACAGACCCAACCCCAGCGCGGGCCAGCGACCCCCCTTTTTGCCGCAGCTTGGCTTGCGTTGAACAGCTGCAAGCAAGCTGGTGCTGCAGAGGCGCGCTTTGCGTACTGCGCTTCGCTTTGCCTCATTAGAGACCTCGTTACATAGCCGTTACATACCTCGTTACAGACCCAACCCCAGCCAGGGCCAGCAACCCTGCTTTTCGCCGCAGCTTGGCTTGCGTTGAGTAGCTGCAATCAAGCTGGAGCTGCGGAGGCGTGCCTCGTTACAGACCTCGTTACATAGCCGTTACATACCTCGTTCCAGACCCAACCCCAGCCAGGGCCAGCAACCCTGCTTTTCGCCGCAGCTTGGCTTGCGTTGAGTAGCTGCAATCAAGCTGGAGCTGCGGAGGCGTGCCTCGTTACAGACCTCGTTACATAGCCGTTACATACCTCGTTCCAGACCCAACCCCAGCCAGGGCCAGCAACCCTGCTTTTCGCCGCAGCTTGGCTTGCGTTGAGTAGCTGCAATCAAGCTGAGCTGCGGAGGCGCACTTTGCGTCCTGCGCTTTGCTTTGCCTCGTTACATACAGACCTCGTTACATAGCCATTACATACCTCGTTGTGCTGCGCTACATTGTGCTACTGATACTGCTTGTCAGGAAATGTTTGTCCCGTTACAGACCTGCGTAACAAGGACCTCCGTTACAGACCTCCGTAACAAGATTCGTGGCGCGTCGCGCGTTACAGACCCCTAAAAAAAATCATAGCCATATATATATATATATATTTGGTTGTAGTTATTATTATTATGAGGATGCCTAGTGTTATGATTATTCTTCTTAAGATCAAATTGTCGTTGGGATCCCTAGGAGGGCGTCTTCTTTTAAGGGTACCCCTTGTTTTTGGTGGGTTTCTATTAAGCGTACCCCCTTTTTTGGTGGGTTTCTATGATTTTACTCAACCAGGGGTGCCTCTTTTTTGTTTGTGTTGGTGGAGTATAGATGGCCCTGGTTGACCTGGTGTTTTTTTAGTAACCTGGCAGCCCTTAATGTTAGCCGGATTCTTCTTTTACGGGTGCCTTTTTGCGTGTTTTCCATTGGGAAGTCAAAAGCAAGACAGAAATCCATTCTGAGATTCTTCGAAAGCTTCCGGAGAACCCCCTCAGGGAAAGGTCCTCCAGATTAATCCAAGGTCAACATCAGCTGGATTAGATTGGTGGTTTGGTGGTTTGGCGGTTTGACCCCCTGCCTTTTGTAGAGGGTAGATGGCATATCAGCCCCCGAACCCCCAAGCTATCAATCCAGACCACTAATTAGGGGGAAGCCGATTAAAGTGCTCCAAGATACGTTTTGGGTGGTTTCCCTTGCAGCCACCATTCAGAAGGTAGTTTTGACCGTTCATGGACGCATTGTTAGGGCCACTTTCTGTGAAACCCAATGGGTGATGCCAAGAGCATCCATCCCAATGGGTGAAGTCTGGGTGTTTCTGGGAAAAATGCCTTGCAAGGCTGACACCAACTAGGTCCCCCAGTAGTGCCCTTGTACCCTTTTTTGGGGGAAGGTTCCCCTACTAAAATTAGACTACAGGAAAAAGGGTACCCTTTTTCTAAGCTCTCTACTGGAGGACCTAGCCAAGGGATGGCCATCCACTTTGGTGTTGCGGAAAGGCAACCCTTTGCTCGCTGGCTGCAAGCTTCAAGCTCGTTTGGCCATTTTCATTGTTCGTCACGGGCTCGGACTCTGTAAAAAGAAAAGGCGGTCGTTGTTTCAGGGCAATTCCTGGGCCCGACCCCGCGAATGGCACATCGGAGGTTGGTACCCATCACCTTGACCTAACTGAGGGCCCAAAGGAGGCCCTCACAGGTTCTTTTGCTCGGGTCGCCTGTGCGACCTGTTCCCCCCCTACCCTTTTCACATGGAACCCTGCGACGTTCAGGAAATGGTCCCTTCCGAAGGATCAGGCTCTTCCAGCACCCCCCAACATCGAACGGTGTGTGAAAACATGGTTGTTGTTGGGAAACATTTTACATCTTTGCTTATTGTGGTTCAGTGGTTGAAATCCCCACTTAACTGCTTTAAACAAAAATAATGAGAATGTTTGCTCCCCAAACCAAGCGTCAACCAAGAAAAGGGTGGGAGGAGAAGTGGACACCTTCCGGGTCGGGGGGGTTCTTTTCGTGGCGCCTCCCTTGACGAGGACTGCGCGGAGCTCTTCTTGCGGCGCAGCCACCGCATCCTGAGGTTCGGGGACTTCGAGGAGGCCCATTGCCTTGTTGAAATATCTCCCGGCTGGGTGCGTCGGTTTTTTTAGGGCGCCCCCGGTTTTTTGGTTGACCCGTTCTGCTCACGTCCCTTTTGCACGAACCCAACGTCAGAAACGGAGGTTTCCCTGTTACCTCAGGCGGCTTTGACGGAAAAATCGGGGGGCTAGGTTCAGAAGCATAGGTGTCCTTTTTGGTAGATTTGGTTGAAAAATAGAGGGCGATTCCTGGTTTACCTGGTGGTTCAATCAACTACTGGGGAAACTCATCTATTTTGAACCACAAAGGACACCTATGTGTGCAGACGCCCATTTCTGCAGGCCCAGTTTGTGAGGAATGGACCTGGGGCCGGTAAGGCTCTCGGCCAAGCGCCTTAACCACGCATTTCGCCACCAAAACGCGGGGTGCCCCCGCAGGAGGAGAGAGATTTCGATGTTCCTTTGGGTTTATCTCTACCACAAAGGGGGGTCGCCTCAAAAACGGACAGCGTTGCTGTCAGCTGGAAGTCATGCTGATTTATGGGAGGGGACATGGGTTTGTTCTAAACGGGGAACCCTTAAAATGGATGGGTTCCTTTTTTTCCCTTTTCAACGAGCCAAAGAAGTACCCTCCCAACTCCCAAAAAGCACACCCACTTGAACATGTGCGTGTCTTTTGGACAAGTGGACAAATTCCCCAAATGCACATGCCCCTATCTAGATCATGCAGGACCATCCGAGGTACCCCAAACACCAATCAACATGGAACCTGACAGGGGATCCTGGAATTCATGTTCCTTCTACAAGGAGCATGTCCCTGTCAGGTTCCATACGGTGCTCAGGTTGTTGGCAAGGCACGTTGGGGGATTCCCTTAGGCTTCCCCAGTGCCCTTTACCCTTAGGGGGAGGGTTCCCTAAAATAGACTACAGAAAAGGTTGGTACCCTCTACTGGAGGACAGTAGGAAACAACAGGGCCATGGTTTATGGGGGTCCTTCCCAGCAAGAAAACTTGGAGCAAAGCTGGCTGCCCGAGGGTCTCCCCTGAGGGCGAACTTTGCACGGACGGCAAGTAACCAGTTGGATGGTTTCTGGGGGTTCCCTTTCTCATTCCCTGCTAAGGATGCGGGGCAAGGAACCAGCAAGGAATTGGCGGGGCAAGTAGAACCGGCGGTGAGTCGGCTCGGGCCCAGGGTGGCAGCAAGGAGGTCGTGGAGCGCCCATAGCTCAGGGAAGCCGCGCGAAGAGCAAAGCTCCGTTGGTGTCAAATCGGGGAGGGTCGGCGAACAGCAAAATGGGACCCCAACAAAAAGACCCCCCCCCCCCCCACCAAAAAAGAAGCACACAAAAATAGTGTTGTTTTGGGTACCCCCAAAATGGTGGTTTCCCAAAAGAGAATTGTGGTTGTCCTTTTGGCTTCCCTTTTAAACCAACCAAAAAGGGGGGTAGCCTGGAAAAAGGCAGACCCAAATCAAGGACACCAACCACTTGGAGGCTTGGGACCTCCAAACGATTGGAATCACACAGAGATACACTTGGGTGTCCCGTGCACAAATCTTCCGTTCTTTCGAATTCGACGCTGAGCGAATACGCTGAGCGAATTCGAGCCAATATGAACTTCGAGACGTCGGGATAGCGCACTGGAAGGACATGACATGGTGATGTGCGTGTGCCTGAATAGCATGGTGCTAAAGGAAACCCAGGGGTTCAATCATTTGAATCATTCCTACTTTGAGCACAGACCCCCCCCCAACCCCCAACCCCCCCCCCCCCCACAAACTCCCCCCTCCCCCCCCAACCCCGCTCCCCCCCAACCCCCCCTTGAACGAAGGAACTGCACGCCCGAGGCCTCAAAGCCAAGGAACTGCTGCAGTCCTTGGACTGGCTGAAGGCCTGGGGGAAAAAAGCCGCGCCGCGTCGCCTGGAGAGAGATCGTCTTGTAGGTGATGCAGGGCTCCTTAAAAGATACATGTTGCCCATTTGAAACATGGCCTTTTCCACCAAAATAAAGGGAAGCCACCATTTCCAAGGCAATGTTCAGGTGCAAACACTAAGATATACATTCTATAAGTGGTTGCCTAACTCTAAGCATGTTAACATGTTTGTCGTTGGGCAACATTTTACATTTTTGCTTATTGTGGTTTAGTGGTTGAAATCCAAATCCACTGAACAGCTAAAATTTGAGAATGTTTGCTCCCCTTCAACGTCAACCAAGCTAAGTTTCTTTTAATTCTCCCAACTGGTGACTTTGAAGGGGATTTCAGTGGCACAGTTGTTCAGTGGCACCAATTATTGTTCCTTCTTTTTTTAGGTGGCTGCCCCACTAAGAATTCGGTCTTCCCTAAAAATAATTGGTTCCCTTTTTTTTCCCAGGGTCGCTGAACAACTGAGTAATGTTAACTCCATATTCAAGGAGAGAGATCGTCTTGTAGGTGATGCCACCCAGGTAGATGTACACTCGTCGTGCAGTTAAAGTTCAAAACTGCAGAGGTCGGAATAGGGTATCCACCCGTGCATACATAAAGCTCCATATTCTAGGTCCCGCAGCTCGGTGCCCTTTGACCATTTTTTTGGGTTGGGAGGGGTCCCCTAGTAAAATAGACTACAGAAAAAAGGGTGCCAACTTATTCTAACCTCTCTACTCAAAGACCTAGGTAGTGTTGACTCCATATTAGCTTCCATTTGCAAAGCTGGGGTAGACTTGGGATACATTTTACAATTTACCAGTGTCTTAGATTGAAGCAAACACTAAGATATACATTCTATAACTGGTTGCTTAACTCTTTCCGCATGTTAAGTTTGTTTTGATTTCCCAACTGGTGACTTTGAAGGGAATCTCAGTTGTTCCGTGGCACCAATTCTTTTTTCCCTTTTTGTTTTAGGTGGCTGCCCCACTAAAAATGGTCCAAGCCCCAAAAAGGGTTCCCTTTTTTTTCCCAGGGTCACTGAACAACTGAGGAATCAAATGGAGGTCAATCAACCCCAGTTTTGGAATGGGGGGTGTTGCTCCTCCAAAAGTGGTCCAGGGACCCCTCTGTGAATCAACTGGGTTGATTAAAGGCTGGAGGGGAAGTATGATATGTTTTGCCGACATCACAGGTGGTAGGGATGCTGTTTTGGTAAGTCGCCACGTCGCCAGCTCCTGCTTCTACTTAACTGCATGCTTTTGGTTTGTAAACTGTCAGAGTGTCTCCTGACAATTGCTCGATCTTCAATGTGCGCATCTTCGCGAAGCTCTCACCTTGCGTCCCTGTGGCTCTCGGAAAACTGTTCCGTCTTGCCATGAAGTTTGTTAATCCGAACTGGTTTGTCGACATGGGATGGGCGTGCAAATTGAACAGGAATTCTTTGGTGCATTTGCTTGGATGTTAGGACTTTAACTGTTTGCCGACTAATGGGTGTTCCATTAAACCACCAAAAATTAAACTTTTAGCAGGGGTGCAGATTTCGCAACCAAGAATTCTTGGGGAGAGAGGCTGAAGGGAGGCACCGCCCAGCTGACTATGACCGCTGTTTACTAGGTCCTTTAGTAGTGCCTTTTGACCGTTTCTTTTTTGGTTGGGAGGGTTCCCCTACTAAAATTGACAAAAAAGAAAAAGGTTGGTACCAACTTATTCTAACCTCTCAGATCTGGAGGACCCAGCTTATGCCTTTTCTGTGTTGCTACAGCGTGCTTTGTGTTGGGCTGCACCGCCCAAAAGGGTTGCAGGAGCACATCCAGCCCAATGAAGCAAGGTCGCAAGCCGGTTTCAGCAGAATTCGCCAACCATTGCAAGCAGCAATCACACACATTCATCTGGCCATGGCGGCCATGGTTCAAAACCAATGGGATCCCATTTTGGGGGATTGGTGAATTCACCACCCATTTTAGCTTTCCTATTTTAGTGGTTGGATTGAATCGGATGTTCACTGGGGGTACGATTTGGCCATATTGAGCTCTAAGTGCCTTCAGTGGCTCAAAGCCAAACTTTTGACCTTTCGGCTTTCCCTTTCTCGGTGGTTGTTGGGAAACATTTTACGTATTTTTGCTTCTTGGGGTTTAGTGGTTGAAATCCAAATCCACTTGGCTGCTAAAGTTTGAGAATTTTTGCTGCCCCAACCCAAGGTCAACCAAGCTTTGGGGTCCGGTCCACCTTTCCTCCGAAAAGGTGAGTAGCTTCAATGGGTCCAAACTGGGGTGAGTGACAGACGGTAGCCGACTCCGTTGGTTTGGGGAGGCCAGGTGGGGGGCCAACTTCATAGGTGTCCTTTTTGGTTGAAACATAGGTGGGGCGATCTGTGGTTTACCTGGTGGTTCAATCAACTAAAAGGGACACCCATCTGTTTTCGACCAAAAAGGACACCCATGGGGCCAACCCCATGGTCCCATGTCTTGCAAGTTTTGCCCTTGGCCCCCAGCCGGAGCGCCCGGAAAGCATTGGCCGCCCTTCAGGCCTTGCGACACATGCTGCTCGGCACCGATGCTTCAGATGTCCAGCCGGGCTTTGCGCATTGGATCGTAGACTGCGCGGATGGTTTCACGTGCTGAGTAATCCATGTGGCTGTGGCTGTGGCTCAACATAGGGTAACCCCCACCCCGAGGTGCAAAACAAGCTAATATGTTAGAGTTTGTTCACCGGGTGCTGAATAATCCATATGGGCGTGGCTCAAGATGGTTTTAGTCGTTGTCCATTTACCTTGCCATATTACTGTGGCTCAACATGGTTAACCCCCAACTGAGGTTGCAAAACAAGAAGTGCATCTGGAGTCCCCGAAGCATGTTGCTTTTCAAGCATATGCGCGAAACGCTTTAACGCGCTCCGAATCACGGGGTTGAAGACTAGGGAGAGAAGGGCTGCTTTTTTGGACTTTTGGTGCAAACTCGAAAGCTCTAAAAAGACGCTTCAAAAAGTGCGTTGAAGCATTCTTGGGTCTAAGATTCAAGATAAAGCATTCCAGAAAACTAACACTTGAATCTTGAATATTGAGTCCAGCATGCAGACACATGCTCGACTTTGGGAGGTCTGGGCAGGGGGTGAAAATGGCCCAACTTGTTGTTGACACCCCACAAACCTCCTTGCCGGGTTCTCTTTGCCACGCCCATCCAGGTTTCCTCATGTTCAAGACCAATTTTGTCCTTTCCCTTTGAAGCAACCCTGAAAAAAAAAAAAACAGTTCCATTTCTTCAACTTAGCCTAAGGGCTGCCACTGATTTTGCCATGTTGACCAGGCGGGCTTTGTGGACCTAGGCCAGGGCGACTGGTGGAGTGGGCTGCCGTTGTGAACACCTCGCTACCCAGCTTGCTGCCCCTTGTCTTCCCTGGGCGGAGGCGTGAACACACATTGAGTGTACATGTTCGCAGTCACAAAAATCGGTACAAAGTACTTCTAGGTATGCAACATGTATATATGTGAATGTCGTTATTGATTTGCCTATACACTCATTCTTTCTGGAGTGGTCGGCTGGAAACTATTTTCAATTATATATATATATATGTAGAGATATGCGAAAACATGTATTTTCGCCGAGTACACATGTACGCACGCAGGTTTGTACTCCTGCGTGTACGTGCGCCGTATCCATAATATCTAAAACACAGAAACCTACTTACCTCTCAAAAACACAAAACTTTCCGTAACTTTTCGGGTAGCATGGGCAACTTTGTCTGTAAAAGATGAGAACTTCCCCAGGGCGCAGGGAGTTTTAAGGGGGTAAGAAAAGACGCGCCCCTTGGCCCAGCCGTGGGGGGATGTTGAGCAGCGGGTATCGCGTCTCGCGCCGCGGCCCTGGGAAACCCCGAACGCAAGTTCTTGGGCCCTGGGAGCTGGCTCGGGCGGGGGTCATGGCGAACATTTTTTGGTGTGTGGGTTTTTGTGGGATTTGTGTTTTTTTTTTTTTTTTCTCCGGCGCCCCGTTTTTTTTTTTTTGGGGGGGGGGGTGTTTCCAGGGTGCAAATCAGACTTCCTAGGATTGCTCGCACATTTAAGAATTTGGAGGAATGACTTTGGTGGGGGAAGTAACGGTGGCAGCAAAATGGTTGATGTCACCCTGGCGTGGAATTCATTTGAGGTTTCGGGCTTGGTTTCAGCTCCTGGTTAGTTGGTGCAAGGTGAGTTGACGGCTGCGTCAAGCTAAATAGTTGGTGTTTTCTTCCCTGGGCCGTTTATTGTTTTTTTGTTGTAAGATTGACGTGATTCTCCCACCAGGAGTGCTTCCTTCTTGAGGCTATCCCGGGGCCAAAGGGTGGGGCGCCTGCTTGCCCGCTGGCCCGCCTGCTGGCTGGATGGCTAGCTGTTGATGCGTTTGCGTCAGTGTTTTGCCCCGGGACAGGGTTGGGAGTGCAACTCTCTCAGTTCATTTTGGTAGCCCTCACATGAATGACGCTGCTCTGAGTTCGCTACAAATACAGAACATAACCGAATCGTAGGGTTTTATTCCATCGCCATGTTTTTACCCGGGCCGGCAAATCGCGCCAAGGAAGCACCCATTCCTGGCATCGGAAGCTGAAGCGCGAGGCAAACGATGGTGAGCCAAGCAACTGCCGCAGCGCGGGTGTTGTACCTCTGACATGGGCCGAGTCAGTCGCGAGTCACGCGAGTCGCGCGTCTTTTTTCTGAACTTGCCTAGGCCAAAGGGCATGAATGAGCTGAAAAGCCCCCGTTTCCTGGGTGAGTCGTAGTCAGTTTGAACCAAAGGGGCCGAATCTTAAGCAATTGCTCCATGGTCATGATGAAACTTAGATATCAATACCCCATAGCTCAAAATTCGAATGATGGCCCTAGCGGGCGGCTTCAGAGACAATCCCTTGGCCAAGACTTCCGGGGCCCAGCCCTAGATGGCAGTGATTTTTTGTCCGGGGCCCGTGGACATCAAGCGGATGTCGTGTCGGGTCAATGAAAACTCATCTCGGAAGATCCGGTGCCGGCGAGCCTCAAGGAGCGACCAGGGATTGATTTATTCTTGTTCCCCTATGCCTTGACGGAGCCACAGTCAAAGCCCCAAAGCTGCAGGTTAGTGAGCAGTCCCAATATGTGCGGCAAGAAGAGTGTTGATTAAGTACGTGGTTTTGGGTAGACCTCTTCAGTACCAGATGTAGTACCAGATGTTGATTGCATTGCAGTTCGGTGTGCCGGGGATGCGTAGCTACGTGATAGCACGCTGGTCCTGTGGTCGCCTGGGCTCATCCAGCGGATTCGTGTACAAAGTGTTTCACCATTAAATAAAAATGACCTCACGAACGTGTGGCCCTGGAGTTCAGGTGAGTGGGGAACTTACTAAATCTCCTCAAACAGGAGCATTCACAGTTTGCCTATCACACAAGCGGCATTTGGACCTTTAGAAGGAACATGCCTTTCTGCGTTGCTGGGCCCCGAGAATCTGTGGTTTTGGTTGGCTTCATCCATGGCTCAATTCTCCCCATTTGCGGGAAAGACAAGATAAATGGTACTGGGGGGAAGGGAGGGGGGGTGCATGAATGAGTTGGGTCTAGGTGCCATGGCGATCAGACCAGGGCTTACGACCTTTATCCATAGGACTCCTTTATGTTCTCAGTTGCCCAAAGCGAATCGACTTTTTTACTTGGTGGTACCCAGCCATCCGGTTGCTTTGGTTTTTAGGTTTTAGGGTTTAGTGGGGGTTTCCATTTAAGCCACTAAAAGTTTGATTTTTAGCCAAGGATTTGAGGACAGCCCAGTTAGCCTTTTGGTTTCTTAGTCAAGGTCACCTTTTCCAGATCCCTAAGGGGCAAGTGAGTGTTCCGTTCGTGTTCGCATTCATTGTTTCATATTGGTGAATCATGATTCGGCCACCTTTCTAAACGGCGTGTAAACTGTAAACCCATCAGCATACAGCTCGGGCGGATCGGCGATGCAAGTTCCTTGCAGAACTAGCAATTCTTGACAATCGCCACAAGCTGCTCTACAACATGGGTATATGTTTTTGGCGTGAAGACTAGCCCTACTCTTCAGATTCAGTCTTTCGGTTTGTGCCTTTCTTCTTTCGCACAGCAGCACAGCACCCAGACACCCACACACACATATATTACATTCATACATAGGCTAGATGCGCCGCATTGAAGCAATCTATGGACCATGCCTGTCTTCACACCTCCATTCGCAACAGGTCCTTGTGCTCAGTTGCTCAGTGGCACCCTTTTTCCCTTTTTTGTAGTGGCTGCCCCACTAAGAATTCGGTCTTCCCCAAAAAGGGTTCCCTTTGTTTTCCAGGGTCACTGAACAACTGAGACTTTTTTGCGGGGCGGGGGATGTTGTATATGAATAAGGGGGGCCAACCACGACAACCTGGAAAACCTTCAGTGAACTGCGGCCTTGTGCACTATCACTTGACCCTTCAGGGCTTGAGCCCGCGAAACGTTTCGCGCATGCACGACGCCCGAGGCTAGGCAGTCAGGGAGGTCTGATGTTTGCATGTGCACAATATGGGTTATAATAAAAACAAATATTAAAAGAATAGTAATTAATAGGAAATATAATTATATTATAGAATTATAGATGAGACGGTATAATTATAATCCTAACATAAAACCAAGACTTCTAACTCCCAAACAAAGCAAAGGAAATAACGAAATGAAAAGGTAAAATAGAAATAAAAAAGAGATGACAAACAATATAAAAAAAGCTATACAAATAACTAGATAACGAGAATAACAATAAAGTGACAGAAAAGAAAGGAAAGATATGGAAAAGACCAAATGTAGAACCCAAATGCTTTCTTTCTTGTCATTTGGTTTCCTTCACGCTCTCATCTGTCCCTCTCTCCTCCTCCATTCACTCCCTATCACATGCTGCCTCGTCTCTCAGCATCTTGTGTTTGGAGGAGTGAAGCGAGGGAACGAAGAGAGTGAGGGAAGGGACAGGAACCGCTCTCTCCAACCCATTCATGCCTCGCCTTCGCTCATCTTGGAAGTGTTGGATGAAACCGTTCCTTCGTACACACCTATATCCCCAATCCAAATATTCAACTTAAAAATGATTGGGGATTAATAGGTGAGAGAACAGATAGAAGGGATCTCATTCACTCCACCATTCAACCTCCGGGCTAGCCAATGGACAGCTGTAAGACCCATCCAAAAGCTATTAATTGGATAAAATGGGAAATGAAAATTGATGGCGTTGGTGTGGGTCAAAAATAGGTACCCAAAACGAAGTGCCCTGGTAAATGGAATCAAGGATTAAAGCTTGCGGCCCACATCCTGGTGGTTTAATATTCTCCCATACCCGTATGCCAAAACTAGAAACATGGTAGTAGTGGGCTTCATGTTGCACCTTGAGTTCTGTTACCATCGTCCCCCAACGGTGTTTGCCTTTGCTCTCTCGAAAGGATTGCCTTTGTGACTGCCCAGCTGACGTGCGGCTCCACTTCGCATGTGACGTGTGAGGAGAAAGCACGGATGCGGGGCTCGCAAGGGTAGATCGGAGGGGCCACAGGGCATTTGTTTAATTTCATGTGGTAGAAGTTGTTTCCGGATCCGATGCATTTTGCGGGGTAGTAATGCTTGATCGCTTTCGGCTCGGGTCGCTGCAAGGCTTCGACAACATTCACGGTAGTAGAAGACAGGCTAGGCTACGTGCTCATAGTTACCTGCAAGGAGTTTGCAGAATTGAGCCAGAAACCGATGGGAGGTGATGGGAGGTGCACCAAGCAACATCTTGGCAAGAGTTCCGCTGACCATTGCACGTGCCTCGTCATTCCGATGCATGCTGTGCAGCCAACTGGCTTAGGGTGGCAGGTGTGTTGGCGGGCCAGACCAGACCCAAGGTGATCGTGTCGCAGCCTGGCCATGTTTAGCTTCAACGGCCTGACTTGCAGACGGGCAACTTGCAGACGGGTAGAGACCAGAATGGCCGAGACAGAGCAGACCTGTGCCATCTCCGATTGCAATGAAGTTGTTGGCTCTGCTGAGCCTCTTTGCCATCAGCCAGGGAGCCTGGCGATCCGGGCTGTTGTCAGCCCAAAAAAGAGTCTCTGAGTGCAATGGACTATGCATTTGTTCGCAGCTTCGGTCTCCCGGTCCCAATCCAACGACGTTCTGATTTTTTAGAACCCATGGTCGTTCCAGACATTGCAAAGCATCGGACTGTATTTGGTGTTCCTGGCAAGTGGCACGGAAGCAACTCGGGCTCATGGCATGACACTTCAGGCGCCTACCGGGAGGGCAGATCAGCTCCCCCCAGTTGGTGTTTTGGATTGGTGGTTTGCTTACCTCTTAAACACACAACTTTTCAACTTTTTGGGTAACATGGGCTATATGTCTGTAAAAGATTAACTTCCCCAGGGCTTGGAGTTTTAAGGGGTAAGTTTGGGATGCAAACCCCAGCTCCTTTTGAAACCAAATGAGGAAGGACGCCCCTAACGGCCAAACCACCGCGCTCCAAACCAACTAGGGGAAGCTGAACAGAAGCATTGAAGGCATGCCGCCAGCACTTCCCTGGCCATGCGACTTGTGTCCTGTGCTTCCCAGCTGATTCTCAGTTAGGACCGGAAAACAGGCACGGTTCGGATCAATCAAGCGATTCCCAGCCGGTCACACGGTAGCCCTAAATTGTTTCAGCACATGCTTGCCTTGAGCCTGGTCCGAGCTGCTGTTCTTGCATTTGATCGAAACTACGTGCTTCCAAGACAGCTGGAGGTTGCACACTCCCTTGCAACGGGGCAGCTTCAGGCCAAGGGCGCGCAAGAAGACATTGCCAGATGTTCAGCCACGGATTCTGTTCAGTGTGTTGGATGGAGAGAGGCCAGGAAATCTAGAAATCCTGTCCCCACCGGGCACATTGCTTGGATCATTTTGGGCCCCTGAAAGCTCTGCGGTTGCTTTTGCCAGGCGCAATGGTTTTGTTCCTTGGATGCGGTCGTTGTTTTTTTGGTGGGGCTGATGGGGTGCACGGCTTGGGGTCAATAGACTTGGAAAGGGTTTAAGATATTGAAGGCATGGAACCCTTGAATTTCTACGCCCAGGTCTCGCGCGCAAAACGCGACAGACCCGGCTGTACTACATCCGCGACAATGCAGGCAAGCTGCCGGGTCGTTTGCTTGCTTGAGATTTACTGCCAGCACCCCTTTTTCTGCTTTTTCCAATGTTCCCGAGTGCTCACTTGTCCAAGGTGCGCCGACCTTTTGACCTTTGATTTTTCCCATGTTGGTCCATGTTTAGTCATGGCCCGAAAAGGTTAGCTCTTTGTTTCCAGGTCCAAACTTGGCAACTGAGAGTACTGTCCAAAACGCAGTGGTTGGGACCCGGGCGCTGGTACTTCCTGAACCAGTTTCCCAATGCCAAACTTGATTTGAATGGAGTGCCCGAAGCCTTTGTCTCCGTGAGGCAGTTTTCAACAGCTGGTGGTTGTTGGCCATGTGTGCGTGCGCAAGCATGCACATGTCTTTGTTTTGATTAGTTGTTTTGGTTGGTTGGTCATTTGTTTGGTGTCTCTTTCTTGCTCTCTCTCGCTCTCCCTCTCTCTCCGTTTTTCTTGTGTGTTTGTTCCTCTCAATTGTTCAATTCGAACATGTCAAGGTCCCTTCTTGGTCCACTTTCAGTAAAGCTCATAAAAGGTGAACACCTTGGTTTCTGGGTCCACACTGGGCAAGTGAGTCCTCTGTCATCTCTGTCTTTGTGCTGCAGGCGTCAATCAAGCTTCTCTCTCGGCATGGTCGCGTGCGTGCACATCGGCCTTGAAGTCCGCATGTTGACGTGGGTTTATCGTTTTGTTGACCCACAAATTAGATCAACTTGGTATGTTCCTTTAGTTTTTACATGTAAACCAACTCAAAAGGGGTACCTCAAAAAAAGGCACACTTACAAACCCTGGGGCTCAAACCACCATTAACCAGCATTTGTTTATCCTAAGGATTGTCATCATCCAAATTGGGTCCCCAAGTCGCCATTCTTTTGATAGGGGCAAGGAACCCTATAGGTGACGTTCCCCGGGCCGTTCGGGGCCCGTTCTTTTGCCCCTGAGGTCTCTCCAATGTGCGCTTGCAGTTCGAAACCCTCGTGGCGACTGCCGCAGCACGCGACTCAGGGGGAGAGCCTGCTACGAGGGCCTGGTGTGAGGGAGGCACAAGTGTTGGAGGGGCCATATATGCCACATATGCAGTGGCATGGGTGGAGTATAAGTATTGATACAGTTGGCTGACGCGAAAAGCACCGTCAGAAGGACCTGATGAGGTAGCAAAGCCTGACAATTGCTAGATGGCGAAGTGTGAAAACTGTTGACCGATGTGAGAATAACCTTTAAGGAAGAAAGGGAAGCATATAGTCCAGCTTGCGCACATACAGCAAATCAGCACAGGGAACATCATGCTGTTGCCAGCCCCCCTGCTCGCCAATCCCCAACACAGATCCCACGGTCTCGCACACACACACACACACACACACACACACACACACACACACACACACCGGCACAGCGCAAGCCACTAGGTAGAAGCATGTTGTTGCTGATGCAGGAAGCATGAGATGCTGCACTGACAACACTGTAGATTGGCCGATCGCAGACTGAGCCAGTCTACGGGTCCAGTGTCCTTCACAGAAAAGGGTTGTGGGATTGGTGGAGTTTTTTTGCGACAGAAATAATTCACTTAATTTTTTAAAGCAAGAAACATAATGGATTGACAAATGTGAGGGAAAACATAACTTACCTTTTAAAGGAAGATAATGTGAGGGATTTAGAAAATGGATTTGTCTCATGGATTTTAAGTCTCTTTGTCTCTGAGGCGCTGCTTGAAACGGGCCATTGCACAGAGGGATACCAATGCAGAGGGCTGGTTCCCCACAAAAAAAAAAAAAAACGCAGAGGGTTCCCTCCCTCAACTGCTCAAAAACCAGTATTCCAAAATGGCTTGCCCGATCGGTAAGTGGAAACATGGGTACCAAAACCTGCGGTTTGCCCCTCCTGTTTAATTTTGAGCCGCACCCAAATGTTGCAGCATCCATGAAGGGGATATTTGTTGTTTTCCACTAACATGGCTTCTGACAGAGGGCCCCTTAAAAGTAGATTTATAATTGTACCCTCCTCTGTTAGTGGGAGGCCTTGGGATTTCATCCCCACCCCTTCAAAATGGAATGGGGGGAGGGGGGTGACCCCTAGTTTTGCATTGAGGGTTCCATGTTCCCTTTTGTGGTTGGAGGACTGAATCGGAGGACTGAATCAATGGAATGGGACCCCCCACCCCACTCCCCCTCAACATAGTTGAAACATTTTACATCTTCGCTTATTGTGATTTAGTGGTTGAAATCCAAATCCGCTTAACTGCTAAAGTTTGATAATTTTTGCTCCCCTAACCCAACGTCGACCAGGTTAAGCCCCCTTAAGAAACCCCCCCCCTCCCCCTTAAGGAACCCCCCACCCCCCTCCCCCAGGTTAAGGTAGTCACGGGGGCTGGGGAGGGGGAGGGAGCCCTAAATAAGGCCTTATTAAGGGCTAAATAGGGGCTTATTTAGGGCTCCCTCCCCCCTCCCTCGCCCCCAGCCCCCATAAGGTAGGAAATGGGACGTCCGAATTCTCTCAGATCTTCAACAAGGAGCTAATGATCCCGCCGCCCAGCCCACACCTCGGCTGGAGCCGTGCTTGTTACCTTGGCCTTTGGGGCCGGGCATGTTGGGTGTGTTGCTTTTTTTTTAAAGGGTGGGTTTCCCACAAGTAGTGAACCCCAAAAAGGGTTCCCTTTCTCTAACAGGGTCACTGACTGGGGGTTTCCACACCACTAGGTTTCCCAGTGGTGGCCTTTGGGGGGGAGGGTTCGGGACCCTACTAAAAGAGACTACCGAAAAAAGGGTACCCTTATTCTAACCTCTCTAGTGGAGGACCTAGTTGTGCTTTTTGGCTTTCCTCTAAAACGCACCAAAAGAACGGGCCCCGTTCGAAAAATAACACTCATAATATGATATGGTTCCTCTGCAGCCTTGCAGGTTTATAGAGTTTAGATGGATTCATGAAAAAGTTCAGCTTGCTTGCGAGGGATCAATGAGCCACTACGCGAGGTAAGCTACGATTGGTGCAACGTCTCTCCGACACATATCCCGTCAAGGCGTCGAGGCTACAAGAGTTCTACAGACTGGTTTGGGACACGCCGGACATGTGTCACGTTTGACTTGTGTTGAGCGTTGACGAGTGATGGGACTGGGCAAGAGTGTGACGACACATCAGACACCTGGGGTCCTAAAATCTACGATTGACGTCTCTGGCTTGTTTGGTATGTATGTCCGACACGTCCCAATCAACTGACTTTGCTTCCAGCGAGTGGCTACTTTCCCAGGCACCATCGACCACATGGACGAGGCCTTCATCGAAACCGCGCCTTGGACAAAAATCCGGCGGAAAAGGCATTGCATGTGCAGCTGCCAAAGTTGGGTGGCGTCCCTCATTCTGACTCAT